TTAAATTTAAAGTAGCTAGTTTTTAGTTCTTTTTTAGCTATTAATATTAATTTATAAAATAACCTAGCTTTTTATAATTAAAATAAGCTTTATTTTTTTTTAATTTATCTTTTTCTTTCTTAGATAAAATTATATTTAATTATATTATTATATCTCTATTCTTGTTCTTGATTTATTTTTAATATAAGTTTATTTTATTTTCTCTAAACTCTCTCTTTTTTATTTATCTAATATAAATAATTAATTAATTTATAATACTATCTTTATTATTATTTAAAATGTTTCTAGTTATAATATTATTATTAAGATTTAGTTTTTAATATTATTTTTTAGTCTTTTATAAAACTAATCTTTAAATTTTTAATTATTTTATAAAAGTCTTTCTAATATCTATAAGAATTTTGAAATATATTTTCTAATTAAGGTTTATTACTTAATATATTAGATTTTATTAATAATTTTAATTTTTTTATTAATAATTCTTTATAGCTAATTAAATTTATTTTTATAGTATTAATAGCTGGAAAATATTATAATTATTTTAAGGTTTTTTTATTCTTTATTACTATTAGCTTAATACTAGTTAATAATATATGAAGTAAATTATTTTATAGTTTTTTTATTAAAAAAGCTTAATACTATTAATATTTTATTAGTAGAATTATTATTAATTGTTTAATTTATAATAAATAATATAATAAATATATTAATAAAATAAGTACTATATTTTATTAATCTAAAAAGAATTCTAAGAATAAATTAGAAAAATATTAAATGAGAAGAAGTATTAAATAAAATAACTATTTAAGTAATATATATATAATTAATATATAGTAATTTATTAAAAGATATTAAATAAATAGAAATAAGAATGAAAAGATATTATAATAAGAAATATAAGAATGCACTAGTACTTAAAAAAGAAAAAAGAGTTTATCTTTTATAATAAATATTAGAATTAAAAAATTTTAATATTAAAAGTATAAAATTAAGTAATAAATTTAATATAATTAAATTTAATTATTTACTATTAAAAAAAAACTTATAAATAATAATTATAAATTCTAGCTATTAGTAAGAATATAAATATATTTAATATTTTATATTTTATTATTAAAATTAATTACTAATCTAATAAATAAAGATAAAATAGTAGATAATAAGAAATATAAAATTAAAAAAATACTATAGTATAAATCAGAAAAAGAATATATCTATTATTTTATAAAATAGAAAGAATATAGACTTAAAAAAGATATATAAGAATTTATTAAATACTTAAATTACTCTAAAAAGATTTAGGAATAAAGATAGAAATATAATTAAGAAAAATAAAAAGATTAAGTTAGTACTAAAAATAAAATTATTATTTTATAAAATAAATATAGTAGTAAGAAATTCTTTAATCTTTTATTATTCTTTTATTTATTTTACTTTTATCTCTTCTTTTATTTTTTCTAATTTTTCCAGCTTTTTAATATTCTTAATATCTATTTAGATAAATTAATTAATATATTTTTATAATAATTTCTTTTATTTTTATAAATAGTTAAATTTAGCTATAAAAGCTATAATTTTCTTATAAACCTTTTCTTTATTAATCTTAATTTTATTTTAAATATTAGTGAGCCACTTTTAGATTAGATTAAAAATAAATATTTTAAAGTAGTAATAATTATTTACTTAAATATACTTATTATAATACTTTAAAAATTCTATTTTAATATAAGTCTTTCTTAAATCACTGTATTAATTATATAAGAAGTAATAAATAATTCTAAATTACTTAATATATAAAAGAAGAGAATTTTTTAAAATAGATTTCTTTAAAGATATAATTAGTATAAAACTATAAGATTATATATTACAAAAAGTTAGAAATTAGAATTAATTTTTTATATATCTAGAAACATAAACTATTTATTAAATTATTAAGATATTAGCCTTTAAAAAAGAAGATTATTAAAGAATTAGAACATTATAGCTAATAGATAAAAGAAATTAATATATAATAGAATAAAAGATTATCTATAATTATTAAGATTAAGATATTATAAAAATCAGAATAAAGACTATAATAGCTATAATAATCACTATATAAGAATTATAAGATTCTTTATAATAGCTATAATAGAGAAAAGTTATATAAAGATACTTATTTATTTTATATTTAGTTTTTTTCTATCATCTTAAATTAACTATAATAACTTAAATATACAATCTTTTATTAATTAGGATATTCAAAAGCCTTATTCTTATTTCTTTTATCTTATCAGACCTTTCAATCTTAGAAGCCTATTAACTTCGCCCATTAATAGCTATACTCGACGGTAATCCAACCGAAGTTTCCGACAATATAACTATATTAAGGAATGCAATATATAAAAAAAAAATAAAATTATAAGATATAAGCTATATAAACAAATACAACTATTATAAGCACCAGAATATCTATAGTAATAAATAATAATAAATCTTATTATAAAACTACTAAAGTTGGAAGGATATAACTCAATCTTAATAATAATAAATAGAATAATAAAGTATATATATTCTATACTAATAATGAAAAAGATGGATGTATTATTACTAATTAAAATACTATTATAATAAGTATTCCAATATTATAGTATATTAGAAATTATAATATTAAACAAAGAATTAGTATTTACATCATAACTATAAAAATCTATAATAAATCTAATAGGAGAAGAATAACAATTAAGTTTAGCTTATTATCTATAAATTAATAGATAAATAAAACAAATAAATCAGATACTTAAATAATACCTATAAAGCTATATAAACTATTAATAAGATAATTAGGCAAAACTACTTTTAATAATATAATTAGCATACAATATAAGCAAATAGTCTATAATAAAGATAATACTATTTATAATATATACTGGAAGAGAAGCAAAAATATTAAAATAATTATACTATAATTAGCTAATAGTAGAAATTATAAAAAGAAAAGTTAATAATATAAAGATTATATATCTTTATTTATAATAAGAAATAAAGTATAAAGAATAAATTAATATAAAAAAATATAATTATAAAAATCAGAAGGGACCTGATTTTAAGAAAAAAAAAAAGATCTATCTTTTTTAAAAAAATTTATAAATATTATAAGAAAGTAATAAATTTAATTATTTATAATTAAGATTATTCAAAATTAAAGAAAAAATTAAAGAAGTTAATTATAAATTTAAATTACTAGACTCTATAAAAATTTATTTTATATTTTATATATTATTACTAGAATCAACACTATAAAATACTAAAATATAAACTAATATCATTATCAAACAAGAAATCTATAAAGTAAAAAAATTATTAATAATCAAAATAATTAGAGGAAGAAAAAGATACTTAATAAAATAAAAAGAATATAATAAAATAAAAAATATTTAAAAAATTATTAAAAATCTTACTAGAGTATAAAATGTTATTAAGAAATTTTATAAAATATAATATTAGGTAAAAAAAAATCCTATAAGAAAAATAATCTAGGATTAATAAGTAATATTTTAATATTTAAAAGAATCTAGTAATAACATTTAACTATTATTTATTTAAAAAAATTAAAATAGAATCTTTAGGATTCTCTTTATTAAGAATATCTATAATATTTATATTATGATCTAATATTTTATTATTATACTTTTTAAAAAGTTTCTATTATTTATAAAGATAAATTAGTTTTATAATAATCTTTTATTATATTTACATTAAATATTATTATTATTAAAATAACTCTTATTAAAGCTTTAAAAAAGCTTTAAGATTATTTTTAATAGTTTTTATATCTATTTTTATCTTTAACTTAACTTATTAGAGTTTATCCTAATCCTTATTAATATAAAAATAATATTTATATTTTTTATTATTTTAAGTATATAAGATATAATTATAACTTTTTAAATCTATAATATAAAATAAATCTTAGTGGATATAATAAGAATATAGATTATTAATTAGAAAGCTATTCTAAAGAATATAGTTAACTTAATAATAATACTAGTGGGTTTAGAGACTTAGTTTAAGTATATTAATATATTTTAAATACTTATTTATAAAGAAAATAAAATTATATTAGAAATAAGAGTAAATCTTTTTATTTATATCTTTAGAGATAAAGGTCTTAAAGAAAAAGAAGTAATATTATAAAATTAACTTATATAATACTAGATAGAAACTAATACTATATAAAAAAGATATTTAATTAAAGCAGCTAATATTATAACTAGTTATTTATATACACTAGTATATAAAGTGGTCACTAAATATATAAACTTAAGATTAATATAAGAAAATATATAACCAGTATATATATACTAAGATAATAATTATTATATACTAAAATATATACTAAAATATATACTAAAATATATACTATAATATGCACTAAAATATATATAAGGGAGGACTGTATATTAAAGTATATATTAATAGATTATCTATATAAACACATTTATTTTTATACTTAGTTTTTACTTAATATAACTCTTTAATCTAAATTACTTAATTATATACTAAGAAGGTCAGTAAAATAAATCTATTTAAAGTATTATAATACTTCAAGATGCTTCTTCTACCTCAATTATAATTAACCAATCTTTATTACTAACAAGTCTGAACTATATCTGATCTTATTAATAAGTTACTCTTATAAACCTTTGTATGGTTCAATCATCATATCATACCTTGACACAACCAGTGACAACTAAGGTGGATCCAGGCGCGTGACATTGCATAGCAGATGACAGCGCTAGACTTTTTAGGCTAGCGGCATAAGCCGCCACTTGGGGTCGAAAGTAAATAAAATGAGTCCTGAAACCCTAAGTGCGCTAATCTTCATACGCTATGCATGCAAATCGTTATGATATTTAAGCCAACAGCCATGCCAACTGGACGAGCAAAATCCTTGAACTCGTGCTTACTCACGCTTATCTGTCTGTCTTAGTGATTGATCTTTCTACTGTCATACGATCATGCTACCAACGAGGGACTTAGGAAAGGGCGGGCCGAGGGTTTCTGCTCAAGGTGTGAATGGAACTCCTTCGCCTATCACTACTATCTTCACTGACTATATTTCAACCCTTAGGCTTAGGTTTAATGGGCCTGTCGATGTTCTACGACAAACGTCTTCCTGATGAAGATCGCTTGAAATTCCTCGACTATGTCCATGCCAAAGGTGTAACCTTTTGGGACTCCGCTGACGTCTATGCGGACAACGAAGATCTATTGGCAAAGTGAGAATGCTTCCATGTCTCCTTTTCTTTTACTTATCCTAAGACGCTGGCTTTTCAGGTGGTTTCGGCAAAGTGGCAAACGCAAGGATATCTTTCTTGCAACCAAATTTGGTATCAAGCAGCATCCCGGCAAGCCAGCATCAATACATAATGGCGTAGATTATGTACGCGAAGCGTGTCTTCAAAGCCGCAAACGCCTAGGTCTAGAAGCAGAAGACGCAATTGACCTATACTATTGCCATCGCATTGATCCGAAGCAACCGATTGAGGTCACTGTAGCTGCGATGGCCAAACTGATTGAGGATGGTCTTGTCAAGTACATTGGCCTGAGCGAATGTTCTGCAGATACACTGCGGCGAGCTCATCGTATCCACCCCATCGCAGCTGTGCAAATTGAGCTCTCCCCTTTCGCTATTGAAAGCTTGAAGAACGGTCTTCTTGACACCTGTCGCGAACTTGGGGTTGCTGTTGTTGCCTACTCTCCATTTAGTCGGGGATTTTTAACTGGCAAGTTGCGCAACCCGGATATTCTAGTTGAGGATGACCGTCGACGGGTCTTGCCGCGTTTTTCCAAGGAAAACTTTGGCGAAAACCTGGCGATCGTTGATATCATAGAGGAGCTAGCTCGGAAAAAGGGCTGCTCTGTTGGTCAGCTCACTTTATCTTGGCTGTCTGCATTGTATGAAGGAATCATACCGATTCCAGGTACCACCAAGGCCCAGAATTTGGATGAAAACCTAGGCAGTCTTCGAGTCGAGCTTAATGAGCAAGAGATTGAGGCCATGAACAAAGTCGTGTTTGCAGCAGATGTGCAAGGTGACCGCCATCCAGAGAGCATGATGCCTTTCCTGTACGTGGACACTGTTTCTCTGCACGAAGAGTAGATGGTGGTGTCACGTGGTACTTAAGCCATTTTTGGCCATTTTTAGATTCCTGTTTCTAAGTCCTGTACATCATATGAAAGGCCAGTCAGAGGGACGCGTACTGGGAAGATTTTGGTGTAGATGAATCTCCAAGTAGTGAAGCTGCGAATATCACCGAGATGTCTTAAGTGTCTAAACCCTAGCCTAGGCTTTTTATATTGTTGCAGGTTATGACAAGGTCAAAGAACGAAGCCTGCTATCTCAGCTAGTCACATCAGTTTACAAATTTTTCAAGCCGAATGATGCTAGCACACATGATACGATTATGGATGAATCTATCAGTACCTAGGTACTCCAGGGTTAATGAAAAAAGGCAAAGGAGTCAATTTGATATGCTGCTTTAACAGGTGCGCATCTCCGGCCATCCTTCTCTACCACTTATTTACTAGCACATAACGATATCGTGATTTTCCGTTGTTCATGTCCACAATGGCGTTATTTGCATCATCCATAGGCCGCTCTTCAATCCAGGGCTTCAGCTGCTTCTCTGCAGCTAATTCCAACATCTCTCGGATATCGCCTGGGGAACCTATGACTGATCCACCCAGTTTGGCACCTCTCATGATCAGCATGCCGGCAGGTATAGATAAAGAGCCATCCTCAGGGTTCCCCAATTGAATTAACGTGCCGTCAACTTTCAGTAGGGAAACATATTGTGCCAGAGGCATCTAGGAAGTGGTTATTAGTCTGTGGCTAGAAACTGACCATCTTAAGGTTGATAGAACGCACCTTCGACGAAGAGACGGTAGAGATTATGAGATCTAGAGACCGGCCATTTTCCTGCGCCCAATCCTTATCCTCGTCTGTTGCGATATAGGAGGTTGCACCGAGCTTCAGTGCATCGTCCCTTTTATTCCCCTTGCGGGAAATAGCAACTATTTTGTCAGCTCCTAGAGCCTTTGCAAAGAGAATAGCAAAATGGCCCAGTCCGCCCACTCCAATAACGCCAATGGTTTTACCCGGACCACAGCCATTCCGCTTCAAGGGAGTATAAGTTGTAACTCCACCGCAAAGCATGGGAGCCGCATCCGCAGACGAGATGGCGTCAGGTATCTTCACAACAAAACGGGAAGGGCTGCGGTTGTAAAGGGCATAGCCACCATACGACTTGCTCCCGTTCATGAAAGTTCCATTGTAAGTCCCAGCCCAGTGGCGGCCGCAGTATCTCTCATTACCTGAGGCACATTCCTCGCATGGTCCCTTGCGGCCGAGACATGATTCTCCCTGAGCACCAACGCCGACACGATCACCGACTTTGATGCCACCTTCCGCCTGTGAGCCAACTTTAACGGCAATACCAACGATTTCATGCCCGACGCAGCACGGGTACAGCGTAGGCCCCTATCGGTTGATCAGTCAGAAAAGGATTACATATGAGGGTCACCGGCTCCGGCGAGTTCCACATACCCATCCACTGCGTAGGGTGTGCAAGTCGGAACCACATATGCCGCTGTGGGTGATTTTGATATCAATATCAGTCTCTTCCCAAACCTTAGGCTCGAACTCCTTCCACTGCATAGTGCCGTTTGCAGCTGAGGCATCACTGGCAAGCCATCCTTCGAACTTGTAATCTTGTGAAGTCATGTTGACCGGGAATATAAGCTGAAAACAATGGTTTAGGTCTTTAGAGCGATGATGAGGTTTGAAAGAGAGAAGACCAGGTGTGGATGGTGTCTTTTTATATTAGTTATTGGATATTAACTCCGACCGCGCTCAAGCGCCACTGAACCAAGATAAGAACATCTTCGGATTTAAGGGTCCGACTTGCGAAAGCAGTTTGTGCCTGGGGGATCATACTATTGCCACTGCGAAAAGATGGATCCCCACAAGACTCCACCCCGATTGCGGGTCGATAGAATCACAGAGAATGTAATCAGAAAGCATTTCAAGCTCCACTGCCGCTACGTTTTGTATTTGCTATTCACCACCATACGGCTGGCTTCAAGTAACAGACACGAGAATATCTATGTTCGGGTGTTGGGGTCTGCCGATCAATGAAGTACAGACTTCCTGATTACTGCTGATGAAAAAGATATCAGTTAATTTGACTGTTTTATCATTGCTTTCTGAACAGAGTCTTGAGGTCTTGCAAATTTATAGCGCTAGCTGTTTTTGGGTAAATTTGGCATTGGCCCCTTGTGTAATTAGTAATCACGCTAACTCCACAGACCCACCAATCCATCCCTGCTTATAGGACTAGCCGTTTCGAGGATAAAAATTTTCGGTTCGGAAAATCACGTCTCCGAAGTACAATTACCTTTAGTAATTTGCATGCCTTCGTCATCTCTTACTCGTGTGATAGCAAAAGCAAAAATAACAATGGTAGCAATGGATGACCTCAGACTTTTAGGGAACCTCCCTACGCTTATTAAGGGATCACGGGATGCCTATGCATCATTGCAGGATCCCGATAACTGGACTGGTGTACTCGACCCTGTGGAACGTCGACGTCGACAGAATCGAGTGAGCCAGAGAAAGTTCCGTGAGTGCCACAGTGCCATTAGTGTGCCAATTGCCACCATCTTACTGTTTCTTTATCAGAACAACGAAAAAGACAACGGACGCAGGAAAATGCAGTGAGTTTAACTCGAAAATGGCGCAAAATCGGAACATTATCGGACGGCAATACAAGCGACCACGCCAAGGAAATGGTGCATCAAAATCGAGTGACGATTGCTGGAGTGGAATTTTACTGCACCTTGGCCCCTAGGCGTCTCGAACAAATTGTACGAAGTTGGCGTAGCAACTCATTGCCAATCAGCTCCCAGCAGATTCCGCCAACATCCGATCTTCTTTTAACCATATCGAAACTGAATGTTTATCATGGTTTATGTGAAAATTTAAAAGCGCTAGGCATGAATATGGATTGGTTACACCCGGAGGCTATCTCCCGTTTCAGTATAATGGCTCCATTTCCCTCATCCGCAAATACCATGCCACTAGATTTGCAGCCTACAGCAGTTCAACTCTCAATACCTCATCATCCATGGCTGGATTTCTTCCCATTTCCACGAATGCGAGATGCCCTCATCTTAGCAGGAGATGAACTGGATGAAGATCGGCTCTGTATTGATATCATGGGCTTTTGGATTTGTGAAGACGAGGAGCCTGCTCTTCTTGTTTGGGGTCCACCTTGGGATTTTCGAAGCTGGGAAATCACGGAAACATTTATGAAAAAATGGGGCTGGGCGGTACAGGACAGCCCAGAAATATTAGAGACTACGAACTACTGGCGCTCTCAGCGAGGTGAGAGGAGGCTTCGGCTACGTTCTCTCGCTATATAGCTAGTTAAGTAATTCATGCCATCTACAACTTACGTTTGATTTATCTTAAACTGTTTTCTGGAAATGATGGGACCCTGCGTCAAATTTATTTTACTGCACTCATTCGACCATATAAGAAAATCGTGATATATCTAACTTCTTTGCGAAATATAATGGACAATATCCCTGCATTTCTATGAGAGTTTCCAATTAAACGGGGAATTATATTATATTCTCCTCGTGGATGTTTACCATTGCAACTAGCAACTAGGTGACAACGGATTTAGCTTAGTTCCGAACTAATCAGCCGAGCCTAAAGCTAGTTCCGAGGTCCAAGAATTTCGCCGGCCTACGTGCTTATTTCATGACTAAGCTCCTCCTTCAAAGAGCTGACTCAAGCATGAAAAATATTCGACTGTTTCGGTGTTGGTGTATATCATTCCATTGTCGTAGGTTGGTTCAGGCTTATAGATGTGCCCCTTATACGGGAAAGAAAAAAGAAAAAAAGAGAAAAAAACCTCTGTTTTTGTTACCATTAGTTTACGACGAAGCCTGTGGAACAGGTTTAGCGCCGATCTCTGCCGACGGCGACTTATCTATTTAAGGTTAGATTATAAGCACGCTACTTTTTAAGTTTACGCCACTGTCAGCGTCATGCATTAGCGTAATTTTTAATTTTTTTTCTATTTTTTCAAAACATGATTACATTCACTCCGTATGCTGAATTAGAAGAATAAACGAATAACTAGTTATAGCGAATAACAGTCTAGCTATGATGTCACAGTTCTTGAGTCGAGGCGAGGTATATATGTATATTTGTTGGTACTTTAACCTCAATGAATTCAATCAACTTCCAAATCTCCACTATCATATAGCCTTACACTTAATTCTCACATGCCAACTTCTAATTCTCTTCCGAATGGCATACTCGCACGTCACCGTTGATTGCTCCTAGTGCGTCGAGAGTATCCCGTCTTTGCCTGGTTATTACGACTGTCGGGGATTGACAGCAAGAGCGTTATAGCGAGATCTTGAAGGATCTTGCTTTTCATGTCCTAGACGAGTTCTGTCCCAATGGTGGAAATCATTTAGATAATACCAATGAGTATCAGAATAGCCAGTCGGAAGAACAGCTCGGCGAGTGTACGACTTCAGGGGCAATCGTGACCAGATGGGCGTGACCACGAAGTTCTCAACAATGTATCGTAGATCATGTACTGACTAGATCAAGACCAATATCGTTGATAACTGATCTAAGAGCACAAATATCTCTCTGATGCTCTCTGATGAAGCATCGTTGAAGAAGTTGCAAACGACCTACACCGATTTGTTCTATGTGCATTGGTGGAACTATACAACCATGAATGAGGAGCTGATGCACAGTATAAATAACCTTGTCGCAATCAACGATCGCCCTGCTTGGGTGATCATCTCGGCAAAATAGATATGCACGCGACGGTGGTCTGGGACCATTTCCAGTCTACCAGGGCATGTGAAATGCCGCTATGCGTGACTTCGGGCGTGACATAATCTCCATGTGCAGGGCTGGGACATAGCTTTTGGCCCCTACGGCTACTGAATCAAAAACGGTTCAAAACATGTTAGGGCTTTGATGACCGCGAGAATTATAACACGCGACGCAACTTCATCCCTACATACTCGAGGGACAAGTAAGTCTCAGCTGTTCTTAAAGAACTATCCAATAAAGGAACTGTCTTGCATTTCGCCTAGCATTCTGCTTACAGAAGACTCCTTATATTTCCTATTATGGGCGGACAGAAAGCTTAACATATTCAAGGCAGTATTGATGGATTGGAAGTCGAGCTAAGTGACGATGAGGTTGCGCAAATCGAGAAAGCGTTTCCCTTCGACCACCGATTTCCGTATAGATATTTTAGCGGGACGTTGTTCAAGGGAACCGATGAATTGGACTAGCGCCAGGTTGAGGGTCCTTGGGATGTCAATCTTATAAAGACTGGGGATGAATTTGTCTGTGTTCAACACCTAGAAGCAATTCGACCAAGTGACGTAGACAAACAGGCTGCAAAGCCCGCCTTTAAATGGACGAAGGAATCTTGAAGTAGGTATTAGCATTATATTTGCTGTGCCGCACGGGTTCAACAAGGAATTTACTTTCTTACTCCCGGAATCTCAGATCCAACGAACTTTGAACTGTTATCAATCCCAACTATAATACTGTTCGCCATCTAGACTTGTAGTGCAAAAAAATTGGGGTCATTGACATTTGTCCCAGTCCGAGCGTAAGATCCCCAGCTTGAATTTCGAGGCGCGTATTCTATGAAGTGACACTAGCGATCAGCCTTCTGGATAATGCCTTATGCCAGCAACTCGAAGTAAACTTTTATCAACTATGCCAACCATTGCCTCCTTTCAAGGTCTTGTACCTTTCGACCATCTGATGCCACATGTCACAGTATTGCCCCTGAATGTAGGATAGGGGAGCTGTACCATCTAACCAAGCCTTGATAATCAAGTCGCAGGACCCGAGCAACATTTTCTTGTCTTCAGAACATCGCCTCCAGACTTCTACTCTAGTCAGCGTTCCTCTGAAGTTAAACGTTTCCAATATCTCCTCCGGGGCCTCTTCAATGATAGACTTCAGCTGCCCTGCAGTGAAATTATAAAGCAGCTTAAATCCAATAGGCGCATGTTTCCAATTGTGTAGACCCCGAAGCCCTCTGAGAAAGTCTATCACCCTCAGGTCGAACTTAATGTTCCCTTCATGAATAATGGCGTGTCCTTCAGTGGACGTGGTAAAATTCTCATTACAGCCGATAAAGTCTAGCTCTTCTGCACGAAGGCGTACGATTCCGTCTTGACATTCGTTGATCTTTTTTACTTTCTCGTCAATATCTCTTAAAACTTCCGTAATGGGGGCGAACGGTCTGTCATCGGTAACCGGCGTTGTGGTATCCATGTCGATATAGCCCTAGCATAAAATGCTCCCGATGTCTTGTTGAATCGCGCCTTTCTTCAAATGATTCGAATGAATCTGAGGAGTAAATAGTATGGTACCTGTCAACTCCAGCTCAGATTCTCAGAAGAAGCGATATTGCCGGAATTTGTCTTACTGTCGTTCAACACTCCACCGTCGTCTTTCACCACAATAATCCAATTTATTTCTTTCTTTATAGTGACTGAGATTTGAAAACGACATAACAGTTCGTCTTTATTTTTACCTAGTCCATGTTTCACGTGGAATCCGAAAAGACTTTCAAAGCCGCATAGAAAAACTCAAAGAGGAACGAAAATAGGCCATGAATCTCAAGCTGACATACAAACGCTCACAGTGGAGTCATACTGAGACCTAAACAAGCCAACGGCCTAGAAGACTCCTAGACGAATCCTCTTTGTCTTCATGGTCAGGAGATGTACATATCCTGGACATCTAAAAGAATGGTCTGACTGATTCTCAAGTACATGAACCTGCAGAAGACTTTACCGTTTCATTAATGCGAATAATATTCATCCAGCATATTCCATGACTTTCAATACTGTTCTTTTCAAAATGATCTAAAGAAGGCCTTGCTTATATCTCGTAGAGAACTGCTGTCAGCTTCCGGGCAAGGCGGCTTCAAACAGAGCATTTGAAACAAATATTCTTTAGCCAGTGTGTGATGAGTCTGTTAGTATGATTATGCACAAAGCCAGAACCTCCTGTTTGAAACTGACTTTTTACTCTCTCTTCTTTTTTGATTACGTGTGCATAGTCTTATTTTCTATTACATTTGGCTGAAACTAATACAATCTATAAGATTTAAGTCCTACTATTATCGCGACATAGCTAAATGATAGATCAAAGCAATGACCTAAAAAGGGAGGTATAACGTTAATATGCATGCATATCTCATCCTTTCACTTTGAATGCCTAGGTCAATATAGTTGGAAAAGTTTTTTATAGAAACGTTCGGCAATTTGAAGGTAGAACAAGTAATATCGCAACAATAATGTATCTGAGTATCATATAATAGTCACCTAGGCAGATAGACAAATGCAAAGCAGATCAAGAGTCCATAAGGTCCTCTGGATGTGTCAGTTTCAGTGGCTTTCATATAAATCATGAGCAGTACGTAACCACTTTGCATGTCTAGTTTGCCTTTGCTCATACTATCATACCTATCTGAATTTACATGACACGTAATATAAAAGCAAATAGAAACAAAAGAGTAGTTTCTAAACTTCGGAACAAGGATTACGAACATATAAACCTGAGAACTAAGAAATAGACATGCACAAAGATGAGCAAGATGGCAAATAAACTAGGAATGAGTAAGGTTCTCAGATGAGGAGATGTCCTACCTATAAAACAAGCTCCAATGTGCATTTCTAACTGCAGCATCTCCAACAATAACTATTGTTGACTTACATAGTGATTACTACTGTCCTGTTAGTACGTTACTAGCGAATTCACTCATTTAATTATTTCATTCGGATCATTATTCTGGGATTTTTCACTGTGATAGGGAGGCCCTTCTTAAATAGCCCGACTAGCTAGATTCGACCCGACACTAAGTTTACAGCATAGTTATGCGTAGCCTGCGAAAAGCTTTCGAAATATTTAATTAGTATCCTCGTCTTCGACAAGAATGCCATAGTCGTCATGTCCTTCACAGCGCATCGATTACCCGGTAAGGAAATGTTTTCAGAATAGGCTTAGCGCCGCTAGGATCGATTTATTTCCTCTTTGGGTAAATTTCGCTGTTTTAACGTTTCACATCGAAACTGCGGCAGGAAAAGACTTTTAGTAGTTTTGAATGGATGCATAGCAGAATTATAAAGAGTAATCGTCAGTTCCATATGAAAGAAAAATACTCAACGGACTTTCATAGATTTCGGAAGAAAGGTCGTGCTGCGGCAAGATATTAGGGCTAGGAGACCGACAACGAACTCTTCCTTCACAATCAGGCTCTTGGCTCTCTTTGAGAACAAAAGACATGTTCCAAATCTTCACCTCGAGTTTCCGAGGGAGCATTCATTTTGATAGACAAATGTGAGATGATTCAATGAAGCGTCAATCGTACTCATAAATGCAACAATCCACATGCGTAATTATTTCCCTTCACAAAGTGCGATAATGCCAAATTGTGATTACAGATTGCAACAATTTTTGCAGCCCACTTATGATGCCGCATAGCCTCAATGTAGACTCGCGGTTTGTCAGTATTTTATACAGTAGGTGGTGCCCTTTTTTCAGCACATGTCAACTAAGAATGCACCTTTGTGATTATGGATTTTCTATATTAGGCAGGGGACAATGCGAAGTTCTTGACAGAAATGCAATGCTGCCACTTGCTAGCGGCGGAAGTTAGATAGTAGATTATATCCTCATAGTAGAAGATTAAACGCATGCGTACCCACGGTTTTTCTTCACGAAGGGTGCCATATCCTGCTGCAAACGCTGTTTCGTTATGTTCACTTCCAGCCAATAATCTCTTCAAACAATGCAAAGAAGCCTGACGTAAATCAATAATTCGACATATAGCAAGAGTGACAGAACGATAGAACAGATTTCCCAAAGCCTTCGCTGACATGCGGAGCACGCATGTATCAAATAAGGAAACAGGAGATATCAATAGTGGATACTTCGTCAATTCATATGTCATTCTGCATCGCTCGTCGTTTCCGGTTCAACTGTGTAACCCGTCACCTTTGACTGACGATTTGGAGGCCTCGTGACTAAATTTCTAGCGAGATGATTCGCCATTTTTGCTTATTAGGAGTTGAATATCGGTGACAGGTGCCATCCATGCCAGACTTGAGATTTGCATGCACATAATATGCATTCTGTGAGAGGCGACAAAAACTCACATGAGTAGACCATGATTATGCAATTCCTTTGCGTTAGAGTGAGACACATTACATCAAGTGCTTTTTTATTATGCTTGACAACTACGATTACGGGCGAATTCATGTGTACGACGATATGCAGATTGGCGTGTAGAACATTTTTGATTACCGAGCTTCTTTAAAGGCAGCATTGACGTACGACTTCAGAAGCCGATGACGTATGGTCTATTCTGGGAAACGGAGGAGCTGGTGTAGACAACTATGATCCAGTAGACTTTATGCCGCTATCATCTTCTGTATGCCGTGTATATATCATAGGCAATTTGAGCGAGGACGGGAGTATCAAAGTAACATTTCTTTTAATGACTGCAAGAAGTGCTTTCTGTGCATATTACAACCTTTTACAAGTTCTCATAGAATGCCTGCCTGCATAGGTTAGATTAGTTTTATTATAGAGATAATAAGATAACACCTAAGTCATGCTGCTGCACACCCATAGCTGAAAAATCTCTGTGCTATTCTGTGGGAGTCGCATAGATAATTGGGTATTGCGCCTGGGCTGATGCCCACTTACATCCAGGCGGGTATCTTAGTGTGTATAATTTCCAGTCATTGATAGCACAAAATCCGGCTTTTTAGATAGTTTCACCGTACAAAGATTTCCATTTTATTTGACTTCATTGACGAAATATACAGGCTAACAGAGACTGATTTCGCGATTAAGAAACACGATGTAAATCACGTTCCACGACATCTTGCATTTACATCGGACAGATCAGCATCAATCCAAGTGACATTTCTTCAGCCATGAACCTGATTTCCTTGGATATTCCCTGCAGGTTGCATTGGCGCATTGATAATATCTCTTCGTGTCGAAAGTACTAGAAGGAAGTACAGATATATATATCTGTGCGTGCCAACCTAACCGAGATCGTTTCCCTACACTCATTAGCAAGATAGCTGCAAAAAGACGATAGTATAATACATATATAATATAAATTATTCATGTAAAATAATAAGTTGTTAAAACACCCATGAATCCATACGTAACTACAGACATTGTAAGTAGTCAACAACATCCTGTCATGTCAGATCATGCATGAACGATAGATACTGGTACATGCAATCCCTGAAATCGAGGCCAACTCGTCTGCTTTGACAAGAAGAGAATTAAACGCTGATGGCGGAATATAAGGCATAATACACACATAGAATGAACATTACCAGAAGCCTCATTAAGGGTTATGCATATCTATAAAGATATAAAACAGGAATTGGCAAGGCTGCCTTTCGTAGTATATACCTGGGTAACGCATGCAATGGGTGGAATCAGCTGCATGGCTGGGCACCAGTAGCTGCGGATTTAGTATCTGCCCAAGTACCTATGCATGATCCTGAAAATTGTGGTGAGTGCAATTTTCTGAATTCCTGACCTAGCTCGGTAGATATTCTATTTTATTTTTCTTGAAATTCCGAATAGTAAGAGGCAGGTATCCCCATAATTCATATCTGTATAGATACTTTCTATGTATCTTTCTACGTGCGCTAAGCCTCTCTGGTAAGTCAGTCTATCTAGAAGGCTACAAAGGGGCTCTGGGTATCTTACTTCCTAATTGTTTGGCTCACACATTCTCTAAAAGGGTAATTTTGGCCGCGTATCTCAGAGCCATAATTTAAACGAAGAAGAGGGCGACTGCTCACGCCTCATACCCACTCCCCCCTTAATCAACATGTCGCTTATACTTCTGGTTCATATAATCTCCATTTGCCCCGAAGCCTGAATATGGTGTGCTGCAATTACTAACTATGTAGGACACGTCATGTTCCACACATTGCAGAATGCACGGTAGGGGATTAGCATACATGCATGCAGAATGTCTAAAGAGGAATTCCGGTCTTCGGGCTTCCAACCATGTGATCCTACAATGCTCGGCAAAACTCTTGTAAGCGATGACCCATGCGGAGGAAAACATGACTGCAGAAAATTGCAGAGGTTCGCCACATCAAGATCCTTTCCTGATGCTATCTAGAAACCGCCGACAAACTAGCAATAATGATATCAGTGCTGCTAGACTCGAACGGGATGGCATGGCATGGCATTGCATCACTGCACTATAAAGTACAACTTGATGGTTTAATACACCTCTTTTGAGCTGTATTAGCACCAATCGTAGGCTGGATTCAGCCATGGCGATCGATAAGCTGGGGTACTTGAAAGCGACTTCTCTGATCTCACCTATATGCGATTGCTCTGGGCATGGAAGTGTAGCGAACAAGTATAAATATTGCCTGTTCAGCGGCACCAAATGAGAAAGCTCTCATAAAAGTTTGACTCTCAATCTCGAACATCTAAGCTACACAAATATTCCAAACTCCTTGTCAAAAATGCCCTCTATGGTCCCCGTCTCTCAATGGTGGCAGCTCCATCAGAAAGATGGCTCTCTACAGCATCAGACAGTACCAATACCAGATATCAAACCTAATGAGTTGCTGGTGAAGCTCCAGTACACTGGTGTCTGTCACAGCGACCCTAAGATCCAGGAAGGTTTGTCCCTTCCCCTTCCCCTGACCGCATGTTCAATATTACTCATGTTACAGTTGAGTAGAATGGCCAGCTGACCTTGGATAAATAGGGATCCTCGGTGCGTATATCGAACTCAGACGAGGTGTTTCATATTTATGAATCTAATATGACCACGGACTCAAGGTGGCCACGAAGGCACAGGTACAGTTGTGCGTGTGGGAAACCTCGTTACTAATTTCAAGATTGATGATCACGTTGGCATAAAGGTATATACCACGCAGTACCAAAAACATTCGTAAATAACCATATGCAGTTTCTCCATGATCCCCGTGACAACTCATGCGACCTTTGTGAGCAGGGGCACCAGAAGATCTGTCCCGTGTCTGGTGCTCACGTTAGCGCTTCGTTTCAGCAATATCGTGTCTGTAAAGCAAGTGAAGCAGTACGCATTCCGCGAGATATGGATATGGCTTTGGCAGCGCCGGTGATTTTGAATCATCCTTTATGTAACAGGCCGCTGCATCCTTTTGCTAACGAAAACTCCAAGATCATGTGCGCTGGCGTAACAGCCTTCAAGGCTCTTCAAGAGTGTGATCTGATACCGGGCCATATCGTCGGTAAGCCCCCTACCTCTCTCTCTCCCATTTATCTAGCTCTCTCTTATGTGTTGGCTCTAGCAATCGTCGGCGTTGGAAGCGCAGTTGGTATCTTGGCATGCCACTTCGCCAAAGCACGCGGCTGTCAAGTCTTAGCTGTTTCTCACGGCAGCAAAAACCGGAATATGTTCCTCAACGATCTAGGTGTATATTCCTTCGTTGATTACGAAGATTGCCCGGACATTACCACTGAGATAAAATCCTTGACTTTTGGTGGCCCACATGCTGTCATCGTTGACTCGATTTCGGATACCCTCCTTCAATTTGCTATTCGGGTACGCGTGAAAGGTATCATGGATATGATGATTGGCTCTAGACTAATTTTTCCTTCTTTAGTTTGTTCGTACGTCTGGCACTGTTGTGCCTGTCGGACTACCTCCGGGCGGACGTTTGAACGCCGACATAGTTGACATTATGGCTCGAAGGGTGAAGATCAGAGGGTCCTGGGTGGCTGGTGTGGCAGATACGGAAAAGGCACTTCAAGTTGTCCACGAAAAGAAATTACAAATATCCCATCAAGTCATTCATGTGCGTGACTTGCCTCTAGTCTGTAAGAAGATTCAAGAAGGTAGGAAAGGTTGCGCGGGTATTCAAAAGCAAACTACCTTTCTGACCATATCTTTTCTTAATACAGGAGAATTGGTCGGTAATCTCGTTCTTGATATATCCCAGGAATCCTGCGGTTCATTGCGAAAAGGCTTGCCTATCAACTACTCAAGCCTGGCTTCAGAAAACTGGAATATCGGAACTTATCTGGCAAGTAGGATGGAAACGCTGGGAGTCAAGCATTATTTTGCCGTTCCAGGTCTGTTGCCCAAGCCTTTCTCCAGAATTCTGCTGAATGTGTGATTCTTCCTAGGGGACTACAATCTACACTTTTTGGACGAACTTCTAAAAAATGAGAACCTTCAGATGATAGGGTGCTGCAATGAGCTGAACGCCGGGTATGCAGCCGACGGTTACGCGCGGGCTTCTCCGTCTGGATTCGCCGTGGTCATTATCACACATATGGTTGGAAGTCTGTCGGTCCTCAACGCCATTGCAGGGGCATATGCAGAGCGACTTAAAGTGGTAGTCATCAACGGTTGTCCCAAGTCTGCGGACTACGATTCAAACAGAATAATGCATCATACGACAGGCGAGGTAGACAAAGGGCAGTCTCATAGGATTTTCAAGGAGGTGACATGTGCGAGTGTCCGGCTACAGCCAGCACCTGATATCGGCATTCAGTTAGACGCAGTCTTGCAGCAGTGTATCAAGAACTCTCTCCCGGTCTATATCGAGGTACCCAGGGACACTGTGCAGATGACATGCCTCCCACCAGCAGAATTTACGATTCCAGCACGAATCTCATCTAAGGACAGATTAGCGGCGGCAGCTGAGCTGATTAGAAAAGCATGGACAGCTGCGAAGAATCCAGTCATACTCATTGGTGGATTCACTCGCCTATATCTTACCAAAGACACCGTATCCTCGTTCGCTAGCAAGCTTGGCTGCGCCGTATTCTTCCTTCCAGATGGTAAATCGCATATCCGGAACTCGCACCCGCAGGTATGCGGGGTATTCTGGTCAAAAGCCTCTGATCCGGAGGTAGTGACCACAGTCATGGAGTCAGACCTGTGGGTTGTGATCGGTGGACACTGGTCTGATATGCACACGGTCGGTTCATCAATCGATCTTGAGAAAGAACAAAGCAGAATTCTGAATCTTGAGGGAGATCACGTTCGGATGCCAGATGGTACATCCATAGAGGAGGTGGCGCTTCAAGAGGTGATTGAGGAGGTTCTCCATTCACCTATTACACAAAACAATGCATCACTCAAGCATTTCCAGTTGGCCAGGGGCGTAACTACAAATGGTTTTGCCACTCCCAGTCTGGATTCATCACTCACCGTCAACCAGATCGTGAAAGGCCTTGAGCGGATTCTCAACAAAGACGATATCGTCCTTGCCGATACGGGAGACAGCTGGTTTCACGTAGCGTCCATGAGCATACCAGACGGAGTAGACGTTCATATGCAAGTCCTTTATGCCTCAATCGGCTGGGGCTTGCCGGCATCTCTGGGCTCCCAGATTGCTCGGGAAAAGAAGGGACGTTCAATATTAATGATCGGGGATGGCGCCTTTCAGATGACCGTACAAGAGGTGAGCACGATGATCAGAATGCGGTCAAACGCCATAATCATTATATTAAACAATTTGGGATATCAAGTTGAGGTAAGAATTAGACTTACGTCTTGGAAATTTTGCACTGACGAATTCTAAGACTGCCATACATGACGGCCCGTACAATTATATCGCGAACTGGCACTACGCCAGTCTTGTAACTGGAATGAGCAGTACTTTTCATACACTGTCATCACTCAATCCGTATATGTCAGAGGAAGAGAAGGAAGAACTACTGAGACCGGCAATGTTCTCGATGAAAGTTCAGACATATGGCGATTTGACTGAAGCTCTAAATAGAACGCAGAAAGAGTCTGATAAGCTTGCCATTTTAGAGTGCTGTGTGCATCCCGACGATATCAGCCGCATGTTGCGCAGATTTGGTCCTCTTCTTCATGGGAATGCTCCACCAGTCGAAGAGGAAGAACCGCATTTGACAAACAGACATGGTAACGGATCTTTAGTGCTCTCGAAGCTGGATTCGCCTAGTATAAAATCGCCGCTCTCCTCTGCCCGTCTCGTGATACACTCAAACGGAGAAGAGAACACACAGCCCGTCTATTCCAATACCAGCCATCAAGATCAATACCGCGAGCTGACGGACCATATGCTAACATGCGTCTGGACCGCAAGCGCCGGATGGCAAGAACCGAAAATCACGCGGTCTACCTCAATTGCTCTCAGTCCCACTGCTCCCGGACTCAATTACGGCATACAGTGTTTCGAAGGGATGAAAGCATACCGTGGCTACGACGGACAACTACGACTAATCCGGCCAATGTTGAACTTCAAACGCCTACTCAGCAGCGCTCGCCGGGTTGGTCTTCCCGATGACATCGATGTGGACGAGCTACAGAGGTTGATCGAGGCTCTTTTGCGGGTGGACGGGCCCAAAGGGCTACCCAGGGATTCTCCCGGCTCGTTTTTGTATATCCGTCCCGTCTTTGTGGCTACAGATGCGTCGATAGGTTTTCGAAGGCCCTCGGAAGCGTTGCTCTGTGTTGTTTTTGTCCGCTCCCCACCGTTCGATCATTCAAGTGCTATGAGTCTCATAACTAGCCCTATTAATCGCTGTCGTGCGTGGCCGGGAGGCACTGGAGATGCGAAAGTTGGCGGCAATTACGCACCTACTATCCCAACCCATAAAGAAGCTACTGAAGCCGGATATTCACAGACATTATGGCTGTTTGGTGATGACTGTCAGGTCACCGAAGCGGGAGCCAACAATTTCTTCGTTATCTGGCAGTCAGCACACAGCAACCGAATAGAGCTGGTTACAGCGCCACTGGAAGACGGAATTATTCTTCCTGGAGTCACTCGACAGAACGTATTAGACTTAGCGACCGAGGAGCTAGCCATTGACGGTCATGACGGGCAGAGCAGACTCGACGTTCTGGAGAGGACATTCACTATGCATGAGATTGTCACTGCTTCGGAGGAAGGCAGACTTTTGGAGGCTTTCACAACAGGGACAGCAGTAAGCCACCATCTATCCTCATTCTTATCTAGTCTTTAACTAATAGGTTGAATTGCAGCACTTCATATGCCCCGTGTCCAGAATCTATTTTCGAGGTACAAAGGACATTTTCCTGCCTCTTGCACACGGTCAGCCAGCCAAGTACACCGAGCTGATCAAAACTTGGCTAGAGGATATTATGTATGGAAAGGTAGAGCACTCGTGGGCGAGGATAGTCGATAATGCGTAGTCTCTTCATCAAGACGTTGACATTTTGCATGTTTCGTGTATGGCCATGACCACTACATATCCGCTAGATATCGGAGCGGGTAGAATATAGACACATTCATGCCATCATAAGTGCAAATTTCATGGATTGTTCACTCATTAAAAAGAATATTCAACAAATAGACGAAGTGCGATTCACAGGATCCATGATATAAATTTTGATTCCGATCCACCTTCGTGTGACAATTTCTAGTAGAGAGCGGAATGCTCAAACTACTACCAAGCCTTGAATTCTCCCAGCGAATCAATACAGTACAATCAACCTATCAGCAGGAGAAGGCCTAACTACCACTAGTATCAATCAGTATGCTTGTAGCTCTAAGTACAGTCGTTTGGCATGTGTGCATCTCATAGTATCTTTCAAGTAATATCTAAGCAGGGGAAAAAAAAAGAGGATCTTATAACAATTGTAAATAAATACATAGAAGAGAAAAATTGTATAAAATTATAGAATATTTTCATAATATATTAATTTTCTTTGTACTGAAAGATCTAGCAAATTATAATTAGTGGTTTTTGATTCAAATGTGTGCATCAGGCAGTGAACCACACTGTACATTAAATTACGTATATCCGATCAAAGCCGCAAGAATCGAGACCGCATTTACCAGCTTCGTGAAGGTCAAAATCGAACCCGACGAACTTGTAAGAGCAGAGAGCTCTACTCCGGTGCTGTCGCAGTATGTTTTGACCTGCAGCTACACGTAATGATTCATCAAGCTGAAGAGATGGTTCATGTGGAGTTGACGGTTCGAGGCAAAATGAGGAAAGCTCCACCATGGGGCAGACTTATATCGTGGCAAATTTTCATACATCATCCAGTCTTGGAATAGAGGCGCAGCAACAGCGTAACATGCTATACTTTTCCTGGGAGCCAAGCAAGGGATCCTATAGGCATAGTGTGACGACATGTGAGACTTGTCTTTTAGGCAAGTCTTCGACTTGATTTGCTTGTGGCTGTAGTCTGATGTCTTTATGTGACTGGATTATGTCGGTTCCTGCTGGTGAAATACTCCGTACAGGAGGAAAATTGTTGCTTGTCAACGGATGGATGACTGTTTCCGAAGTAAATGATGCATATATGTAGGTGGCTGAGCCTCGTCGCTCTGATGGTAGGTATCCCATGAGTAATGTGATCTGGCACAGGTATTAGACTCTTCTCGCCATTAATCTGTCTATTCAGCCGACTGACCACTGTTTAGCCTTGTCAGATACGTAGCCTTCTGGCAGGTTTTGTTCAACGGTGCACGTAAACTGACTGACATGGCTCCTATTTTATGGTACTATCTCGCTTCGGTTCTTAGCTTACCACATTCAAGGTAACTGTGCCATGGGTTCTTCAACAAATGTATGCCAGATCTAGTTCATGTTTCCATGAGCCAAGAACAGCGACAGGGCTGTGTAGAAATCGGTCCTTGGACGTCAACCTGCTCTGTAAAGCAATCAGTTTCATCCCTTGCTCAGAATATGAGCCATGGTATGGTATATCAACACTCTATCCGTCCCAAGAACAACTTTCAGACCTAAAAAAATTCTCATTCAACGCAATGTCATCAAGAAACCAACACGTTCTTGAGGCGGATCCCAACAGCGAAGTTCGTTTCAATATGCAAGAACCACCTAGCAATAATGGGCTCTTGCGACCACCTAGCAATTCGTTCGTTGACAATGCACGCGACAGATCTGCATCCTTTGCATCTACATTACCAGGGCTACATGTACCGTCGACCGCAACTACAGAAGTTGAAAAGGAGAGTGAAGCGTACGATGATGTCCCACTTTCAGAAGCTCTAAGCCCAGATGCTCGATACGCTAATGACTTTGTTGTCAAAAACAACAAATTCGCTTTTTCACCGGGACAACTGAACAAGATGATAAATCCAAAATCTTTGGCAGCATTCGCGGCGCTGGGTGGTCCCGAAGGGCTGGTCCATGGTCTTCGATCGGATTTGAATATTGGACTTTCACTGGATGAGACCAGTCTCCAAGGTCGTGTCACAGTTGAGGGTGTCTCGCATCAGTCTTTTGATGACATGTCAAATCGTGATGCTCCAGCATCTCGAGCGGACGTGCCGTATTGTGATCGAATACGGGTGTTTGGGAAGAACAAGCTGCCTGATCAGAGAACCATCGGTTTCTTTAAGCTCTTTTGGGTCGCTTATAAAGACAAAATCATCATTTTACTGACTATAGCTGCCGTAGTGTCACTGGCTCTCGGCGTCTATGAGGCACTCAGTGGAGGCCCAAAAGTTAGCTGGATAGAAGGTGTTGCGATCTGTGTTGCGATCCTTATTGTCACCGTTGTCACGGCCGCAAACGACTTGCAAAAGGAAAAACAGTTTGCAAAATTGAATAGACGGGTATGTGAAATGTACCCATATATTCTTTTTGATTTCCTTTTTTCGGGATGCTGATAGAAAAAAAAACTTTAGAAAGATGATAGACAAGTCATAGTCGTCAGGTCAGGAAGAGAACACCTGATACACACTACTGATGTCCTGGTTGGCGACATAATGCACATTGAACCGGGCGACTCTCCCGCCGCAGATGGTATATTGATCTCTGGACACGGCATCAAATGCGACGAATCCTCTGCAACGGGCGAGTCAGATCAAATGAAAAAGATGCCCGGGCAAGAGGTTTTGCGGATGATCAAAGATGGCACGGCCACACGAAAATTAGACCCCTTTATCATCTCTGGAAGTAGGGTCCTTGAAGGTGTCGGAACTTACTTGGTCACCAGTGTTGGCACTTTCTCTTCTCATGGACGGATCATGGCATCGATGCAGATGGCAGATGAGCCGACTCCTTTGCAAGTCAAGCTAGGAAGACTAGCAGACTGGATTGGGTGGCTGGGCATGAGGTGAGCATTGCATGAAAACATGAAGAAAAAGAAAGATCTGTTTTTGAGTCATTATGCTCACGAGTTAATAGCGCCGCTACTATCCTTTTTCTCGTTCTCTTTATTCGTTTCCTTACTCAGTTGCCTGATAACCCGGCGAGTCCTGCTGAAAAGGGCCAGGAATTTATGGATATCCTTATTGTTGCCGTGACGGTCATTGTTGTTGCCATTCCAGGTAAGTATTCATCCGTGACTTCTGGAAACACAATAGCTAATCAAGGACATTCAGAGGGCCTTCCTCTTGCGGTAACCCTTGCTTTGGCCTTCGCTACTACGCGAATGGTCAAGGAGAATAACCTTGTACGCGTTCTCCGAGCTTGTGAAACCATGGGGAATGCTACTGTCATTTGCAGTGATAAGACAGGGACCTTGACTCAGAATAAAATGACTGTCGTTGCAGCTTCCTGGTCCTTCAATATCGGGTCCGCTGAAAACACTCTTGATCCGGAGAAATGCACATCGCCAGACGATGTATTGGGGGGGATTAAGGGGTTGTCTAAAGCGTCCAAAGGTCTGATTATCAAAAGCATTGCTCTAAACTCGACAGCCTTCGAAGAAGAGAAAAATGGCAAGAGAGAATTCGTCGGCAGCAAAACCGAAGTCGCAATGTTGCAGCTTGCCAAAGACCACCTGGGCATGGACACAAGAGAAGAGCGGGCCAATGCCGAAATCGTGCAAATTTTCCCCTTTGAATCTTCGAGGAAATGCATGGGAGTCGTATACCATGAACCATCATCTGCCGGCTATCGATTTCTTGTCAAGGGCGCCGCTGAGGTGTTGCTCAAGTGTGCCACGACGACGGTAAGGAAGGTAGCCGAGACATCGATTACTACGAATTCTATGACTGATGATCAGCGTCAATGTATTCATGAATGTATCAATGTTTATGCGGAGCGATCACTTCGCACAATTGGTATGGTCTACAAAGACTTTTGCTGCTGGCCGCCTCCGGTGAGCCACCAGGCCATGAAAGACGACTCCTCCGAACCAGACTTTGAAAGTCTTCTGAGAGACATGACCTGGATCGGTGTTGTGGGAATCCAAGACCCATTACGACCCGAGGTACCCGATGCCATCAAAAAGTGCAACAGTGCCGGCGTGCAAGTCAAAATGGTCAGCGGCGATAATCTCAAAACCGCAACCGCAATTGCAACAGCTTGCGGTATCCTAACGGATGGCGTTGTCCTGGAGGGACCCAAGTTCCGCCAGCTTTCTCACACGGAACTAGACGAAGTAGCTCCTCGGCTCCAGGTTCTTGCGCGCTCTTCCCCGGATGACAAGCGTGTGCTTGTGGAGCATCTGAAGGGTCTCGGTGAGACTGTAGCTGTGACAGGCGATGGTACTAATGATGGGCCGGCTTTGAAGACTGCTGACGTCGGCTTCTCTATGGGGATTGCTGGTACCGAAGTAGCTAAGGAAGCTAGTGCTATCATTCTGTTAGACGATAACTTCAAGTCTATCATCACGGCCCTTGCATGGGGTCGGGCTGTCAATGATGCTGTGTCGAAGTTTTTGCAGGTACTTTTTCAACCTCGCGATAGGCTTAGTATTGTAAGGCCAGAAAACAAAAAGCTGATGTTGATAGTTTCAAATCACGGTAAATATTACTGCTGTCATACTTACGGCTGTGTCAGCTATCCATAATGGCTCAAATGAAAGCGTTTTGACTGCTGTACAACTGCTATGGGTGAATCTTATCATGGATACTTTTGCTGCATTGGCTTTGTAAGCAATTCGCTCACATGCTGTCGAGGACAAGAAAGCTTCTAATGCACCATTTCGATTATAGGGCCACCGATGGACCCAGCGAGAATATACTCCAGAGGAAACCCGTACCCAAGAGCGCACCTTTGTTTACGATTAACATGTGGAAAATGATCATCGGACAATCCATCTACAAACTTGTAGTCACCTTGACTCTCTATTTTGCCGGACACGACATTCTCCAAAATATTCTCGGCGAAGAGCAAAGCCAGCTACAACTAGACACGATCATCTTCAACACATTTGTCTGGATGCAAATATTCAACGAATTGAACTGTCGTCGCCTAGACAATCATCTCAATATATTTGAGGGCATAGCCAAGAACTATTGGTTTATTGGCATCAACTGCGTCATCGTCGGTGGTCAAATCTTGATTATCTTTGTCGGTGGCGTGGCTATTGGCGTTGTGCCGCTGAATGCCGTTCAGTGGGCTGTCTGCTTGTTGTGTGCGGTGGTTACCCTGCCAGTGGGTGTGCTCTTGCGATTTCTTCCGGATGAGTACTTTGCAGTTGTCTTTAATTTCACTGTTGATGGGTTTACCCTGTTTGTACGACCTATCGTGAAGGCTTTCAAGGTGATTGCCAAGTCTTTCAAAGCCATGATACGAGACCTTCCCAGGAAGTCTAAGTCAAGCGCTGATGGGCTTGTCTGAGATGAGGACTCTCAATTCCGTTGCGATCAAAGGGCCTCTATGGAAACTTGTTGCTGTTTCCATCGCGGAACATACCGCATTATTCTCTTACGAGCCCCAAGTAAGAAGGGGGGCATGATGCTGGATGGGGCGGTTAGGTAGTGGTGCCAGAAACGTTCACAATCCATCAGTCCGAGTGAGCCGCCACCCAGCAGAGGAACAAGTCACTTACCAGCCTTAAACTCCTAATGATCCTAAACAGGTATACTGACTACCGGTAAGGAAGAAACGAGGAGCCAGAGTCAAGGAAGGAACTTTGGGGGTTCAATTCAGATTTTGTGTAGGTAGCTGATTAGCACAAAACTATAATGGTGACTGTTTCTGCCCAGCTATTCGACAATTTCTTCCCATCAGCTGCTTCTCCGAGGTCTGTGTTGGTAAAACCCGTAGGGAAGAGGGTATATTTTTCTGTTTCAGAGGTATCTGCCGACGAGGACAAATGTTGTATGTGATCAACTTGATCAAGTGAAGTGAACTCATTTCGAACAGAGGCTGGTATGCAAGACGCCCTTACGGAACAAGGGCACGACTAAATATCAACATCGTGGTGAGATATCCGACTTAGTTATAGTTTGAAGTTACGTTTCTGTTCTAGCCGTACGGAAGAGCATAGACAATCTGCGAAGAACAGGCAAGGCGTCCGGTGAAAGCTATAACCAGATCTTCTAACAAAGAGAAAGAGGAAGGGGACTCAAGACAGACAGATGTAATTTGAACAGTAGCCCTTTCATTCTCGTGTCGTAAATATCCCGCCTCTCTTTCCGCTTCAAGGCTTCACCAAGTCAGCATCAATATAACGCATATAGCGTTTAACACACTATTTATACATCAATTAACTAGGTCGAATACGACGAAAGCTCTTGTATAGGATGTGCGTGTGTGTTATCATCTGAGGCTGGGATCTCCTTCTATTCAACCTAGTAGGAAGAATCACGCTCAAATTCTCAAATTCGAGCTCTATTTCATGAAAGAGTGAGTGGTCCTTTCACGTGAAACCGCAGCTGTTGGGGAAGCGTCGTAAAGTGGCATCTGTTATCAATAACAAGTTAGTCCAGCCTGCCATCGCATAGAACCGGCTTGGTTAGCGCTCCGTGCTAGTTAACTAGTTACTCCTCCGTACTTCGACAATGCATCGGCGAGCAACAGCCCCTGACACGAATACGAAACACCCCCTGCATCCAGGGACTGTTCATCTTCGTGTTCCACATTTTTCTTCTGTTGTGCACTTGGAAGTCGGCACTACAGCAGACTACGGTAGTCTGCGTTAGTACGTGCTTGAAGCTGAGATAACAGCGAAACTATTGCCTGCTCGGTGCAATGTACCGGATAATGAAGAATGAACTCGTCTATTCGTCAGAGGTGGCAGTCATAGTCTCTGCAAATTCCACGATTGAGGTGCTCGTGCTCATTTTTACATGCAAGTTGCACAATAGAACAAGCTACGTATGATATGATCCGGCGCCTACGCACCTTGTTAAGTCTCGAAAACAACACCAAAAAGCAAGGAAGGGTGTACCGGTGTGGTTGGGCACCCAACTAACCTATATACGGTATAGGTAGCATGAGCAAGCCCTTGCTGAAAACGGGGCAAAGCAATGCGGCACAAGTCTCAATCAATTTGAGCCAAATCAGGATTCGATAAGGCTGAAATAGTTCTTCGCACACAAGAGGGGTAGAACACCAGGATAGTCCCTGTGAGGTTGATAACTTTTGTAGCTAGACAAAAAGGCGAGCTAGTACAACATATTCATGTCATACTTGAATGAATGTAGTACTATGTAGCAATCAACCAAAGACGGAATATATGCGATACGCAGGCGAATTTCCAACATGTGAATTCGCCAAGGGTCTTTCAGTTTCAGAAGGTAGGACGTACTGTATGATGTGGTGTGGTGGTGAGTAGGCGGATAATCCGGAGGAAGCCGCAGGAATGGCAAGATAAGTGAATCGTATGATGTTTCTCGCCGTGATGGAAAAGCGTCTGCTCGAGCCTCGTCGAGGTAAATTTTTAGACGTGGGGGTTTGTTCACCATAGGTCATATCTTATTGACCGTCGGTTCAGAAATGCGGTGCCCATCGCCAAACCAAGCTAAAGTAAGCACTACCAGAACGAGCCGGGAGCGACCGGACTGAGGATTTTCTTGGGTTGCCCTGTACGTAAAGCCAGCAAGTCAGAGGGAGAAAGGAAAAAAAAAATAGGCATCGTTCGTTCTAGACTAAAGCCTAGGCCGGTTTCAGGTTTTGGTTCAGGGCAGGAATTTGCGGAGATCTGCTCTTCGTTAATTGCAATGAGATTGTTCTAGTCGTGCTCCTTTTGTGTGCGCCGTCCCGAGGAACCAAACGGGAAACGGCGGCTTTTGATTGGGTGGCATAGCGGCTGCCAGATCGGGGTTTGATCCGTGCACTCACGTGTTGGTTTGACACCGAGTAACTATCTGTTTAGTTACACTTTTACAGTGTTTAAGCAAATGACGGAAAATGAGAACCGAAAAAGAAGAGATTTATCTATAGAACCACGCGGTCCAAGGTACTTATATATATATCCATCCTCATAGCCTAAACCGGCCCGGAGCGATGTCCAGGGGCTTGCGGCCGCTCTTGGTATATCTCTCTATTTGACTACTTCACTACGACTGCCAGGCAATTAATAACTACAAGGCATACTCCCCGTGTTTTGGCGATGCAACTGTGCTAAGAATTGCTGGTGGCGTTCCCCACCTCGGTATTTACTATTTGTTGGCGTTGGATCACGTGCCTGGCCGGCCGATACTCGAGAATATGGTCTGATATACACACATATCCACATACAGCAATTGACCATTGATACCATACGCGTATAGATCTCTCTGTATATATATCTACACATACAAAGCAATTGCATGCACACACTGATATTATCCACTGCTCTCATATACTTACTTACTCCACTGATTATACTGCGCAAGTCTGCTGGCGCCAAGTGGGGCGTCCTCCACGAGACTCCTGGCTTTTGCCGAGATGTGATTGGCTGTCGCCGGAGGGCTCCTCCCTGGCGGACGCTGTGCCAGTCTGCGCCTGCTTGCATCTGCACCTGCCGGCGGGCCAGTGCCAGCGCCGCGGCTGCCCAGCCAGGAGTCGCGCCTTCCCCTGCTGGGCCGGCACGGGTTCTTCCTTCCTTCCACCCTTTTCTGCTTCTGTCTTCCTCCTCCTCCTCCTCCTCCTCCTCCTCCTCGCTCTCTCTCTCTCTCTTTCTTTCTCCTGTTCGTGTTCTTTTTCCTTCTTGTCCTTCGTTGCGTCCTGGGACCGCGCGTTCACTCCTTCACCGCGGCCATCTTTCCTTTCCTTCCTTTGCTCGACTTCTTCGACTTCCTTTCGTTCTTTCCGCCGACACGGTCCCTACCGCTGACAGCCTAACTGGCATTGACTGCTTTTATTACCCTTCCTTCTCTTAACTACTATATCAATTTCAGTCTCGAGAGACTCAACGCGCCGATCTGGCATCATCCTTTTTATAATTATTCTTGTTGTCTTGAGTTGACACTCCTGCACCAACACCTCCACGCTGCCATTACTAGTCTACTAGTAGTCGTCGTCGTGCTTCTTCGTTCAGCTGCCTGGATCAGCTCACATCAATCACGCTGCCCCTTTCATCACAATCCGATTTCACTCGAAACCAAAAAAAAAAATTTATTTTACCATATTCTCCACGCAGCGCTGGAGCGCTCCCCTTGAAATTATTCATTCTTGACACAACGGCCGCGCTGCCATCGAATTGCGATCTTACCGCGCTGGAATAAAACACTTCACGTGCTTACCCCCTCCTAAACTCCCTGTGGTCGAAATTCGCCAGTTTGGACCGTGATCTTTGAGAGAAATTATATTCGTCAAAAAGAAGTTTCCGGCAAGAAGAGGGGGAAAAAAAAAAAAAAAAAAACTTCACTGAACTACTTTAAAAAAATGTCTTCGATAGACAACCCAATTGCCTCTACGGCTTCAACTACGGCTACGCCCACGAACTCTACGCCATCTCCTTCTACCGCAAGCCCCCCGGCTTCTGCGCCGCCGAGCTCCGCACCTCGCCGTTTGCCCCGAAAGAGCACGCTAACTCAGCAGCAGAAGAACCAAAAGCGACAACGGGCGACCCAGGATCAATTGGTTACTCTGGAATTGGAGTTCAACAAGAACCCAACACCGACGGCTGCCGTCCGCGAACGAATCGCCCAAGAGATCAACATGACTGAGAGATCAGTGCAAATTTGGTTTCAGAATCGGCGTGCAAAAATCAAGATGATTGCCAAGAAGAGTATCGAGACTGGCGAAGATTGCGACTCTATCCCAGACTCAATGCGACAATACTTGGCCATGCAATTCGACTCTCACAAACCCGGTGCTAGGGAATTGTTTGGACGATCTAACGGGTTAGGTGCATTGGGTCACGGGTATGGGTATGGCGGAGATGCAACTTCAGGAAAAGTTGTCATTCATCATTTTACTTGCCGTACCCTTAGCATTGGCACATGGCGACGTTTTGGACAGAATGCCATGGATCTGGTTATTTTCTACTCCCCGGACAAGGCCAGCATGACTTACTACATCAACAATGATCAGGCTGGCTACAAAATCGAGTATCCATTCTCGTATATCAAAAACGTGACCTTGGATAATGGGGACCCAACACTCAACGCAAACGGCCTTCCTGTGCGACCTGGGGGTCTGATAATTGAATTAAACCGCCCTCCCATTTTCTGGATGGACAGCTCAAATTCCGGCGGCTTTTACCAGTGCGGTGATTTCACCGAAGATCAGCAAGCGAGCCGTGTCATGGTCCACCATCTAGGCGGCCATCCCAAGGTTCTCAGCGTGCAGCTGGCAAAACTGGTCTCTCTGGAAAGTTTCCAAAACCGCTTGAGCTTCAACTACTCCGTATCTGCGCCGGTTACTCCTCCCCAGGATATCCATCGTCCCGCGTCTCAGCCGAATCAATTCACGTTGGCGCAAATGGGCATATTCCCAGAATCGCATCTTAGTGTCAACCCTATGCCTCGTGGCCACAAACGCCAGCGTAGTCGATCAGTGCCAGCGGCGGTGGATTTATCATATTTGCAAACACCAATTTCTCCCTTCCAGATTCAAGCTCCTGTGTCGATGACACCGAACCCCAACATGTACGCGCCTATTCCTCACCATCCGAATGCATTGCAGGGGCTAGGGAACGACCTTCGAATTGATACCACGTCGACGTTTGGCGTAGATCCTCGATCTTACCCAATGTCTGCGACTACCATGTCCGAGTTTCCTGGTGCCAGTCCGTCTTACTACTCGACTGCTACCCCATCGGAATCAATCGCCATGGTTGGAAATCCCGGAAACCAATTCAGTCTTCCTTACGTATCGCCGTCCCCAATGGACCAGTCAAAGATGCTGAGCCAACCGCCCGCATCGATGCCGACTTTCAGTCATGTAGATCCTCTGATTGCCAACCACTCGCCTCCGCTCGCAACTATGCACAATGCTGCTGGTTCAAATGATATGTACAACTTTGGTGCTGATCAGCAGCATGGCCTTTCTGACGATGGAGTTGGGTTGAGTGAGATGTATTCAAAGCATCACATCAACCAATTTCCGATCGATGGCACAAGCTTTGAGTTCACCATGCCTGGCATGGCCGAAACTCAGTCACCCATGACTGGGGAACTGCCATCATATGACTTGATCCAGACGAGTTCCTCTTGAAATGCACTAAGTCGGTGTCTATTCAAGATCGTGCACGTTGTCACGATCCAATCAAACAACGGAATTATGGCGTTTTTGGTCGGCATGGCGTTGGGTGGTTTATTGTATATGTCTTGGGTTGACCTTTTTTTTTTTCTTTTCTCTCTCATGATATCCTTTTCAGTTTTGATTTCTTCATCAATCTGCATGCTGGTCAGATGTCCGGTCTTGATTGTATCACCTGTGCTACGTGGATTCTTATATTCATCCCTACGGCCGGTTCTGTAGTATGGATTGTGCGTCCATGATTTTACTTCATTTCTGGCAGACTGCTCGTCTGTTTCACTCTTCTTTTTTTACCATTTTATATCTATTCTTCATATCTTTTTTTGTTTTCTGACGAATCTTTTCTCTTCTCTTCTTGATATATTTTATTATTATTTTTTTTTTCTTTCTTTTCTGTCTCTTGGATGAAAACGGCTTCGAGTTTGATATCAACATGCAATTGTGTATGTTTGTTTCTTTCTTGTCTTATGCATTGGCTAGCGTACACTGTCAAAACATGTGTCGGAATAGCTATTATTTAGCATGTTGGTGTAGTTGAGTGGAATCAAGAAAAAAATCCTTCATCTGTCTTGAAATTATAATACAATAAAACATAATACAGTCGGGTATCTATCATATCTATCGAGGCCATGATTATTATACTATACACACTCCCACCCCGGAGGCACGCGAGGCCTCACCTTTTTATTCTCACGCAAATACTTCTCCAGCAGCGTCTCAACCTTGGCCAGAAACCCTCTATAATCCACGTCAATCTGCCGCCCATCGTCAGCAGTACCATGCCTCACCCCGTCCTTGCACCACACACTCCACGCCCCCATTTGCGCTGCCATCAGCGTATCCGTACCCAACCGATCACCAACCACGACAATTTCATCTGCACTCTGCACCACACCTCGTTCGCGAAACCACGCAAGAACATCCGGTCCACAGAATGGTTTCCTTCTAGCGCCTGTCCCCATTCCCGCCTGTGCCTCTGCTCCTGCCCCTGCTGCTGGTGCTGGTGCTGGCGCTGGCGCCACAACCCGAAACACAGGAATCCTCAAATGCTGCAGGCGATCCTCCAAGTCGCTAGCCTCGTTTTCGTACCGCTTCGAGCCGGGCCGACTGCCCGCAGTATTCGACACGATCAGGACCCCATGCGGATTCGTGTGCAGATTGAAGGGCGACGTAGGCGATGTTCGCAGCTGCTCTAGCTTGCGCATGTATGCGCCTGGTATTGCGATTGTGTTGGGGGCGCAGAGGGTGTTGTCTTTGTCAAGGACGAGGGCGGAGATTTTTGGTGTCCTTTTGGGTTTTTCGTTGTCTGCATTTTTTGGTTTTGTTGTTGTTGATATTGGCGATGCAGAAGACGGAAGTAGATGACTCCCAATCTGTTCGGGGAAGTCGAGGAACGTCGAGATTGTGAAGTTGGGCAGGAAATGGGATGGGTTTTTGAGCAGGGTTGACACGCTCAGATTGAAGGCTTGTAGGTTCGTATTTAGGGGGGCCATTTTTCTTTTTTTGCTTCTGGTCGAGAGAAAATTGGCGTTGGTATAAAAAAGGGTAAGTAGATTGAGGACAGGCGGAAGCTCGCCGCAGAATCTCCGATTGGACGCTGGCGGAGCTAAGTTAGCTGGCTGGACATCCCGCCGAGCTCGACTTTTTCACAAGTTTCATTCAACCTACCTTTGACTGGTATTCTATTCAGTACTCAGCCACGTACCCTTGTTTTTTTCTTTGTTTTTTTTTTTTTTTTTTTTTTTTTTTTTTTTTTTTTTCGGATAGCAAGGGACAAATTATCCTTCTCAGTCAGGCACCCGTCCTCCTTGGTGAAGATTCGAGCAACAACCCGCGACAAAACCACAATCAACGACCATGGGCAAACTAACAAGCACGATCGGTATTCCGATCAAGCTGTTAAACGAAGCGCAGGTATATTCTCATATTCCATTTATCCAGGCCATACTTTGCCAGAATTCAAGCGCTAATCTGACTCCAACCAGGGCCATGTCGTGACGTTAGAGATCACCTCTGGACAAGTCTATCGAGGGAAATTGCTCGAAGGTTCGTTCCTATCAGCCTATTCACAAAAGCATGTGCCAAATTTTCTCAATACTAACGCTCGCAACAGCCGAAGATAATATGAACGTTCAACTCAAGGACATCACAGTCACCGCGCGCGACGGCCGAGTCTCGCATCTCGACCAGGTCTATATTCGCGGCAGCCATGTGCGATTTTTCATTGTTCCGGATATGCTTAGGTGCGAAAGACAAAAACGAAACTGATGTGTTTTGCGTTAGAAGGCTGCTAGGCTGACTTGTATATATGTATATAGGAATGCCCCCATGTTCCGTTCTCGCGGCCAGCGCGGCAGAGGTGTTGGTCTGGCTCGTGGTAAAGCGACTGTTAACAGGGCTCGTGGACAGCGACGGGGATAGACGATAGACTATTGATGCTCGATTACCTTCTCTTTCGCCATGAGACGCGACCATTTCGTCTCCGCCATACTCTTCGTTCTACTTCTATTTTCTCCAACTAGAGATCCGGGCTATGACATCTATTTGGGTCTGGCAGTGCAGTTTCGTATATGCCGAACAATGCGAGACGGCCAGTTTGTTTCTTTTTTCTTTTTTTTTCTTTTTTTTCTTTTTCTTTTTTTTCCCTGTTCTACTTTCCACGCTCGAGACAAGAAAAGTCTAAATTCTGTCCAAATACATGTGACGACGGAGGAATCGATTCAAAAAATGAATTACAAGGGCAATGGATGGAGTTGTGTGTCAGGCGCTAGAACTAAATAATCAAATACTCGATGTTATGATGGGTTAATAAATTGAGGCGTAACTGAGATTTATGTATATTTACTATTTACTATTTGATCTCCGCGGCGGTGAGTTCCGCTGCCCCGCTTGAGTTTTATCTAATCTGAATTCATATATTCACCATTCAACTCTCTATACTCAATAGTACGAATATCTTTTTTTTTTTTTCTGATCAATCTGGAATCTTCCCCCTGAAAAATAGAGATAGGGGCCAGAAACAGAGACACAGACAGTGAACATGCCCTCCTCCGCAGCAGCAACTGCTACACCATCACCAAAACGAATAACCAACCCGCGACGTCTGCTCATTCTGACGCCTACGAGCCATTCAAACCAGACCATTCCTGTGTTATTGCAGTCGCTGACCGGAGTCCTACCCGCCATCACACCAGAATCATCTGCAGTCACGACCACAGCTGACAACAAAGCGACAACCCTCTCTTTCGCCGGCTATACAACGCACAACCCCCTCCAAATAAGCAATAAATACTACACTGCCGACATTCCAATCTGGGTGGACGAAATACCGCTGGCCTCTTCTTTCTCTTTATCTTCTCCAAAAAAAGAAAAGGAAGAAGAAGAAGCAACACAATGGAAAACATCCTTCCTTTCCCGCGAAGCCCGCGAAGTCCGCGACGCTATCGGCGCAATACTCATCTGTGTGCGGAACCCGAAAAGCTTGATAAGTGGTGCAGTACCGAGGGAGGCGTATGACGAGCATCATCTATCAGAGTTTTCTTCCTCGTCAGATAGGGCAGAGGAAGTGTCGAGGATCATAAGTGAGAATAACAAAGATCCAGTGGATAGAGGGGATGTGGAGGTAATCAAGGACCTGGTCAGCATTGTGGGTGAGCTCAAGACGACGATTGAGGAGGAGAGGAATGGTTTGGAGGGACGAGAAGAAGAAGAAGAAGAAGAAGAAGAAGAAGAGATTGGGCAGTTACAAGGTACTGCAGAAGTACCTGGCTTATTAGTTGTTATGGACGAGCATTCATCATCATCATCTTCTTCTTCGTCTCCTCCTAGAAAGCGGACGGTAGAAGATGATGATGACGATGATGGCGTCGATGCACTAGAGCCATTCACGCCGCCCTGGTGGGAAGAGAGATTGTATGACATGGGCATATACGGATTTGAGGTCATTTCCTGGACCCCCCCATCCGGTGCCGATAAAGCAGGGACAGAAACACAAACCGAATCGAGAAATATCTACGGCGAACTAGAGGGTCTCCCACGCATCAAAGAGGTATTATCGACCCATGAATGGGGCAATACCTCGTTAACAGATTACAATAACAACGACGACGACGATATCATGGCCTTCCTCGCTGGCACAGACCGCAGAGCAACAGCAGAAGAGAGCGATGGGTTCAGACTCGAAGTAAACCAGCTAGAGCGCGAAATGATGGGGTTGCGATTCGCTATTAACGAGGCGAGTCGTGACGCCGATGCCGATGATGACAACAATAGTGATGATAGAGAGGACGCAGAAGAGGAGCTTCAAGTTGACAACCTCGAGACATTGATGATGCGTATGAAGGCTATTAAAGGTTTGTCGAGTCCGGGATCAAACCTGAAAATTGAAATATGTGAAAACTGACTTGGACCAGATATATCGTCTGATTTGCCAGAGACGAAGCGCAAAGCGTTCGCGGCCAAGGCTGTGAGGGATATCATGCGAGAATTATAAATTACTATATTTGGCTGTGAATACAACATAGTATCCCGCAGTATACATGAAGCATTGTACAAACACAAGGTTCTACCGCTAATAATGCTATTATAAATAGTTACACTCGACTTCCCTCCCCTCCCACTCAATACGCGCCATTCCATCATTCCCTAGACTCAATCTAGAAGAATAAGCAAGCCATGCCCGACCTAATCATCCGATCAATCAACGCGGCTCTTCCCCCTCATAACCCTTCTCCGCTGCGACATCATGTGCGTGTAGAGGATATAACTTCCTATATAGCAGTTAGTTTATTATTTTTTTCCTATCAATCATGTCAAAAAAAAAAGGGGTTTCAGCGTCAAACGCACCTGGGACATAAATCGCCATAATACCCATCATGACCCATTTGTAGTAGACGTGCACATATTTCTCAGCATGGCCTAGGCTGAAGTACATAAACACGCATTCCGATGCGATACCGATAGGATACAGGACGAAAAAGGTATTATATCTTGGTTTCTATTAGCCACGACCATTTCTCTCTTTTCCAAGAAAGGGGGTAAGATACCTCAACCACTGCCACCACGTAGGCACCGACACACCGCCCAACTGCATCGCAAAAAACCCATAACGAATACACTCCGTCACGCCCCAAGCAAACATGCAGCCCAAAAAGGCAAAATCGCAGTATTGAGTCTCCCCAACCAGACCCACCAGTCCATCACCCTCAGCGACACCCACAGGCTGCTGCTGGTGCTTGGCCCCCACCGCCGGCCCTAACAAGCCCGACAGATCAACGGCGCCTTCACGGAACAGGAACATCACGCCCCAGACCACCACGAAGCGAGAGGTAACCTGCATTGTGGTCGTGAGCAGTGGGGCGCGCACAAGGCCGACGAGGGAGTGGAGGATCTCGAGGCCGGCGAGGGACTGCGTGATGAGGAGCAGTGGGAAGACCTGTGTGAAGATGGAGGGGAGTGCGTCAAAGCCATTGATGCTTTCATCCGAGAGTTGCTGGGACAGTAGGACTGCCGCTCGCAGGGTGCAGGTCGCCCAGAGACTGAGGCTGAGGAGGTTGTAGAGGAAGAGGTAGGTTCTTGTGAGGCCCGAGACGGGTTTTTTGGGAGGCATTGTATCTGCTGTGTTTTGTGTGGTGCTTTGGTGAAGCTGGATTTTCAGGAATATACCCCCAAAAAAAGGTGCCCAAGTGCAGGTGGTTAGAATAATTACAATGGCATGAGTGGAAGAGGAGGTGTAAAATAAATATATTTATTTGGTTCTATCACCGGAGCTTCTCAGAATCTGGGCCGAGGCGCTGCGCTTAGCCCGAGCGGGTTAGCCCGAGCCAGGACGCAAGGCTTGAACATTTCAACACTCTACATATGCGACGAGGAGTTAAAAAAAAGTGACTATGCAACTGCCCTTGCGCCTAGCTGAAACGTACGTGTTCTTGCAAACTTAAGTCACTCACTAATCACAGATATCAATCTTGTATCCAAATGTATTTCGATATTATGACTATTATATTAGAAATCACGATAAATCAAAAAGCAAAAAGGCCAACATCGTGCACATATCATACAAAGCCCCGAGCACAGTATCGCCGTCCATATCCATTACTCAAGAGAATATCATTCAACGCTCCCAGACTAGAAATCATTAAGCTGATCCAGCACCAAGGGTAGGAGCTGTCACGCCAACGTCCAACGCGCGATCGACTTCCCTCTTGAAACTGCCGTTGGTAGTGGCATCCCCGTTGGTTACACCATTAGTCGACAATAAAGCATGCCCATTGGTTGCACCATTAGTCGGCGATAAAGCACGCCCATTGGTTGCACCATTAGTCGGCGATAAAGCATGTCCATTGGCGCCGTGACTCTCACCATTGGCGCCGTTCGTGTGAGACTCACGTAGGCGACCCTCGGCAGTCGTGTGAGGCTTGCGAGTAACTTGAGCAACTCTAGGCAAGTTGCTTGATGGCGAAGCACCACCCCAGTTGAAAACAGGGGATTGCCAGCGCTCGCCCTTGCCAGAGAGCTCTTTATACTCCGTAGCCTTGTTGGTAACACCGCCCGGCATTTTGATGTCTTGGAAGAGGGTATCACGGTAGGTCATTGCTAATTGAACCTTGGTTCCCCGTTGAGCAACTGCCTCGGCCTGCTGCTTCTTCTGGGTCATGACGTGTCGACCAGCGTCGACGTAGCGAGCAAATATGCTCTTCGCATTCTCCGGGTCTTCACGAGCTGCTTGCTGGGCCCGTTGAGCCTCTCTCTGTATCTGATATGCCAAGGCATCGGCCTTTTGGAACGCATCGCGAATCTGACTCTCTATCACCTTCTCGATAGCGGGGCGGACTATGCCGAAAAGCATAGGCTTGAAGATGTTGAACAAAATCTTGTGCTTGGATTTTTTTAGTTTGATGTCGAGATTCTTTACGTTCACTTTGACGCTATCAAGCTTGAATACGTTGCTGCGGTCATTCTCTTGCGCCTTGGAAGCAGCAAGTCTGAAAGTGAATCCCTGGCCACCAAGAAGGACGTCCATGACACCAGTATCTGTGAGCGATGGGAATCCTTGTTTCTTCTTTATGTAGTAGTTGACATCTCTGACATCAGCTTGGATTCCAGATCCAGATACCATGATCTGTTTGATAACTAGGTCAGACTTCATATGTTGCGCAAGAACTCAATTCTACTGACCTTATGATCGTCCTTGCTGCTGATACTCTTGCGACCCCAACGCCAATAGTTATCAGTGCTAAACTCGAGGACATTGGGCATGAAGTTATCACTCTCAATCACCAGATTCTCGACGACCTAGAATAATGATGTCAGTATGAGTTTAAAACTATCTAATGATGTAGTATAGTACTCACAATATCAACGGTAGGATCGGACACTTCAATTCGTGGGATAGGAACATAGCGGAAATTTTCCAGAATTTCAGGAATAATCACATTGCTAATGTCTTTGATCAAATGAGGCTTGAACACTGGCTTTCCATACTGGTCTTGGCCAAGGTCCTTGAATAGTTTCTCCAAAGACTGACGGAAGGCTCTGTTTTGGGGGTCCTCGTCAAACTGGGACGCCAGGAACTTGGCTTCATCCGCTATACGGTCAGTGTGGCTTCTGTAGCGGTCTCGGAGCAAGAAACGGCCCTCGTCATACAGCCTGTTCCAGGCATCGGTAGCAGAGTCCTGCATGATGTATCCCTGCTCACGCAAGCATTTCCTTTTGGTCGTTAGTTCAAAGTTTGTGTGTTTCAGGTTCACGTAACTCACCGAGTATAATTATCAACACCCCTGAACCAGTCTTTCAGGCGCGGGTCCTGGTCCGCGTCGCGGTAGATAGTGTTCAGTGAGTCAAAGAAATCATGGGTCGACGTGCTATTCGCAAATCTCTCAATTAGAGTCTTTAGACGCATTAGCATCTTTCTATTCTTTTCAATGAAGTACTACCATACCCTCAACTTAGTTCCGGCTCTCTGGAGATTTGTATTACTGCTGGCGCCTCTGGTGGCTGCGGAGCCCTGCTGGGTAAGATCCCTCCCATGACCGGCGTATGTCTCAGCCAAGCGAAGAAGAGTCTCAATAGCTTGCTGGTCTGTAATGATGTTAGCGTAGGATCTATTTTCGAAGAACAAAACGTAAGTAACATGGGTGTTGATCGTACAATCAGAGTGACCTTGAATCTCAACGATCATTTTCTTCAGACGCCATACGACCTGGTCCCGACGTTCTTTGGGCATTTTCGATGCTAGAAATTCTTGGGTTCGTCTAGTGTAGTCTTGTGCTTGATTTGTAGCCTGCTGGCCCTGCTCACGTTCTTCAGGGGGTACATTGCGGTTGGCAGACTGTTGAAGTCTCTCCTGTGCAGCAGAAGCACCAGCACGTGCATCAAGCTCAGAGACTGGGGCATCTTCCCGGCCTCCCTTACCAGCAGCAGCGGCGGCATTTGCAGCTTCACTAATGTCTTGCTTGTTCTGGAGCAGCATCAGTTTGTACTCACATAGGCATAGATACAATATGAATGGACGTGCACACTTACACCAGGCTTAAATCGCCCACCTTTCTCTTTAAACTGGGCCTTGAGGGCACCGGTGTCGGGCTTGTCATGCCAGACATTTTCTTCGGCGGGTTGATCGATCTGTGCAAGAGCATCTTCGTCTGGCCGAAGTTTGCTCGCGGCCTTGGTTGCTGTATCGCTGGCCATTTCGCGGAGAAGAATGAGAGCATCACTTACTATAATGCAGCAATGGGCAATTAATATCTTTTGACACATGTAACAATATTGATCAGTAAGACTTACACAACTTGCGGAATTCGCCATTAGTTATCAACAAAGTGCCCAGGGTTCTGAAACCCTCGGCAGCTTTGTCGGCATCCTGACGAGCAAAATCCTTGTCGACGGGACCACTAATTTTCTGAAAGTCCTCGCCGGTGATGTGCTGTGCCTCCCAAATAAACTCTTGCAAAAGCTCGCCCTCGTTCTTGGTGAGGAAGAGGAGTTTCGATTTGTCAATGACGTCACGCAGATCCTTGACCAGGGTCTGGCCGTCCAGGGACAATTGTTTTGACGGAGAAGCGAGCCATTTCGAATTGACAGCGCTGTTCAAGGCGACATCGCACTGCTTGTTCTGGAGGAGTTGGCTCGTTAGGCCTGGAATGTATCTTGGTATATGTGTATATATCCAAAGGTTGGAATCTCACCGATGGGAGTTTGCCATTGGCAAAAGCTATAGAAGTTCTGTTAGCATTAGATATCCACCGGCAATGAGCCTCTGTATACTCACCACTGTAGATGCCATATAGTTGCAACTTGGTGCTAATGTCCTGTTGAGTGCTGTCAGTACTGCACGCCTTAAGCATAGCAGAGGTGCATCTCATACCGCATCCCGCTGCTGGGGATCCATCGGACGGTTCACAGCAGCCTTTCCCCCCATGATGGCTCGTCACTGTACTGTAGCCTTGTAAAATGCGATGCAAAGAAAGGTGAGAATAATACGATCAAGCAAGCAGCAGCTCCGGGTAATGGTTATAAGCTGAGTCGTCGTAACTGGGGTATCACAGGAAGAATGGAATGTGAGAGGGAGGGAGAATGTTGGGGAAGGGAAGGGGGCGGGCAATGCTTTATGGACGGGAGTGGGATCAATTCCGACCACTGAACAGCTCTTGCCATTTCTGTCATTGATCATTGACCTCACTGAGGAAGGCGCGAGCTTGAGCTTGGCCTTGACACGCAGGAAGGAGCTGCGCTTGTTGCATGTGGCAGTCGCGATGCGCCGAATTAGGGTTTGTGACGTCACGCTTTCGTGAGGACGGAGCGACTCAAGGGAAGCTCCTTCCTACGCAGTGCGGCCATCACATGATGGACTTCCATGATTATTTACGTTCATTCTTGCTGGTGTTTTGTTCTCAACTTTACCGATCCTGCACTGGTCCAACCAGACTGGCTGATGGCTTTGCGATCTTCTGATCACCGCCAAGCATCAACACCAGATCTGCCAGAAGATGGCCTGAACGAGTCACCTTGACGTCAGCTATGCATTCTCCAATGGGAACCCTCTCCGTCTAGCCATGGATGATGCCAGTTCCATGGCATTGACACGTCAGATTAGTCTTTGCTAAGACATCATCGAGTGTATGCCACCCAGAGAATACACGGATATGCTGGTGCTCAACCAGCTTGGCTTGCTAATACCGAGGGACAACAGAAGAAAGAACTCCGGTATAAGGTATAAGGAACTAGCTAGTCCTCTATAGGCAATTTTTTTCCAATAACGGGGCAAAAAAAAAGGAAAAAAACATACAACAGACGGGATTCGCTGGTGGTCACCCACCCAACTACTAACCGGCCGGCGTGTGGCTTAAGTACGGCTGAGCGGACGGGAAGCCCTGTTTTCCACACCCTATGGTCGTATGTGCTTGTTAAGAACACAAAAGGGAATTATATGTCTGGATCTTCAGTCCAATGCTTATGAGGTATCAATTCAGTGTTTCGCATTGGCTTTTCTTCCCATATCTGGACACATTGATCTGAATTATCCTATATCAAGCTCTAGATGGCTCATGAAAGCCATTTGTATTCGTTTCAACTATGTAACCTACAGAAAAGAGATACAAAGGCAATGTTCGAAAAGCCCAAATGTATTGTGTTTCCAGAACAAAGCCTTTATAATGTAGAGATATGCCTAGATTAGTTGATTTTGTCAACATGACAACTTCGACTAACGGTTGAGGCGAATTACTAGATCTAGGCCAACGGCTATACAAGATGGCAGCCGCAGCTCTAGAGTCAGACTCAGATTGAGAAGAAGACTGCACTCAATATTCAACATCCGACACTTCGAGCAGCACCACCGACACTGACCCAGGAATCATGCACAGGCTCCTCCTTCCACATGTGTGCGCCAACTTTATAGCAGACTACTACGACGTCCAAGCACTAAGGGGGCAATCCAACGCCAGCATTTCACAGATTCTTGAAACGTGGTGGTCTGCCGACGGCTTTATGAGCATCGTGCAACTCGTTCTCGAGTCAATTTCTGACACGGCACTGCACGATATCATGGCCACAGCTGTCGTAGACCATTACAATGAATTGATCATGCCCGATGACCTTGCAGAATTCAATCTGACAAATCGGTTTGCACTAGATTTGGTGCAACGGATGGGTGCAAAACTCAGGGATGCTGAGGACCTCACACATTATTCACCGAGTATAGCATAAACGGACGGTAGCTTGAATACCTGGGCAGGAACTTTTTGATCTAAACTCTACCTACGTAAACCATTGATTACCAGGTAGCTTATAGAGCTGTAAGTAATATATATATCTTAGAATTTTGGTTCAATTTCGAGTTATTGGATTTGAATACGATAGATTCATGTAAAAAAGAAAAAAAAAAAAAAAAAAAAAAAAAAAAAAAAAAAAAAAATCAGATACTACTTCTAGCTGAGTACGTATAGAAAATATAATTATGTATTTGCGTCATCCATGGATGGCTATTCCCGCTGTACAAGCCCTAATTCCCGATAAAAAGCTTCTGGCTTTGGATTACGCCCTAAGTACTCCATTAATACTTTCATTTCATCCTGACTACCTCCTTTCTTTAAGAGAGTATCTCGATATCGATGGCCCTCGATGGCGTTCATTGGGTCGGCCTTGAAGAAACTATGAAATATGTCTAGTGCATAGACTTCGGAACTGTAATCACGTCAGACACCAGACTATAATAAGACTTCTGGGGGACACCTCATACAGTAGGTAACCATAGAACCCGACATCATATCCATCGACGATGTGGCCCATAGTGGCTTCACCGTGGCCCCATTCATGGCCTTGGTCCTCAGGCCCATCGAATCCGACAACCTGTACCCATAGACGATTATAGAGTTCTGAAATATTCATGTCCACAATATCCTGATGAGATCGAGGCGTATGCACAGCCATGTCAAAAAGCGCAATGTGCAGAACACGCAGCTTGACCAAGGCGGAATTGACCATCCTGGTCCGAATGACACTCTCGATCATCTCGTTGGGTAATTTCGTGGGCGGCGGAGGCACATTCTCTCCGCCGGCTTCTTCCTTCCATATTTGCAGATATTCAGGTGACAGAGTTGAGTAATGCTGGCTGAGAGATTCCAGAACTGATGCGCTCCAACACCAATTCTCGAGCAGGATACTCGGAGTCTCGCAAAAGTCGTCCACCAGCCGTGTTCCATGGAAACGAGCGTATTTTGTTTGAGACACAAGATCGTGGATTCCATGTCCTAACTCATGGAAAAGCAGCACGACCTCGCTGTGCTTCAGCAGACTGGGTTTCTTGGGCGTGGGTTTGGAGAAGCCGCATCGGAGGGCTGTGGCTGGATACCTGCGAACCCCGTTGGCATCGAGAAAGCCCTGAATTAAACTTAGTCTCGTCCGTCTATCATGACAATATTAGAGGGTTGGAGCCCACCGGCTGTAAATTATGATTTGATGGGTTATTATATTTGCCCTGGCGAGGGTGCAGGTCCATATAGAGATACCCGACAAAGCCACCGCCCCTGAGTTCGGAATCCCAGACGTGGAAAAGCTTCACATCGTCGTGCCAGTACTTATCTCTATCTGTACCGTCGTCCTCCAGAAACACAAGACCGAGGAGGCTCTCGAAAATTTCAAGCATACCGCGAACCGTGGTGTCAAGGGAGAAATACTCTGCAAACTTGAAGGCATCAAAAGAGAACTGTTCGTTTTTAGCCATTCGGTCATAGAATTTTCCATCCCACAGGTAGTAATGCCCATCATACTTCTCTTCCCCGACATATGCACTCTTGATCTGTTTCATCTACCTGATCTCCTCGAGGGCGTTTTGCGAATGGCCAGATCGCAGGTCTTCCAGGAACTCTTCAATTGAGGAGACAGACAAGAGCATTCTATCTTTCACACGCAATGCCGCATGATGAGCATACCCAAGCAGACGTGCAACTTCATCCCGGAGCACAAATATCTCTTTCATAATCGGCACGTTCTGAGTACATTGATTTTCAAACCCGAGGAATATTCGTTTCCGAGTCTCGCTGGTTTTCGCATAGCTCTGAATTGGGATGAAATCAGCCCACTGGAAAGTCGCGCGCAGCTTGTTCGGGTCATCTTTGTCCTTCTCAAGCCCGTCAAGGACATCTTGAGGAACCCCGTCTAGCTCATCACGAGTAAGCCAGATTCCTCCATTTTCTTCATTTCGATTCTCGTCAAATTTCAGTCGGAGTTCTGACAGTCGTGTCTGGAGTTCTGCGAACCTAGTCCGTGGTTCGCCCTTGGGAAGACCGAGACCATTGTAGACGAATTTCCGATGGACCTGCTCCAGCAATCTTTGAGACTCGAGATCCAAATCGCCCTCCTTACTATTCATCACCACAGCATCCGTTAGACAATGCAAGTCCTCACGCGTAAACGTTTCTATCTCCGAGGCTTCAAACAGTTTCTCCGCCTCTCGAGACGCTTCCCGCAGGTTGGAATCCACCGAAACGTTCTGGTAGAAGTTCAAGATATTTTTCTCTAGTTCGACTTTATGTTCATTCTGAATCAAGGGCAACAATACATTTTGAAAAGTTACTGTCTCGGGTTTCACAGTTTTGGACAGCTGATCTTGAACCTCTTTTGTCTGCTGGATAAGCAGTTTGGTATCCCGGAGGAGTGACTCGGGAGTCGCCGTGAAACGCGGGCATTCTTGGGGCGGTTCTTGGAAAGACATGAATTTCATTACTTGGGCTTTTCGTCTGGTTATATTTTGGCATTATTTACCTACATAGGTATGGAGGGGTAGACGAGGGAACCGGAGCAGGTTTAGGAACTAGTCGTATCTCTGAAAATAAGTGCACTACGAACTAACTCGGTTAACTTCGTAGTTAGTTACATAGCTACTAAGCCTTTCAATGTAAAAAAAAAGTCTTTGTATCAGTTTGTGAGCTCCGATACGTGCGGTCGATCTGGCATATACTCTGCTGTGAAAAAGCAAGAGGGTCATTCTTATGATATTAGCACTAAGGCACGACATGAAGCATTAATTAAAAGTGTTATATATGGACATCACTTTTTGCCATGAAACAAACTAGCTAACCGCCGTATGTAGCTTTCAGCTTCAACATGAAATAAATTCTGATTGCATTACTATCTATATCTTTACACACAGTGATAGCTCTTGAGGTTCTTTATATTTACTATAGATCTAGCGTAATTGCCTAGGTGTATAAGCTGAAGCTTTACCATACAGCGTTGTGGTGTAGGGACGTCGTATAAGCTCAGCTACATCTGGTACCTAAACTCCTTGTTCTCACCATCAGTCAAATCCAAGAACTCGCTGTTAGCAACATGCTCATTTCGCGACTCCGACTTGTCTCGTCGACGGTTCTCCAAAATATTGAGCAGACGAATACATGCCAGGATCAATAGGCAAATTGTCGGGGCCAGCATCATCACGAGCTTCACTTTCTTGTATGTGGGATCCTGCACACTCGTAAGCAAAACAAACAAACAAATCTCATTTCTGGAATTTGAAAATGTGCATACATTCTTGGTGATCTGTGGTCCAGTCATGCTACCACTAGTGGAACCGAGCAGCAACACGCAGTTTGTGAGGACTTTCTTGGTGTGTCCAGCGGAGTTGGCGCTGACGAGGCTAAAGTTCAGGATGTAGGCAGCGACGAAAACTTGTTGGAACTGATACACGTCTGGTCAGTCTGGATTTTATTCTTCGTCGAAGTACGATTTGCAAAACTTACGTAGAAAGCGATGATTGATCCCCACTTGTTGTCTTCCAGGCCGTAGAGACATGCACCAAACACGATGCCAAACATGGCAGAGACACCAGCCCATAGTGTGCGATCATTCATTTTCGAAGCAAAGTAGCACGTAACTATAACGCCAACCAAAGTCGTCGCCCCATGAGGCATAGTCATGATTAGAGCTCTTCGTGACTCGAAGCCGAGAGAGACAAGCATCAACGATCCAAATGTGCCGACCGCTCCATATCCTATGTTTGCAATGAACTGAAAGGCAAAGTACAGGTACGTTCGAGGATCCTTCAGAAGCTCTATTGCTTGATAGGCCTTGAACTTCCGGTTTCCAATTCCTTGTTGGTTGACTCTGATTCGGTTGATTGCTACCACTCGTTCGGCTGGCGTGAGGAACTTGGCGGAAAGCTGGGAATCTGGGACTGTAAAGTAGAAGCAGATGGCCAAAGCAACGGTTATTGCGCCAAAGACGACGTAGAGGAGCTGCCAACTTGAGAGGCTACCGGTAGACGCCGAGGGACTGTCCAATCCCCAGGCAATCGGGGAGCCAATTATTGTAGCTAGACCGACCCCAGAGTACCAAAGACCGAGACGAGCAGCTTGTTCTGCACGAGTATACCACATTCCAGTCATGATCACAAAAACAGGAGTTATACTGGCCTCGAAGATCCTGCAAAGAAATCAGACTTTGTTTGAATTGGAGGAGCAGGAGAAAATAGATACCCGAGAAGCAGCCTGATAGCAAACAAGGAGCCATAATTCTTGCCAGCAGCCATACAAGCCAGTAGCACGCCCCAGATTGACATGTTTACGACAACCCATTTGGACAGCGGAACTTTCTGAATGATCAGAGCACATGGGAGGTTTGCAAACATGTAACCCAGACTGAAGATACTTCCCAGCCAGGAATACTCATTCGACGTTAAATGCGCATCGTGCCGGATTCCCATGATTGACGAGTAGGACAGAGTAGCTTTATCCATTGTGAAGAGAGTAATGACCGCCGTCATCTTGTAGATCTCACTGTCAGAGCAAACAAACAAGGTCACATACTGGCAGCAGCCAACTCACAATTGGAATCAGTCGTAGATCGATCTTTCGGACAAGTTTCTGGTGGTCGACGGCGGCGATCTCAGCTTCAGTGACATCCAACTCATAGACTCCGAGAGCCAAATCCGCATCTCTAGGCTTGACGTTTTTCAAAGCGCCAGACTCGACGTCTTGCACCGTAGTCTCGGCGAATTCCTGTTTCTCGAGTTCCATTTCGGACTGCAGAGATGCGCAAAAATTTCACTGGTGGAAGCACAGCACGAGGAGACTCAAGAGAAGAAGAGCGAGTGGCAAGCTGTGGACTGCGTTTTATTTTTCAATTCTTATTAGCCAAAAAAGGGTGACGAATGTGAGCGCAGCCTTCAGATAAGGAGGAGCCACTTCGGCGACACCAAGGCCATGGGACCGAGCGGTATCACCGAGGCATACATACATACATACATACATACATACATATCTTTGAACGCCATGACCAGCGGCGAGTCTGGGGGGTGAGTCGATAGACAACGGCAACTAAAAGGAAATTTGGCGGCGAAAGCCTAAGTTTCCTTCGCCGTTCTTCGCCGTCCTTGGCATATTCAGGCATTTCCTTCGCCGCCACTGACGCCTTTCTAGATAACAACAGATGTTTCGTCGCCAATGGAATGTCGCAGGCTGTGGAGCGGAGTTTTAACCAGGCGAATGGGTTCTGCTCGCACTATCTCTCCCACAAAACTCTGGAGCAAGAAAGATTGAAGACTTGTGTTGTGCTCTCCAACACCACTCCATTCAGTCCAAAAGTATGCATTATCAGCATGTTGTTGTCTCGGGGACGCCGTGGGAGCGAGGCTTTTCTCACGGCTCGCAAGCCCGTGATAAAATCCAAACCAACGTCAATCGTTACAAAGTCTCGTCCTCCCTACCTCCCCGAGAAGACTGCGTGAAATACATCAACGAATCATACATTCCGGCGATCGAGGCACTGTTTCCCGATGGTCTGGAAGAGATGAAAGGAATCGCGTCCGGGGCGATGGTGGAGCTCCAAGACGTGTTACTGCTCAATGCACGATATGACTTGGCTAGACTTACAGGCCACAAGGTCGGCGAGTGTACAAGCATGGCCTACTTGGGCCCAGACGACTCTGCAATTGTAGCGCAAAACTGGGACATGTCAGCCTGGCTCCACGACCTAGACACCATCATCGTGCTTGAGAGCCATATAGACCCGACGGATGAGCCTGCTCATACTGATACACCATCCGGGCCGAGGCGAATCATAGCTCTGACAGAAGCCGGTCAACTGGCGCGATCAGGCATGAATTCTCGTGGCCTTGGACTGTGTGCCAACTCCCTGTGGACCAATGAAGATGGAATTCCATCACGTCCAAGCCTGCCGCATTCACTTGCGCGTGCAATGTATCTGCACTGTCCCAACTTTGCAGCTGGGCTGAAGACTGTTTCGACCTTCCCACGACATGTGTCTGGAAACCTGATGCTGGCATCCTTAGACCTGGCCATGGATATTGAACTGACCCCCTCGCGCAAATACATACTGCATCCAGACGCAGTCGACCTGGGCCTGGATGGCCCTGAGACCTTTCTGATTACTCACGCCAACCACTACAATCACCCTGCCATGACCCATGCACATGCTTCACGGCCAATTGACACGTATCCCGGAGGCTCGTCGCTATTCCGTGATAAGAGGCTGGCACAGTTACTGAAGACCGGGTTGCGTCATTCAATGGCTTCATCCCGGATCCGAGAACAAAAGATACAGATTGCTACGGCAAAGGGCCTTTCACCACCAGTCACTCCGCCCATTGAGGAACATAACACCGAGGTGGTCGAGCAACTCAAGCTGTCACGTCCGGAACAGCCAGAAATGAATTTCAAGACTTCCTCTTTCCCACAACAGATTAGCCAACATGTCCTGACGGTCGATGATCTCAAGACGGCATTCTCCGACCACGCTTCATATCCCCGCAGTCTGTGCGAACATGCTGACAAGGGCGTCGAGCGATATGGAGCAGCGTCTAGTGGCGACAAGACCATGACTGTTGCTTGCGTCATCTACGACTTGAGGAAAGGTGAAATGCACATCTCTACAGGGAACCCTTGCCAGGGAGAACGTGCTTGGAGGAAATATGCCATCGAGATGGAAGCCACTACGACATTTGGCCTTTGAATTCCATTGTACTAGGACGTATCTAATTAGGTACTTTGCAATCAAGACTCTGGACTTGGCTCTGTTCATCTTCGCTCAATCATGGCCGAGAAAGACGCAGCATTGATAGTGGGAATTTGGTTGAAGTCTTGTAAAGTAGTTCGTATTCGCACAGCGAGAAGCTTTTAAAGATCCATGATTAGTTCCATGGGAAAAAAAAAGGTTTTAGATCTATGATTTGATGTTACTTACTTTGTGCTTGGATAATGTCAAGACATTGCGTATGCAGCGAGAACTAAATGAGTAACTGCGTGTCAAAGAAGCTTTTATGCCCTAGTTGAACGTCGTTGATGGTAAAATTAATGATCACATTCAGGTAATTTCTTTTACTTCTTAATAGGAATTTTTGCAGCTGTGGACATGTCAAATAACGACAGAGAGTCAGTCAGACTTACATTGCGGTGCTACATACACTTATCACACTCTGAGAACGTATTTCCAATCCAGCTAATGACTACTTTGGACTACATCTCTTTGGTCAACAAATTTTACGAAACACAAAAATCGTTCTTTATGGAGTCTAAACGGACAAGACTCATTCGCACAACTTCGAATGATTTGCTGCGCATCCATAGCCAATGCCGATATTTGCACACAAGCTCTTCAACGCGTATCTGACTTGCAGCTGTTTGAGAAATGGCACGGAGAAGCACCACAAAGTCGCAGATAGCATTAAAATGTGCACGAGACCCTGAGAGGTTAGAGGAGCGTGTGGTGAATTCAAAGGAAACCCCAAAGACTTACATGAAAACCAGAATGAGTCAAAGCTTGCACGTTTCATAGCGGAGAAATCAGCTAGCATTCGCTGAACAAATTGTAGCGCTTCCTCGTAATGAAACTCGTACTGATCATGGCCCTTGAAGACACGTAATGCGGTCCGGTGGATGAGCACATGGCAGTATTGGTATGCCACGAGCAGGCTTCCAAGACCGAAGGCATCATCCGGATCTTCGGCAGCTTCCAAGTAGGCTAGATGATCAAAGCTTGTTTTCCAATCCAAAAGCCGTGTTTTGAGCAATTGTAAAGTCTCCGACGTAGCAGGTAGATTCTCAGATAAGCGTTTGACACTTCGGATTGCACTATATTTGTAAGCTGGGGGGTCATGATTTCTCTACCGTGACAATATGCTTACAATAGCGACTGATGTAAATCGTCTAAGATCTGAGTTAGCTCCAACAGGTGAAAGAACAACACTGATGTTTCCATGTTTTCTTCTGTGGCGTCATTCATGCTTATAGGTGAAGTCCCTAGAGATGTAGAATGTCGATTATATGACAAGAGAGGTACGTCAAAATCTTCAGATTTGATATTTGGAGGTTGCCCGTGAGCGATACACACCCATATGTCTTGCACATAAACCAGCCACCAGAGATGCCTCCGTCTGGACTTCTCCTCTGAGCTCATGTTCCAACTCTCGCAATCAAGGTGTAGACCCAAAGAAAAGGCCAAAGATTTCGTCATAGCGACAAGAGAAGTATCGAATGAGCTATCAGCAACAAAAACATGAGGCCTTTTCCTTTCCATGAGCAATAAAGCCGCGCTGATAGTCGAATAGTCTGGTGCATGCATTTCCCTGGATATCTCACTCCACGCAAATTGGTGCATGGCATCTTGATCCGGGAGTTGAGCGCGAGTCATTGGTTTCGCATTGAATTGAGCCCAAGGTAGGTTTGGGTCATACGATCTCCAATGAAAGGCCATACTGTAGACCATCGCAAGGAGCGACTTGCATTTGTCATCTGGTTTCAAATTTGAGAATCTTAAGACAGGGTAGTAAGGCTCGACAAAACGGTGAAAAAGGCTGATGAGGATCTCTCCGTACTGTGACAAATCTTGGAGAATGGATGAAGATGGCTGCGAGACCACACAATTGGCCAACTCCGCCGACACCTGCAGGGGTGTCAGGAGCATTATAGGAGGGATATCCGCGGCCGGATCCAAGTGGCGAAAGCCGCGAAGTTTGGAAAAGCGATATCCTGCTTCATCGTATCGGTATCTTTGCCGTAGGATTGGATCGGTCTCTGATGTGAGCCCGAGATACCTCGAAGAAAAAGTGGATTCGGGAAGGCGTGGCGACGACGGCACAGACAAGCGAGGCGTGTCCTGGCGCAGTCCGTCGTCGGTATACTCCAATTGCATGCGCTGATTTGGATGGTCATCTGGCATCGAGAGTGAAGCATCGTGGGCGGGACTTGCTGGCCCCATTGCAGCTGATAGTCCCACAGGCGCGTACATGTCGTGCGCTGCGCCAAATGGACTCGAGACCTCACGCCAAAACGATGGAACTGTCCAATCATACCCCGTTGGATCTTGCAACTGGTCCAAAGATGGATCATTCTGGCCGTTGATTTCGTAACTTCCTGACTGCGACGGTCCGCCAGCGGGGGGCCTCGGTGGTGGATCTTTCTCAAAAGTACAGCTTCGCCCGGTCTTCTTGCATTTTAGGCATGGAGGCTGGGATTGAATGATGCATGCTATCTTTCGCACTCGACAAAAGTCACAGGGCCTCTGTTTGCCCCTTCCCCGTGGACGGCGACCCTGCGGTACCGCATCCTCCATGCCCGAGGATACAATCACTGAAAAAAAAGCTAGGCACACCCTAGATTAACATCCAAGTAATCATAACCGAAGTAACGTCAATATTGGGGAATGCAGCAGCATGAATATCACAAGCAAGTTGGGAAACTTTCGGACAGAGAGGTTCGTTGCTGTTATCTGAACAAGCCGGAGTGGGGCGAGTCCAAGCGCGGCGGCTGTTACTCTAACCCTAGCCCTAGACCATAAAGGGAGGTCGAAATATTGCAGCCTCTACTGAGTAGTATTGTGGTCTAACAAATCTAACCCAGGTCTGATTCTTACCGTAAAGCCTGAGGCATCTCAGCCCCAAGGAGAATTGTCAGGTGAAAAGGATACTCTCATCACTCTCAGTGTCTATGATATAGGTGTTGTATTATCACCGGACTCCGCTGTGAAACAAATTGAGCGGGCCCCATGTTCCTACCATGCGGGCTTGACGCCCGAAAATTCATGAATAACATAACTTCTAGTTCTTATAAAGAGATGTAAGCCTGGGATGTCTAGACTACTTAGATGCGTTCATCTGGCTTGGCGAGATCTCTAGTCCTCCTCGATTGCTTGCGTATGATTGGCCGAAATATGCTTATCCATTGGATACGCTAGGCCGTATTTTTCAAAGTCATTGGACGAGCCAATCAGGACACACAATCAAAATAATTAACTACAATGGTTGTGATCCGTTTCAGTTTCACCATATCCTTGTATAACTGCCTCTGCTTGTAGATACCGCCGCTATTCAGTGTTGACTACCTAAGTCTGGAACGACGGCATAGCCAAGCATTGAGCGAGATAGAGTCCTCCAGCCCTGCATACAGAGAATCACGAAAGTGTCGATATATCAGAGTATTCCATCCTTGACACAAGTCGAGCTCGATAGTGTCGCCTTGGATCGCGTTTGGTAGATTGCAAGTGTCTGGACAAGACTCATCGTGCATTCAAAATTCATTGGTCTATAGGATACGGCCAAGTGCCCATTGAGTAATATGAAGTCACGGCCTTGATCAATCACTGCTCTAACCAACGTAGTACACTGTTACTGTCTATGAGCTGCGGTCAACGCAAGAATTCAATATATATATTATGCAGAGACTCGAGCTGGGAATAATGCTAAACTATGCGAGAAGAGCTTTGCTTGAGCTGCCTAGGTGCGTGTGCGAATAGAAGAGCACAAGAGCATTGAATTTGCAGCCGCACTCTCAGAAGAATCGCGACTGACATGTTATTTTTTGGCGCATATGAGGTCTTTTCTGTTGTGGCGAAGAAGGGTCGCAGCGTGCGAGGACTTTACCTAGGTATAAGCTGGAGCTTTTGCATATATTTACATCTAGACTTCTGGCTAACTTGGGACGCTTTGTAAGAGACAAAGGGATGCATCATCCTTTGCTGACTCGAGGGCAATTAATAAGCGTTGTAATGAGCCCTAGGAAGCGAAGATTTGGCTTTACATATGACTTCCATATTAAGTTAGTGATATAAAGTAATATATTAATATAGGTCATTCAAAATTGAGAGTAAATTTCGTGAGGTCGTCTGTGATATTCCAACCTTGGTTATCAAGTCTGTGGACTGTAACGATGTTTACATTGATTTTCTTAGGGTATCCTTGGTCATCTGACTGTATAGGTCGGAGCCATATTGGGAAAGACGGTCAAAACAAAGCTAGGTTGGGCACGTGTGGCTGCGCCCGACGCACAACCGACTCCCTGCGAAGTCAGAACCTCGAGGACACAGCAAGGTACTTGAAAACACTCTGGAGACTGTGGGCACTTTCAAGATGGAAAGGCTTCCCACTCAGGTCGTCGACCTAGTAAGCTGCAACAATGGACGAGCCCCTCGTTCTAGTCCTAGTAAGTATTAATTCAGTACCCAACATCACAGATTATCCATCACGTTGTGGTCGAGGACACGCAAGACGTTTGGGGCTTTGAAAAAATTACGCCTGGTCAGCAAGGCTTTTTGCTCTACTGCATCAAAGGCACTTTTCCGTCACATTACTTTGCTCTGCAGGGATAGCCAGAATATCCAAACAGACCTAACGAAACTCGAAGAGTTCTCCAAAGGGAGATATACTACGGCTGTTTTCCAGGTGGATTTGTATATGGCTTGGTCACGGTTACTACTTGACTTGGACAAAGGAATATCCCCTATTTTGGCTGAATTTGCCAATCTGAAAGCTTTCCAGGCTCACATCGGACATTCTTCGAGTCAAGTGAATGACTTGGCCAGCATGGCTCTTTCTATCATGTGCCGTTTACCGCTCAAAAGGCTTACAGAGCTGTATATTGGCTTCGGGTTCAATTTCACCCATGATGGCGACCCACCTGCTTCTACAAAGGCCAGCTCAGTACAGATAGATCCTAAACTTGGACTGGAAAATCTAAAGCACCTGGGTCTGCGTGGTTCAGTGCGTATCGAACAAGACGGTGCCGCGGAACTTTATCCGCTTCTTCGAACCGCCGTCAATCTTGATTCTTTGCAACTGGAAGATTGTGATGTAGCGAAATCGCTGGACATCAACAGCATAACTCGTCTCCAGTACCTGAGTCTTCGCTTGCTGGATATCGCCCACGATGATCTGCTTTGTATGTTGAAAAAGTGCAAGGCGTCGCTCATATCCATCCATTTTGGCGCCGTGAGCATAAAATCTGGCTCGATGCTACCTGTGCTTTTCCAGATCAGTAGGGACCTCGATTTACTCGAATTTGAATTCACAGACAGGCGTGGCTACCAAGGCCGACCGATTATCAACGCGCACCTTAAATCACGATACGTGCAGGATGAAGCTGTTCTTTGCTACTACGCCTATGGATCACTGATATACAGCGTCGAGTAAACTTAAAAAGGCGTGCTTCAGGGCTGTACAGGATGTACCTACTAGATGATTACTTCACACTTCCCCCTCTGAGATCTGTAATGGAGGAGGCACAATATCAGGAACTAACGTCACTCCCTGAGATCTGAGGGCCTGCTTTTCTACTTTTTTCTCGAATATTGACTTTGGTGCTACAGCTATTTTATAAAACCTATACGGCGCATATTTTTTTAATATATTAACTGGTAAAAATAATAGCACCAGCAAATTCGAAACAAGTTATATCTTTGAACGGACAACACCGCCTAAAGTTGCCCACGCATCTAAGTACATAAACAAGGACCCGTCACTTAAGCAACAGTATAAAAATTATAGAATGGAGACCGGAGTAAAGGCTAAAATTTAGGCTAAAATTCGAGCCGGCGGGGCTCTGGGAATGTGGGCCCCACGTGTCCGAGCTGGGCATCAACCTACCTTGGGACCTTTCTTGTATATTCACTGCGTACACCGTATACTATGCCATCATGGCAGGCGCAAAGGGGAAGAAAAAGCAGTCTCGCCTTGCATTTGCCCCCATCGACGATGCACACTCACTCTCTGCCCGAGGCCCTGACTACAACACATCGCAATCATCGTTCTCGCCAGCCAGACTCCGATACTCCAACCCATTCTCTGGGAAGGTCACCGTGAAAGGCCAGCTACAATTAGAGGACTATACCCGGCGCTGGAATAATACTGAACTAGACGATGCGTTGACTGGGCCAGAGCAACGCTCTATACCTGAGCCCATTCCGAGCCAAAGTAAGTTTGAGCTGGACTTGACCTCTCACCGGCACACCGTTATTAATCACATGAGGGGTCTTGAGAACCGACCACACAGTCAAGCCAAACTCTCTCTCGTCTTCTAAATTCCTCACCTTCACCACCTCCACGTCGCTCGTTGAACACCACTCACGAAGACCTCTCATCGTCGGATATCGAGACCATCCGACCATCGAAACGAACACGCATACAAACTATAACCCTGTCTGACAGCGAATCAGACCAAAACTCTCTTCCTACTTTACGTTCGCAAGGTCATAACGAAAGATCCATTAACGAAGATTCCACCATGGGATCTCGTCACAAAGAACGCACCCTTCGCAGACGCAGCGAGCGACTCAAAGCTGCTTCATCGCCAATGAGCGCATCACCACGCAGCACATCCCTAAAGATAGATCTTTCTGGAATAGGGGAACCAGAGGAAAGCGCTTCTGGGAAACTGACGTCGTCTCCCACCTACCGCAAACGCCGTGCGCGGCCCAGGAATTCTAAAGCTTTGGCTGTTAACGATGATTCTGAAGACTCAGACCTGATTATCACTGGAAAAAAGCACAAAAGGGTCAAACCGGATGACTCAGAGTCAGAACCTGAAGCGGCAACAAATCCTGGAATGGACGACAATGAGGGCTCTTCGGATGACGACGACATTGTAGCCTTCACCCCGTCATGGCGGGCCTCCAAGAGATCACGGACATTGAATTTAAATGACGACGACGATGATGATCAGGGAAGTCCAAAGACTCCAAGTAAGCTTCGCTCAGAACAGGATGAGCTTGACCTTGAGGAAGACTTGGAAGATCTCAGAGACACAGGTGAGGATACTCTCTAGGAATATCCTTTGCGTATCTATGCTAACCTTCTTAATTAAAAGACCTGAGAGAAAAACGAACCCGTGGTGCAGTTGTCAATTCTGCAAGAAGCGTCCGCCAGAAACATCTCGAGATGCTACGGCGTCGGCGCGCAGGCGAAAAAGCCGTAACAGACGCAGCAGAAGGTGAAGGCGAAGAAGATGAAGAAGAAGAATACGACGAAGAAAAGGAGTCTCACAATAATGCGGTCAACGCAATTTTGAACTGGGCTCGAAATTACGGAGACCATAGCAATGACAACAGAGATAGTGACGCAGACTCAGTCATCGAAGCAAACGAAGATCTAGATACAGACGACTCCTCTTTCATCGAGGAAGACGGTGAACTAGGCGCCCCGGTAGCCGTCCCCTTCGAATTCAGCCGACATCGTACCAAGCATACGAAGGACTGCTTCCGCGATGTCATTGAGTGGATGGTCCACAGCAAGCTCAATCCGGCGTTTCCACGCGGTGATGAGATGTATCAATTTGCTTTTCGGAAGGTGGGCGATGAACTAGTGGGCAGGATCAAGTCGCAGCTGGCGTCTACTGTTTGGAATGCGGATTTTTTGAATGCCCTGCGTGCTCGCCCGTATCTTGACGTTACTGCTCACCTTCCCTCTTCTGATTCATGTAATGCCTGCAACCGTTCAGGCCATTGGGCTTCCTCTGATCTCAAATTGAGCGGCAAGCCTTATTCAGACGAGACTCTTGAGCCGCTGTACGATAGTGACAGCGACAGTGACGAAGACAGCGAGACCCAAACCGCGAGAGACCACCGCAGGCGAGATATTGACAGTGAAGGGCACATTCTACCATCAGAAGATACCCATTTCTATCTTGGCAGGTACATTATTACCTATAACCCCCCCCAACTGAATATCCAGAAACTAACACCCTATTTCGTAATGGAAAAAAGAACCTGCAAATCCAACGCCGTCCTAACCCACACCCTAGTTCACTGGCGCTTCCACCTTTACGAATGGGTCGTAGACTACTTAAACCGCAAAGAAGAGCTCCTCTCAAACCCCCAACGTTCTCTCGAGCGCGAGAAACTCTCCGCCAAAAAGCGAACCAAATACGCGAACAAAGTGGTTGATAAAATGAACTCGAATGGGGAAGTGCAGCGACTATGGACGGATTTTCATCAGAATCTTAGGACGGTTAGGGAAATGCAAAAGGTTTGCCCCTTTTTATTTCTCTCTTGTTGTAACTTGGTGACTAACTACGGGTTTAATAGGATGATGCCCAAGCGGTCTATAATTGAAAGGAGGATGACTTGCTTGCTTGGTTGCATGCATCTTGCCCTTTCGGATGTGACTATACCATTCATTGGCGTATGTCCCTAAGTCCCGTCGACCGGAGTTGCGTTTAAGGATATGAATATTCATCATGACAGTTGAAATCAGTATTAGTATATCCCATACTAGTGATGAAAACACGAGACAATGACATATACCCCATAATGCTTTTGTTTAAAAGAAAGACAATTAAATTTTCAAAGTCTAACAATAATATGAACAGTATTTTAATACATTTAATAGAGAAGAGAGAAAAAAAAAAGGGGGGGGGGGGAGAAAAAACCAAGCTGCAAATGATACAGACCCGACAGACCATGACGAGAGGAAAAAGAGTTACACAGACAAGACAACCGCCGGCTTTTCCACCTTCATGGTATTAATTCCAAAACGAAAAGGATCATTCAATGGATGTTGACGTCGAAGTATGCATATAGTCGAAAGCAAGAATAAAGAACCACGTGTTTTCGTCTGTCTCTTCGATTATGCACCATGATCGATCGTTAAAAAAAAATTCGCGTGCAAAGATAAAGATGAATTATATCATAAAGCCTCCCCTTTTCTTTACAGAGCAGCCTGAGATTTCTGCTCAGGGTTGGCAGCGCCAAGAGCAGCGGCAGCAGCGTCGGCGCCAGGAGTGAGCATCTACACAAACCACCATCAGTATCAAGCCCTCCTTTCTTTCATCGCAAGGAAAAAAATTTTTGTACTCACCTCATTAGCACCCCTCATCATCCCCTGCTCCCTCTCCATCTGCACGTACTGCTCCTCCTCGGCAAAAGCCAGCGCCCACGGAACACCCAGCAAGAAAGCACTTGTGCTAATCACCCAGAGCGCCTTTCCGCTGAACGAAAAGGTAGATTTTGTGAAGCTGGTGAGACTCGAGACGGTGCCGACGATGCGGCGACGGGACTGTGGTGGGATCATATCTTTGAGGGCGACAATGCGCTGGTACAGAGTCTCGCTTTCGCCGTCGTAGGCCGAGTCTACTGAAATTTCGGATTCTATTTATTTTTGTCACATTCTTGAATCAGCTTGAATTTTCCTTTTGAGAGAAAGTTTTGTTTTTTTCTTTCCCCCTTCATGTATTTAAGTCCGACGTGGCGTTCAATAATGAGTTCAAAGACAGCACACGCGAGCACACGACAGGAGACGGAAAGGGGGGAAACGTACCGGTATCAGTGTAATCATCATCGTCCTCATTATCCGACACGAGCAACGAGTCCTTCGAAGGGACAGGCTTCTCTGTAGTGAAGTGCTCATCTTCGACCTCAGTGAGCTTGACCATTTTGACAGATTGTTCGAATCCTCTCGCGAATCGATCAACGATTGCTGCAATTATATAAATAGATTAAATCGAAAGGGAGTGAAGCAAGAATGACAAGACACGGGTTTGTCTCTGTTACTGTCGACTCAGTAAAGATTGGCGTGGAAGTTGATGGTCGTGCTTTGTTGCTTGGGAGAAGAAATCGAACTTCTCGGGACGTCCAGATGGGGACCAACTTTTTCCGATCCACCGGGTCTTGGCGTCGTCACTCCATCTAAATCCATACCCTAAAACATCGGGAAGTATTTTCATGCAAATATATAGTATTGTACACGCCCAATTTTTCTGGAGACGACAGTTCTATCTAGACATTACTGTAGAGCTAGTTATAGAAAGGAGAGGGGAAAAAGAAACATCCATTTTACACCCGGCCAAGCTTCCACTTTGAAATTCGATCTTGAATTTCCTCCCAGGGAAACGGCCGCAGTTTGTAACCTTCCAACTCGCCTTCCTGGACGACGACTGTAGGCTTTCCAGTTCCCTGTCCTGGGTTGTACACTTGCCCGCCAAAGACCTGCCTGGCAACGCGACGCAGATCCTTGACCGTCAGCGCCTCAATGCGCTCACACATCTCTTTGACGCCGACCTTGCGGCCGTGCACCTGCACTTGGCGTCCAAGGTCTTCCAACTCGACCATACGAGATTCCAAATTCATGAGGAGCGATGAGCGAAGCTGGTTCTTCGCACGATTCACTTCTTGAATCTGTAGCGACGAAAATCCACTGTCGAGTGTCAGCGCTTGAAGCTCCCGACACATGACTTCGAGCATCTGCGGTGTGCGTGTTGGGCTGCACGATGCTGAAATGCCAAACAGACCGCTATCAGTGTAGCTATGGTTGAAGGCAATGCAGCTTTCAACCCATCCATGCTGGTTGAGCACGTTCGTATATAGGCGAGAGTACATGCCCTTGCCGGGCCCACCGGCTGAGAACGAGCCACCACCGCCAAGCAATGTCTGAAGAGTGGCAAGCGCATATATGTCAGGAGAAGAGATAGGAAGAGCTTCAAATGCTAGATGGATATGGCTCAGTCGTGGGTGGTTGGGATTGGCTGGAGGGGGGATCGGTGGTAATGACAAATATCCACCAGTATAATGAGCTGAACGGCCCAGATCAACAGCCGAAGGTTTGAGGAGAGCTGGATCAAGAGCTTTAACTGTAGCCTTGCGCGGAGCAGATGTCGATAAACTCTTGAAAAAAGGAAGTTTCGACAGAATACTAGATTCCGACGTTCCGGCTTGTGCATTGCTCGAAACATTAGCAGTCGCGGTGCTCAAAGGAATGGTAGGCAATTCTCCCTCCCGTTGTGCCTTGGGGTCTCCAGAAAGCATTGATTCCACCCCCTTGCCATGCAGAGCCGGGCCCTCGATGTCCGATGTCATATCGCCGAAATACTGTTCTGTGAGTCGAACAGCCTCATCATGCGGAACACCGGCAAATGCAACAACTATCCGCTCCGGCCTGAAAAATGCTGCCCGGTATTTCTCAACCACAGTCTTGTTGATTTCCAACAGCCGTTCCTGCGGGCAAAGTAAAGGATTTCCAAGCGTGTTGTTCTTAAATCCAGCCATGTGTACGAGTTCCGGCAGGATTAGCTCCGGCTTGTTCCATATTTCATTAATTTCGTACTCAGCCGTCAGCAGTTGTTGTTCAACCTCCTCTTCTGTGATTAACGGTTCCCGAATTGTCTCCGCCAATAAGCCCAGGGTCGTGGGGACGGCCGAATTAAAACTGGCAGACTGATACATAAGCGACTCACGAGACGAAGCGCACTGTATGTTCCCGCCTAACGACTCCAGAGCCTCCAGCATCTGGTCCGCCGAACGAGCCTTGGTCGACTTGAATGCTAGACGATCCATTATATGGCTGACTCCGCGGAGACTATCATCTTCATATCGTGAACCGGCATCCACATAAACTCCGACGCCAGAGAACGGTCCAGGCAACGATTCGCTAGCGACGCGGATTCCATTTTTGAGCGTTGTGATTTGATCGAAATCGGAGGCATCCTGTACATTTCAAATCATTAGCTTGGCAGAAGCCTTGATTTTTTTTTTTTTTTTCGTAAACGGAAGAACCATACCCGAGCTATCGTGTCCGCAGCGCTTGCAAGTCCCCTAGTGTTTCTAAGTTGGCTGCGGACAATGGGCCCAACAGACTGAGCAGTTCGCAATGCTGCTCGACGCATATCGAGAACAGCCAAGCAAACAACGTGTTGGGATGGGAGAAGGAAAAGGGAGTTGCCGTGGAATGGTTGGCAACGGCAAGTTTTCAAGCTTCGTAGTCGAGGTCTGCGCCGGAATGACGCCGCCCGCCCGAATTCTGCAGCTAACCCAATTAGGCCTATGTAGTCTCGCATTATTTATCTAGCCAACTTGAAACAGTATTCAACATTCAATAATCCTATGAGTACATAACATTAATTCTCTGCTGCCCATTTTCTGTATCCCTCTAAACATTCTGCATTGGCCACGCTGGCGGAGGTCTTGATGTTCAACCCGCACAGAATTTGCTTCACGGCATTCTCCACCTTTTTGCCATTCGAAGTCAAAGGAATCTCATTACCAGGGCACAAGGCAATAATGCCTGGCACATGGCGTGCGCTGAGTTCTTTGCGAATAGCAGCCTGGATCCTGGCCGTCAAATCCTGAGATATCTGTGGAGCTGACCCTTTCAACCCTTCTGGGACGAGCTTGACAAAAAGAACGACAGTCTCGTCGACATCTATGCCCTCGCGTCTGCGCCCGATGCACAAAGAATCCTCAATTTCTTGCGAAAAGTGTTTTAAGATTACGTTGTATATCTCAGCGCTGCCAAATCGGACTCCTGCTGGTTTGAGGACACCGTCACTGCGACCAAGCATCATCAAGCCGCCTGTATCTGGGTTGATACGTACAAAGTCACCATGGTGCCATACAGTTGGGCCAAAGGCATCAAAGTAGCTCTTTTTATATTTCGCCTCTCCCTCTGGCCCAGGTGGCCAGAACATGACGGGTTGGGCTGGGAAGGGTTTGAGACAAACCAAGTCACCGGGCTCGTTTGTTTGCGTTATATCGTTTCCAGCAAAGTCGTAAGCAGCAACAGCCATCCCCAGTCCCCGACATTGAATCTCGCCTCTATATACAGGTGATATTGGGCACGAAGCACCGAATAAAGAGATTATGTCCGTCCCACCTGTGATAGAACCAAGCATGACATCTGGATGGAATGAGGAGTAAATGTACTCAAAGGTAGAAGGTGCTAAGGGGGCTGCGGTACTGAAGATTGCTCTCAACTTATCCAAACGTACCGGGCGGTTGGGATGTTCTCGCGGGTTTAAAGATGCCTGTTCGATCAATGATAAATACTTCGCAGACGTTCCGAAGTGTGTGATTTCGAGCTCGTCAATCAATCGGGGCATCGCCATTTCTCCCTTACCCCCTTCGACGTCAAATGGGCGAAAGGGACTTCCATCGTAGACAACAATTGTGGCGCCACTCGCAAGCGCCGATACAAGCCAATGCCACATCATCCAGGTGGTTGTAGTATAATAGAATAGGCGATCACCTGGTCTGATGTCTCCGTGTAAGACATGTTCCTTTTTATGTTGTAGAAGCGTTCCCAACGCGCCGTGCACAATGGGCTTGGGAGCCCCGGTTGTTCCAGACGAATAGAGAATATACACCGGGTGATCTGGATCTAACGATTCGAACTTCAGGGGTGCATCAAAATCCTGTACGTGGTTGATGAAATCCCTGTACAGAACTGCTAGTCCACTTTGGGGCTTGACTTTATCCATGCCAAGTTGGACCGATTGTATAGCTTCTAGAATCACGACACGTTCCAAGCAGGGTAATTCTTTCACGATATCAACGACTTTCGTTTCAGTACCATGGACCTTGCCATTATAAAGAGAAGCATTGTCTGCAAATAGTATCCTCGGCTGTACCTGTCGGAGGCGTTCAACAACGGCATGGACTCCAGTATCGGGGGAAATGGAAGTCCAAAGAGCACCAATAGAGGCTGCGGCTAACATGACCACCACGGCGTTGACGTGATTACCAACAAACCCACCAATGCGATCGCCAGTTGCTATGCCCATTTGCCTCATAGCATTGGCGCATACCCGAACCCGCTCTCTCAATTCTCTCCATGAAACAAACTCACGGTCTGACTCGGTAGCGCCAATAATGGCAACTGACTCGTCGCCGGGGCAATTCTGGGGAAACAGAAGGTTCTCGGCGAAATTCAGACGGCTGCCCTGAAAGAAAGGTGGCCTCGGGAATAGAGCTGAGTGCGGATCTAGAACCTATAGCCATGCGTACATATGTCAGAGTCCTGAGCACCTATACCAGCGTGTAGACTCGTACCTTGGAGTATGTTTTGTGTGCTTTTACACCTGTTAGATGCCAGACTTCTTCCCAAAACTCTGCGGGATTAGAGACACTCCATTGCCACAGGTCATCGTAGTTTTTCAGCTTCAGAGCGTATTTCTGGTTGATATGGCTCTTGAATTTGAACAACTCCGTCTTCTCGGGGGCTGAGGGCCGCCATAGCTCTAGGGCCTCGACTTCGGCTGTGAGTGAAGGCATCTTTTTCCTTGCGTTTCTTACGGCGCTGTGGTTGGGTTTGAAGACGCAGCAGTCATGAGAAGATGAGAAATCAGGCCCAGGTCAGGCACAGAATTTGTGCTCTGAAAGCGGGCATTCTACTTCTGGAAGGAGCGCAGCATACAACGCGGGGAAGGTCCACGGGCGAAATCCGTCTGCGGCCCGCATTCCGCAGTCTGCCGGATTGGGTAACTGTCGACTACCGGAATTATACAAGCATGAGCAACGTAGTAGTTAGAAAGAAAAGACCGAAGATGGATTATTTCGGTCAATGCCGGACCTTTGGTATTCAGTTTCTAGCTTAGCATTTGCTAAAATTGCAATACAACGGAACCCTGAGGTCCTTCGACTGTCCCTGTTCATTTAATACCCTTCGACGTCGCCTTAATGTAGTAGCGCTACATAAATGCTCATTCGATCTAGTATCGTGTGCGAATTCCCTACCTGGAAAGAGAAACAAGCGTCTTACATAGACTAGGACGGCAATCTTATCTAGGTATGATTCAACACTTTTTCTAGTTTGGAGAAAGACTTTATGGGCCGTCGAGTTCACCATATTTTAAGTGGAGACAAATCGATAGAGCATATCGCTAAACAGGGTCAATATGAACACTGATAACTTTGATAAATGGCTATGATAACTGTATGCCGAACACAGCCCTGCCTTATCATCAAGGCCATGGTTCCTGACCTTCTAGCCCAAGTGTATAGAATATCTTGCTGATAGGGATATGATTTTGAAACGCAAAAGCAACATCATCTGTTTGCGGCTGTCTTTTTTGGTGAATTAGGTTGAATGAATGATGTAAACGAGACTCATCGGATGATATCAGAATGTCGCCCCTGAGTGACCCTTGCACACCGTCAGTCATACTGGTGAAGACAATAATCCTCAATAATCAGGCAGGCTATGCCCCATCAGGCTTGGCTTGGCTGCACGAAAAAGCCTCGCCGAAAAGTCAGGGGCAGCTCAAAATTTTATGTTATTTACCGTGCTGTTCCGTCACGAAATAACACGGCGTTTTATCGGCGGATACAGCGCCGCCTGCTGTTGTGTACGGTACCCTGCGTTAGTTACGAGTCCCGGACGGTACCATACAACCTTCCCAGCTCCCGACTAGTCCGCGCTCTTTGGGCCTCCTTCAAGTCCCGACAACCACCTCACCTCTCCATGTCAGGAATCTGCCTTCTCTCATCCGTCCCTAATATCCAACTCCTCCGGTGTCCTCTGCGACTAGACCCAGAAACAACAGCCTCTGTTCCAATTGTTTCTGCGGCAAGCGCTACGCACGGTCGGGAGCCTCGAGAGTCTCTCTCCCCGCGCGCGTCTTTGACCGCTTGCTTGCCAGCGGCTCTTTCGGATGCATTTCGCTGCCCAGTCCGTCAAGGCTCACCAATGTATGTTTGCCTGTGTGAAGTTGTTACTTTCTGTTGCTGGTGCAGATTGCTGCTTCTGGCATTATGCATTTGCAATAAGCTCCCGCCATGGCGCGTTGTTCGCATTGGATTAACTCGATTATTTTAGCTAGATAGGACAATTCTTCGTCGGTTGCTAAAGGCTCGCCTCTGCTCTGAGCATTCGGATGCGATTTCTACTTGCATTCACCTTAGACAATAGTGAAGACTCGTGCGGATATATCTTTTTTTTTTCCCCTTAGATACGATCGTTTTTGTCGCGATACAATCTGGCGATGACTCGTCGACTGTCAAACACTTTTTCCAGTAACTCCTCCTCGTCTTCCTCTCCGGCCACCGACAAGGGTGGAAGCGTTGTCAAAAATTCGACAAAATCTAATCGTCTGAGTCAACTTTTCTCGACATCGCCCAAGTGCAAGGCCGATCCTCCGGCGGCTCACACAGCTCTTGTCGCCGCCAGTAAATCGAGCGTACCGATAAGTTCGCCGTCACTGTCTCTTCCCACAATCTCACTGTCTACGGCAACTGCCGACAGCCGCAATATGGACGAACCGCCGACGACGCTATTTCAGCCACCGTCGCATGAAGAGACGAGACGCCTGGCAAAGCAACATGCCCAATTCGCCCCGATTAGCCATCCAAGCCACAGACACACAAGTCGACACCCAGGCGGACCGTTCCCCGAACCTGTCATGGACGAACCTCCTTATTATTACCTTTTGACCACTTATATTAGTTATTTAATCCTGATTGCCTTTGGCCACGTTCGAGATTTCTTCGGCAAGCGTTTCAAGGAAGAGAATTACCGTCACTTAAAATCGCGGAACGGCTATGGCGCATTGAACAGCGACTTTGACAATTTTTATGTCCGTCGGTTGAAGCTGCGTATCAATGATTGCTTTGAACGTCCAGTGACGGGGGTTCCGGGCCGTTATATCACTCTTATTGATCGTGCCACCGATGACTATAACCGACACTTTTACTTTACCGGCACGACTACGGACACGTTGAACATGAGCTCGTACAATTACCTTGGATTTGCTCAGTCAGAAGGTCCTTGTGCAGATGCCGTCGAAGAGAATATTCGAAAGTATGGCATCAGCTCATGCAGTACGCGTGCAGAATCTGGAACAACAGATCTCCATGTTGAAGTCGAAGATTTGGTGGCCAAGTTTGTAGGAAAGGAGGCATCAATGGTGTTTTCCATGGGCTTCGGTACAAACGCCAACATTTTCCCTGCGTTGGTGAACAAAGGATGCTTGATTATCTCAGACGAACTCAATCACGCCTCCATTCGGTTTGGCGCACGGCTTTCAGGTGCATCCATTGGCATGTTCAAACACAATGACATGAAGTCGCTAGAGGAGAAACTACGAGAGGCTGTTTCGCAGGGACAACCACGCACTCACCGGCCGTGGAAGAAGATCCTGGTCGTGGTTGAGGGACTCTACTCCATGGAAGGATCAATGTGCAACTTGCCGGGTCTGATCGAGCTGAAACGGAAATACAAATTCCATCTTTTCATTGATGAAGCACACTCTATTGGTGCGGTTGGCCCTCACGGACGCGGTGTATGCGACTATTTCGGGGTAGACACAAAGGAGGTTGATATGTTGATGGGAACGCTCACAAAGTCCTTCGGTGCCAACGGTGGATACATTGCGGCCGACAAGGCGATGATAGACTGTCTTCGCGCATCGAATGCAGGCGTCATGTTTGGCGAAGCACCGACACCCCCAATTCTCACACAGATTATGACCTCTCTTCGTTTAATAAATGGCGACATTCTCCCCGGTCAGGGAGAGGAGAGGTTGCAACGGCTGGCATTCAACTCGCGGTATCTCAGACTTGGATTGAAACGCCTCGGATTTATCGTTTATGGACATGACGACTCGCCCATCATTCCGGTTCTCCTCTTCAACCCCGCTAAGATGCCAGCGTTTTCTCACGAAATGCTCAAACGCAAGATCTCCGTGGTTATTGTCGGATACCCCGCCACACCGCTTGTTTCTTCTCGCGCCAGATTCTGTGTCTCAGCAGCGCACAACAAGGAAGACTTGGATCGACTATTGACTGCGTGCGACGAGATTGGCAACGTGCTTCAACTCAAATTCTCCACCGGTATCGCCGGCGGCGCACTTCCGCCAGCAGAGGGACTTACCCCAGAGATGGAAAAGGAGTACTACCAGCGCCAACAACAACGAATGGGCAATCCCAATGCGACGCCTACGCCCCCGCGATGGCGCATTGAGGATGTGATACGCCGGGGAGCTCAAGATACGAAGCGTCCGCTCGTTTAGAACATTGTACTCTTTTCTCTTCTTCTTCCCCTGTCGTTCATTATGTTGTTGGCCCGGAGCTCCTAATGTATAAAAAGCGCCTACCACTTTCCATTTCCGGGATGTGTGATATAACCTACCTTCCTCCTCACTTCTCCTCCTCCTCCCTTCGCGCTGCCTTGAAATGACTTATTTAATCGAATAGACCAAGGCAGCACCATGACTACAATAATGAATAATACTTTTGCGTCACTTTTATATATTTACATTAAATTTACAAGGAGTATGATAGATTTGACTCAGCCAGATCACGTAATTAATGCAGGGTCAACTTTACAGCGAACTGATTGTCAGGTATATTCAACGTCCATAATCAAACAAGATGATGCCTCGACCACGCTCAACCAAGCCTGACCGTGTATCCATCCCACCTCAGCCAAATCCCATATCTACTCCTAGTCGTGCCCTGGGGCCAGTTAGCCCTAAGCTATTTGGGAGTGCCACCGATATTAGCAGATCGTCATCGTACTCGCTAGATGCGTGCCTAGGTTGTTTCCAGTGCTCGCTCAACATATAAATATGTATAACTTCACATGGTTATAGTCCGCAATGGGGCTTTACAAAAACTACAATCCTTTCCGGATTCAGAACTTCCAGCCCTAGGTGCTAGATGTGGCCCCAGGCCACACACAGATCATTGATGGATATCGCTGATGGCGTGCACGACATCGTGACTGGCTTCTCTGATACTCGCGTGTGTGAATGGTACAACACACGTTTTGGAAGAGTCTACGAGGCAAAGAACCGACGAGCACTGGATCGAAGCATCTCGAAGCCGTCTTGAATCTGGTAACGAGTTACCGAGTCATCATCTGGGTATTACGAGGATATGACGGCAGGGCTAAAATAAATTGTAGAGCAGATATTTCATTTCAGTATCCGAGGTCACGCACAGGAAAGAATAAGAGCAGGCAGCCATTGGAGGTTAGAAGTCCTCACAACAAAGTGGTCTACCTCCTCGACGCCAGCTACCCTCGCGCAATCGAAGACGTGGATCTGGTAATCCACGTCGACGAGCGCCTGATCATGGTAGACGTATCGGTACAAAGGGAAAAAAAAAACAAAAAAACAAAAGGGGGCAAAATCCGCTCAAGGTTGAATCAAAGCAGCATGTAGATTTACGTGCTCTATATAAAATCCAAACGAGAAACCAAGAACAAAACGCCATGTAATGAAAAACCCCGCCTGCAATGCAACATTCAAACAATGCTCTAATACCCACAGATGAAGGTCATGACAATACCGAATCAAACGCCACCGTAGCTATGTCCCGTCTGATTGCCATCGTTACCAAGCAGAGACTGTGTCTCATCTCGTGAATTGTTGCGGAGAAGCTTATTGATCTCTCCCGACGGAATCCATCCTCGCATCCACCCACTCACGCGTCTCCACCGCTTATGGCCCGGGTCCTCTGGATCGTCGACGGTGACAAGCGGCTCGTCGCCTTCGTCGCCGTAGATGAGAAATTGGACGCCCATAAATGCATCCAGACTCAATACACCAGCTGCACCGAGGAAGAATGGCGTTGCGAGAGCGACCCATTCACCGCGGTTGTTTCCATCTGCGTCGGCCCATCCGCCTCCGCCGTATGGTGGATAGTCAGACCATGCGTTGGGATTCGTTAATAAGGACGCAGAGTAGAAAGAGTTACCGCAAAAGGCGGCCATAAACAGAAGCGGCGAGAGACCAGATGTGCTTTTGCGAACATAGTTTTTGTATAGTTGGGGAAGTCGCGAGCCAAGATAGAGTAGAGTGGACATCCAAGATAATATACGGCCAATTGTCTCCAGGTCGATGTTGTGAGGGTCCATCACAGCATGCCATATCGATGGTAGTGAGGAGTCGGCGGCGGGATGCGGGGGCGCTGCGGATGTTGAAGGTGTCGGAGACGCATTGGCTAGTACCGCACATAACATCGATGTGAGGAGAACGGTTTTCGGGGACACTCCGAGGGGAAGACTGCTGCTGGGGGTCCCGTTGCCAAAGGCACGTCGATTGTCCGGTTTTTCCGACGCATACGCAGGTGAATAGAAACGCGGAGGGGAGTCTGCGGCTGGCTTGAATAGCCCCACGTCCTTTGGCTCTGACGGACGCATCCCACGCACAGGAATCACACTTTCAGCGAGTGAGTCTTCGTCGCTTATACGAATTCCCTCGTAGACAGAGCCACGGTCTTGATCGAACGGCCCACTAATGCCATTCTTTCCTTTTGCCGTCTTCTTCATAAACGTGTACCAATAATACTGGACGACAAGCACCACGTCGACAAAGACGTAGTACGATGCGACGGTCACCTGCCACGATGCCTGGCGTGTGAGCAGCGCGCCGACTAGATTTGCCGCATCTCCCAGACACCACTCCACCAAGAAAAATGCCGACAGGCCTGCTGTCGACTGCAAGTAATAGTTCTTGTAGATCTGCGGTAGTTGCGCGAATAGCCAAGAGACGATGCTCAAACAGCCCAGGATCGACGAAATTAATCCAAGCGTACTAGGTATGCATATGTGAAGCGTCGACGAGATCAGTGCGAGCAGTTCGGATGAGGGTTCGCAATGAGGCGGTAGCGAGGACATGATCTCCGTGCACGGGACGACTAAGCAAGAGGCGATGGAAACGCTGCGATTTGGAAGACACGGACTGCAGAAAAAAGATCGTGAATATATATAAAGTGCAAGAGTGTCTCTAGAGATACGAAGATTGCTGACTGATGACTCAAGGTGTTCGGTTGCAGCGAGATAAGGCGTGTGACAGCGTTATCTCGGCGTTATCGGAGGCAGGGCAGATAAGAAACCCCTGGCCAGACTGGACACGCTGGAACCACGAGAGGATGCGATGCGAAGGAGAGAACAGGAGACAAAAAACAGGAGAAGAGACACAAGAGAAGAAAACAGACGACCCCTGGTTCTTGCATTGTCTGGCTGATCGTCAGCTCGGCTGACTCACTCGCTGACCTGTGCGCGCCCAAACGGGCTAGACCGGAGACGCGCACATGACCGCGCTGAAGCGTGCCTAAGGCTGACACCGAAGAAGTGCGTGCCTAATCTGGCATTTGCATCTACCTCTGCATCTGCATTTGCATGCCACCTTTCTGTCAACAGCAAACCAGATAAAAGAAAAAAAAAAAAAAAAAAAAAAAAATGGCTCCCCCCAAGACTGCGCAGTTCGGCACTTGGCAGAGCCCCATCAACGTAGAGACCATAACTGCTGAGAGCACCAACATCATAGAAGTAGCCGCAACTGTATGCCACCAACGTGTCCCATGCCTGCCATGACAACAAGACTAATCGTTATGCATCAAGACCGATGGGAAAATATTCACCATCGAAGCACCGCCGAGCGTTGATGGACGATGCACCATCATTGAGTACCACCAAGGCCAGAGCCGTGAGATACTGCCGGCCGACTACAGTGCTCGGACTGCCGTGCATGGCTATGGCGGAGCTGCGCTAGCAACCACCAGCAAAGGCGCAGTCATCTTTGCAGACTGGAAGACGAAAGGAGTCTACTCGCTCGATCCCGCTACGAAGGACGTGGCGCTGGTGGTGGATGCAGACCCTCAGGTGTTCTTGGCCGACTTTGACGCTCATCCGCTCCATCCGGAGTGGATTATAGCCATTTGCGAGGATCACCATTCAAAGCCCGAGACGAACTCTCTGGTGGCTTTGAATGCTGAGAACAACACCGTGCATGTACTCGCTTCAGGTGCCGACTTCTATTCGGCCCCTCGGTTTAGTCCTGCTGGAGACCGCATCTGCTGGATCCAATGGAACCACCCGGACATGCCCTGGACAGGCACGAGATTGTTCGTTGCGTCCTGGAACGGATATAAGAAGTTGACTGACGTGACGGAGATTGACGGCGAGGCCCGCAACGTGAGCATCAGTCAACCGAGATGGGGACCCGATGGAACATTGTTCTATACCAGCGATCGCTCCGGCTACTGGCAGCTACAAGCCATGCGTCAAGCATCAGATGGCCCTCAGCCTATCGTCATTGATGGTCTTGAGAAAGGAGAATTTGCTGCGCCGGAATGGCTCATTGGCAGGTGAGATTTTTTTCAAAGCAAAAAGAGAAGTCATCCGATTTCGTTAAAATAACACAATCACTAGCTCCACCTTTTTCTCGCTCACTGCTGATACTATCGTTGCTACTTGGACCAATAATGCACGAGAGATGCTTGTTTCGATTGATCTATCCGCGTCCAAATACACCGTATTATCAGATGCACTCACCGGCATGTTTGGTAGTGCCGTAAAGCGACTCTCCGACACAAGCTTTGCCGTTATCGCAGCGAGCCCAACTGCACCCAAAGCGCTCTACCACGTCGAGCTAACCCAGTCTCTTCCCAAACTCACTTCCCTCAAATCATCTCTGCCATTAGACATACCAGAGGAATTCTATTCGCGCGCAGAGCATATTTCGTTCCCACGAACCGAAGGCCCAGGCCATCTGAATACAACTTCGCATGCTTTCTTTCTCCCACCCCAGAATGCGAATTATGTCGGGACACCAGACACTCTTCCACCTCTGATCGTGGAAATGCACGGTGGACCAACCTCCCACACAAACCCTGGCCTGGCACTCACTTACCAATACTATACATCTCGCGGCTATGCCGTAGCTCTTGTCAATTACGCAGGATCTTCAGGCTATGGACGAAAGTACCGCGATCTCCTTGACGGAGTATGGGGCGCTTTAGACCCAGCCGATGCAGCAAGTTGCGTCGCGTATCTCGTCGAAACAGGCCGAGTGGATGGAACCCGCGTGGGTATCATGGGTGGCAGTTCCGGTGGTCATGCTGCACTAGAAGCTATCTGGATGTTCCCATCCGTCTGGTCCGCCGCAGTGAGCCGCTATGGCATTAGCGATGTCGAAGTCCTCGTTGAAGACACCCACAAGTTCGAGAGCCACTACGCCTTCCGCTTGCTGTTTGGCGACAACGTCCCGGACGACGAGGAGGAAAGGCGTCGCGTGTACCGAGAGCGTAGCCCGCGTTTCAATGCTGAGAAGATTAAGGCGCCAGTGTTGCTTTTGCAAGGAAGTGAGGATAAAGTGGTCCCCCCGAATCAGACCGAGATGATGGTGCAAAGCATCACCAAGAACGGCGGAATAGCGAAAATGACGATTTTCCAAGGAGAGGGACATGGCTTTCGAGGAAAAGAAAATCAACGCCTGGCTCTGGACGAGCAGGATCAGTGGTGGCAGAAGTACCTGGTTCGTGCGTAGTTTACTTGTAGACGAACGCGGCTAGAAGCAGCTTACCATGGGGATGCACTACACAGAATTTATAAATGCAAATATTCTACATATAGCAAGTAAAACAACGCCAGTCGTATATAGCAACTGAACACTGCAAGATGCCAGCTTGTTCAGCTATACTTCATCAGTAATGGCACGTTCTCATCTTAGGGTTGGGGTTTCCAACTTCTCCGGATTATGACTATCACCACATCTAATAACTCTAAGACAGGATGCAAAGACAGTCAGACATCATACCCACCGCTGCTTTTGCTTTCGTATAATCACTATCTCTGAAAGCCACAGAGGGCCAAAATCACCTTCTCCGAGCCTTCCTCGCCGTTAACATCACCACAATAGGCCACATATCCATTCCCAATCCTAGCGCCAGCCACTGCGGCCTGTGACCTGTCCACGTACTCAGGAGCAAACAAGGGCGACTATGGGCCTCCAGGACGGGGATGAAGATTTTCTCATGAGGCCGGGCGTCCTTGATATGGAATGATTTCATGCAATACGGCTCCGGGAACGGCAACGGCACGGAATTAGAATCGCCATGAGGCCCAGGAAGAACGCATGACGGATTGACTTAGAAGGTAGTGCGGTTGTAGTCTCCAGTTTTCCAAGGCAGACCAAAGCCAGACGCGAAGAGGTTATTGATCGCTTCCCTTGATGAGAACGAGGGGAAGTGCAGGCCGATTATAGCCAGACCGCCATTGCGGACGTACGATACCACTTTCGACAGCACTTCTGCATTCTCCTGCTCGGTGAAACCCTCGTCGGTGATTATGGCGGTCCCTGGGTTGTTTGCTTCCAAATGCTAGCCGCTTTGGCACGCTTGATACGGGCCGCTTCGGCTAGTTTGTCAAAGAATGGCGAAAAATGCTCCGGTAGCTATAATTGAATGAGAGCAGAGAAGAAAAGAGGACAAGAAAGAGGCAGTTTACTGGCTGTCTAGGTAATATTCTGTTGCTACCAAGGTTCTTTGTTCAGCGGTGAGTCGTGACTAGCCCTAGGCTTACCCTGGTTTACAACACTTCTATATTCGATTCATGTTTATCTAAGACTTCTACAAAACTGCGAGCATTGATGTCCGTTATATGGGCAGCGCAGATTGATATTACATGATGTGCCGTTCTTCTGCAATATCTGATAAGTGGAATTTCATTTTGATGGGCATGAAAGAGAAGAAGCTACATCCAAGTGGTCGTTAGACATTGTATGTTATCCGAAACGGCCGTGCAGCATCCTGCACGTTCACACAGTTATCACGGTCAATCACGATTCTGGCAGCTCCATCATTCTCCATGTTCACACGGTCATAATGGTCAACCTCGGTTCTGGTGGCTCCTATGTGTAGTTGCCAATCGAAAAGAAGTGGCATATTTAGCCCGGGAAAGTATTGACACACATAGACATCCCATTGATGGCCACGGGACTGATTGAAGGCCATCGTGAGGTCAGACATGACCTGTTCTACCGAGGGAACTGTGGCCACCTCTCGATATGCGGTCACTTCTAGTGCTGGTACAAAGATGTATAAGCGCACTAGCGGATCAGCACAGTCAAAACTACCTGATACAGACATTATCTGCATAATCTTGAAGGCTACATCCGAGATGCATTTCTGGCACGCCGTAAGCCGGGTGGTTCGGGCGAGTAAGACTGCTTGTGGAGAGATGCCAGCCACGACAATGTCATGGCTTGGTGTTTCGTCATTGATGTCGGTGAGAAGTGCTGGATAGAAATTGGGACGTTTCTCAACAATTTGCACATGGCCAGGCATTACTTTAATGATCCCTGAGTACTGTGCTATATCCGATTGTCCTATGTCGGGACTACCATGACATCCATAAACATGGTCCAGCGAGCCATACCTCCAGGGGATCTGGGGGAGCAAGGGGCGCTCGGCTGTCATTTTTGAAGGTAGGGGTTCTCTGCTTTGTAGAAAGTCGGACAGATGTCAATCAATGTACCTAAGCTTCATTAGCCCAGTTCAACGACAATAATCTTGAAATACACTAGCTGGTACACATGTGATATGTGTTCATAAGAAAGGTAGATCTCACCCAAAAAAAAAAAAAAAAAAAAAAACAAAGCTTGTTGAAATGGGTCACAATCAGCTTGGAAGCTTGAGATCTAGGTTGGATAAATGCGAGAGTTGAAATGTAGGAAAGCGAGCAAGTGATTATATACCTTTCTTTATCTCAACACAGGCCTAAATATGTGTCATTTTTCTTCGGTCTGAGATTATAGAAAAACTAAGGTGACTCTTAGCAGATCGGTGTAGGAAAAATGACAGTGGTGATTCACTGATAAATAAGTGAGTCCTAAGCTAGGTCGATAGATACATTCCTGCTATATACAAGTGATAAACATCATCTCTCAGGGCAATTTAGGAGGCAAGGATGAGAACTGATCTCGCACATCGCACCTTTTGAAACTCTCGAAAGCGCTTTATGAATACACAACGCCCTTTGGCCTACCTGACACATTCTGTGTATGTGCCATATTGTTCAGGCTTCGACAATATTCATTGATATTGTCGGGCTCATAATCTAGGAAGACGCGAAATTAGATTGAATAAGTCATTCCCCAGGATGGTGCCGCTTTTCCTTCACAGAAATAAAAAAGACCACATTAGGCTTCCGACCATTCTGAATGACTCGTCCTATATACCGTCAAGTCACCAGTCTGATCCAAACGAGAAATGTGGAATTGCCCGAGCGTTGTCTTTCTTGCCTAGTTGTGCTTGGAAGTGGATTAGGGCTAGAAAAGAGTTTTGATGGGGACCAGAAAGGCGGTCTAATACCGGGAGGCCTAGCCTCATTAAGTAAAGTCACGGCAGAAAAGTGGCGGCCCCCACAATGCTGCACGATGATGGCGTCAGGTGAGCAGCTGCCAATAAGAGCTAGCCGGCATGTTGAACAGTACAACTCTCGGAGACCGCTCTTTCGAATATTTATATCTCCTGAACGTACACCTGCGATTTTCTTTCTCCCTCCCTTCTTCTTTCTCGTGTTATATTTGTTGATTGTCAGGGCCGTCGTGCTACCTACCGCGCAGTGAATTGGTCTAATCATTTCTTCGCAACGCCGTTCCTTCCGGCTACGTATCTTCAAGGACTTACATTCTCTTTCTTTATATAATTCCAATTGCAGCAGAAAAGGGAACAAGGAACTGCGAAGAGAGGCGAGACAAGAAGATTTGCTTAGAACTACACTGTTCTTGCAAGATCTCGCAAAGCTGCCATGTGCCGCTTCCTTGTAAGTTAACCACGCTGATGCCTAAAAAGGGAGACATATCACTGCATGAATAGACATCTGACATGGCACCAGGTATACAAAGGCAGAAGCGAGATTCTCCTGAGCAAATTGGTGACAGAGCCCAGTCATTCAATCTTGACACAGTCCTATGACTCACGGCTAAGATTGGTAAGATGACTCATTATTGTACACATAATGAAAGAGAGCTAATTGAATATTTAATAGGACACACGCCGTCCTGTGAACGGTGATGGCTTCGGGGTAGGCTTTTACCCAGACCCAAAGCTTGGGCCAGAGCCATGCATTTTCACATCAACGCTGCCAGCTTGGAACTGCGAGAATCTGGAGCGCTTGGCAAGCAAAACCTGCTCCAATCTAATCTTTGCGCATGTCCGAGCAACAACAGAAGGCACATTGGCCGACAACAACTGCCACCCTTTCCAGCACAACTCGCTGATGTGGATGCACAATGGCAATCTCGGCGGCTGGAAATACATCAAGCGGCCACTCGGCGAATTACTGAGTGATAAGTGGTACCTTGGTGTCAAGGGCGGCACTGATAGCGAATGGGCATTTGCTCTCTTTCTGCATCTAATGGAGCAAGAAGGCGGTGTTGATCCCAGTTCTGACCCGGGTCCTGATGGCTTTGGTCAAGCGCTTTTGCGACAGACAATGTTCAAGACGATTGCGAAGATAAACGAGCTCATTCGTCAAATCCCCGAAAAGTACAAAGTGTCTGACCTCGAGACGAGGAGTTTGCTCAACTTTGCCGTGACTGATGGTCACACCGTGATTTGTACTCGATACGTCAGCAGCAAGACTGATGAGCCGGCGAGTCTGTATTTCTCGTCTGGCACCAAGTGGAAGGAGGGCAAGAAAGAGGGCCATTTTAAAATGGAGCGTCACGACAAGGGAGCCGATATTGTTCTCGTGGCTAGTGAGCCTATTACCTTTGAAAGGCGTAAGATGCCGGCTTGCGATCAAGAAATACATAAGAATGCTAACAACCTCTAGATAACTGGGTCACGGTTCCGACCAACTCAATCTTGACAATACATAAACAAACTGTCTTGTTGCATCCGATCCTGGACGAATTCTACAATGATGACCCAAATCATGATCGTTCGTCCGTCTACGCTCTGTCTAAAGGCCTGGCGCCTCCAGCAGTTGTGACGCCGAAGAAGAACTCCGCCAAAATCACCAATGGATCGGCGAAGCTTGATTCGTTGGCGCAGAATGTTACGCAGTTAGAACTGGCATCGTAATCGGTATTTTTCACTTGAAAAAAAAAATAGATTTTTTCTGCCACCGTTTATCAGGAGTTCACAGAGAAGGGTTCGGCGTACATATAGGCTTGGAAGAAATAAATGTTGATTCATGTACAATTGGGAATAGGAAATTCACAAAAAGTTAAATTTACGCACTTCGAAAAGGAGTATATTATACAGTTAGTCGGGATTATTATAGTATGTGAAATGCAACACAAACAGCGGCCTGCGACTGTTCGTAACCACTATATCGAAATTCAGAAAGACGAATTCATCCATCATCAGCCGATATGTTTGCATGCTTGAAATACTTCATCCCCACCCAAGCAACAATCACCCAAACCCACGCCATGACAGCAGTCATAACCATCAAAGCCGGATAGTAACCGACAATAGGCAAGGTAGGATCATCCTCCAGTTCCGGCGGCGCATACGGTGTTTCGCCGACGTCCCAAGCCCAGCTCCAGACTCCAAAGGAGCTCCCGATTCCTACCACGAAGACAAGCCAAGTAACGATGAGAATGATCCACCCCCACCATTCGGTCTCTGCATAGTCCCATCCAACGTCCACATGGTGATTAGTCGACATTTCTATGCTTGAATGGGTGACGAGTGGGGATCTGGCGCGATGAAATTGAGGGCGTTGTTGTGGTTGCTGATGGATAGTGGCGTTTTCTGTAGCGTTAGTTGCTGCTGTGACCGCCTGACGATGGGATAGAAAGTAGGAGTCGGAGCTTGAGGAAGGTGTAGTCGTTGTTGCTCCAATGAGGCGTGGAATACCACTACTGCTGCTGCTTGCGGAGCATGGGCGTGCCTGGGCAGTTGTTTCGTCTTTTATATTATGATTAGTATTACTATCGGTGCTACCGACATTGCGGTTGCTGTGGTTGAAAGGAGACACATTGTCTTCCTCGTCTGTAGTATTTCCCACATGACTGCCCGGTTTGTCCAGATCAGCCGCAGCATTTCGATCCATTCTCGACGACCGAGGCCAGTATGCAGAGTATGACGATGACGATGACGATGACAAGACATTATTGCCATTGCTGTTGCGCTCCATGCTTCCTCTCGGGGTCTCTTCTTCATCGTTAGGAGACGTCACAATGCCGCCACTATTCAAAGGTGACGACGATGTTCCTCTATCATTCTCAATGTCCGCATAACCATTCTGGTCCCTAGCAGAACCAGCGCTGTTCCTCCTTTCCCTGGCATCCAACCGAGTGCCTAAGAGTGCCGTCTTCCGCAACGAGCCCTTTCGTCGTCGCATTCGTCTTTGATGTTGTTGCATGGCCGTTGCCATTGCTCTGCCACTACCACCACCACCACCACCTCCCGCTCCAACCGCTCGCGACCCGCCAACACCGAGGCCATTGTTTTCATTGTCGCAATTGGGACTGGCACTGCGGGTAACTTCGAGGTTTCGTGAAGGGGGCGGCAGTTCTTCGAGTGTTTGGCTCATGCGGAGGAACGAAAGCTTCGATAGTAACGATCCGGATCGCTTGTGACTGCCGGCGCTGCTGGAATGGGCTGCTTTTGTTAAATAGTATTGTTCCTCTGGTTGTTCATTATTATGAGCGAGAGCTATCGGTGTTGGTGTTTCGAGTGAAAATTCATCTCCATTTTCCATTGAGGGAAGGAAATGTTCTAGTCCATGGGAGCAGATGATATATGGTTGACAGACACGGAGTAACGCGGACAGATAATGTAGCTGGTTCAGTACGGCGTGTTGGAAGCGATTGCACGTTCAATTATTAACGCAAGCCATCACTTCTGGGGCCATGGAAAGAGAAATAAATAATATTGTATCATGCAGACTTCGATCCGAAACATACCCCAGATTTTGTTGCATTCCATTGCCAGATGCCTTGGTGGAGAGTGAGTGCCTTAGGCTGCTCGGGTCCGGAGAAACCTCCTCCGCCGCAAAAACACCTTCCCTTTCCATCTGACGAACGCGGCTTGCAGAGAAGCAAGAACATCAATCAACCAAGCGAGCCACAATGGCAGCCCGACTCTCGTTCCTGGCTGGGAGGGCGTCGCAGCTCGCCAGTCCGACCATTCGCCCTCCCCTCCCATTTCTCATCCCCCAATTTCAACAGCCGCAGATCCAGCAACAAACCCGCAATGCCTCCATCTTGAGTTCCCTGTCCGACAACCCCAGCGCATACAACAAGAGGATCCGGAGAGGTCGCGGTCCTGCTTCCGGGAAGGGAAAAACGTCAGGACGAGGTCACAAAGGTCAGAAGCAGCACGGAAAAGTCCCTGCTAATTTCAACGGTGGACAAACGAAGGAGATTATTGTCCATGGCGAAAGGGGATTCACGAATTAGTACGCCCAACCTTTCTAATATCATGCTACTAAACCTCAGGCTAACTATTTCTCCAGCTTTGCCCTCGACCTGGTCACGGTGAATCTAGACCGGATCCAAGAATGGATTGACCAAGGCCGCATCGATCCCCGATACCCCATCACCGTGCGCGAACTTTTCCACTCAAACTGCGTGCACCAATTCCGGGACGGCATTAAACTCCTCGGCCGCGGCAAAGAGAACGCACTCAAACAGCCCATCCACATCGTCGTATCGCGAGCCTCCGCCGACGCAATTGCCGCTATCGAAGCCAGCGGCGGCTCAGTCACCACCCGATTTTATACCAATGCTTCTATAAAGCGGATTCTGATGGAAGAGACCCACCCTTTCTACTCAATGGCCTGGTCCGAGAATAGTGGAAACGAGTTTCTCAAGAAGGCGCTTGTTGGTGGTGGTGATGAAGAAGCAGCAGCAGCTTTGTCAGAGCCCAAGATTATGGCAAGAGGGAATTTCACATATCGCTTACCGGATCCTACGCATCGAAAGGATATTGAGTATTACCGTGATCCGGCTCATAGGGGTTATTTGAGCTATTTGGTGCAGCCTCACGAGGGTCCAAGTTTGTTCTTCCGTTCCCCTGCAGAGAGAAAGTCTTCTGCTGGTATCAAGAAGGAGAAGACTTTGGCTCCGAACAGGCTTTGGTAGTTTGTCTTCCCAAGTTCTTAGATTGTTAGTAAAGTTTATGTATATGTATATTATCTGTGGATTATGAATTGAGAGCATTGTATTCATGTCACTATGTAGATCCAACTAAATTTACAATTTTGGTTGCTCATCTGATAACAAAGACTCGAAGAGAAAATGCCTTTTTGAGTAGAGAGTGAAATATAAGCGTCTTAAGGTCAAATACAAGACAATATATCAGCATCACGGCCGTTAGAAACAAAACCAGAAAGACATGAAAATCATATAAACCAGAACCCGGAATGAAAAGACAACTTGAAAATCCGCTAAATAATACACATTGCCAGAAGAAGTTGAACCGTAAAATCATTGGAGAGTTGGTACAAAATACAAAACGCAAGGAAAATGAAAGATCAGCCCGAAACAAATTTCAAAGAAAGGACGAATAAACCTCATATTGCGAGAAAAAAGAAAAATGAGAGAAAAGAAAAAAGAAGCGGAAACTGACAAACGCCTTGTGTTCTTGTTTCACACACCAAACAGAACAAACCGAGAGGACTCAATAGTATATCGCGACATGGAAAGGAATAACTGACGCCGTCCGCACGCAGAACGCTTTTCTCAAGAAAGTAGAATCGATAATGTAGAAGGACATGGGTATCATAAGAGATAGTTGAGGGAAAAGAAGAAAACAATCATGAACCATGCAATCAATACCCCACGTACAAACATGGAAATAAAGGCGAGAATATAAGGACCGCGTGGAAGTGTAATAGAGAAAGCGTCCTAGTGCAACCGGCAAATCGATTTCGAAAAGAGAGAGAGAAGAAAAAAAGAAAAATCAAAACCTCCAGGACCGCTCATGTTGATGTTCATCGGAACGGTTAGAGACACTCTTGAACCAAGCACATCCGAGAGCTTGTCGTATAGTCCAACGAGAACTAGTATCCTTTTCCATGCAGCGACGTAGCAGAAATAGAGCCTCCTGACGAGTAGCGTCATGTTCTTTACCTGCAAGGACAGCATGATGATTCCATTCACCTTTGACAATGCTCGAATGCAATCGTGGTCCGAATCCATGCTGAAATGGTCGGGAGCCTACCAACGTCGCATAAACAACCACGCCAAAGGCCCACATATCAACTACCGGGTCGATCAACCCTGTAGACGAAAGAAGCAGTTCTGGTGATGCATACTCCAAACTTCCTGCAATGCTTGTGCTAGATCCGCTTGGGCCTATGTTTTGCGTCGGAGGGCGATCGGCTGGGTTGTCGTACGAATCCAACGACTCGCTGCTAGTGTCAGTCGTCATCCACTCTGCCATGCCGAAGTCGCAAAGAACAAGTTTGGCAGTCTCGGTGCCGTCCTCGGATATCACGGGATCCAATAAGCAGTTTTCGAGCTTTATATCACGGTGCACTACCCGCATATCTTCGTGCAGATACCGTATTGCCGAAGCTAGCTGGTACGAGTACTTTTTGGCAAGGTCCATATCTAGTCCACTGCGATTGGACTTGACCAAATCAAAGAGCGTCCCACCGATGGCAAGTTTAGTAAAGCAAAAAGTTGCGTAATCTGTTTCATATACAGCTTCGAGAGACAGGATATGGTGGTAATTGAGCTGTCGCCAGATACGAACTTCATGGTCAAATTCGGCCTGCACCTGATCATTTTCTCTCTCGTTTTTTCCAGAAACATGCTTCTTAACTATCTTAACAGCCAAGCGTCTGGTGGAACCATCTTCCTCAACTTTGTATGCTTCCTTCACGGTGCTGAAGCCGCCGAAGCCAATCTGCTTACCAATCACGTACTCTGTGCCGACCATCTGGCCCTCGTCATCCGGCTGAGAGGGAACTACCGCCTCCTCGGGCGAACTCCACATAGAAAGAAATGCGCTGGCTGGTGACTTGCCGCTTGACCCGGTCGATCGACGAGAACGTTGCTGACGCATGATTTGTCGCCAGCTATTATGTCTGTCGAGTGTGTAACTGCGGGGTTTTCCGGCATCGGACCCCCCTGTAGACCAGACGTTAGGATCATCAAGGGAAACTGCTCGTTGGACAATGGGAGATGCAGATAGGGGTGAAAGCAGCACGTCCCTGTGCCCATCTCTAGGGTATTCGGAAGGTGTGCGAACCTCCTCCAGCGGTGACATGGTCGATACCGAAGTGAGGGAGGTCGGTCGATCGAGTTCAGCAGCGGGTGTTGTGTCTTCATTTCTTCGAGAGGCGAAAGATATACCGCTGTCTATAGTTGTTTTGTGTCGCAACCCATTTTTCGGACCATAGTTCGGCTCTCTGGCGTATGCGTGGACCTCGTCCTGGTTGTGCACATGTCGCAATGCGGACGGCCGTGTTGTTTGTGACGATCTGAGGCGTCCAAGATCTCGGGCATCAGATTCTGGTATGCTATCATCGATGGGCGAGTACTGGCGTGGGCTCTGTTGGTCTCTGGGTTTTGTCTCGATGTGCGACGGCCCGGCATGCAGAAAGTTTTCGAACGAAGGTCGGAACTCCTCTGGTTTATGAGAGTAGCTAATTCCCGAGTCAAAGGCTTCAATATTATGATCGTCCGCGCGAGGGACAGCCATCGGCGGAGTCGCTGTATGGAGCTCATCGATCACACTCTTCTCGTCATCATCCTCCAGTCGTCTCGTCGAAAGATCTCTCCCTAAGGAGGGATTTTCCTCTCTATCGTGCCCGCCATGGTCGCGTTTGTTGTTGGCGCTAGGAGAGCGGTCCCTGGCGAATTTTGTGTCAAGTCTCAGGCCTGAAAACGATTCCCTCCCAGCATATGCCATGCCCTCGTCGGGAATTATTTGTTGAAGACGGATAACAGCGATGACGATAAGGCCCCACGCTGCATTACCAATTGTTTTGAGCAAGAGCCAAGATACTTTGGGACAAGTGGGAATGGCGCAGATATATAGCGACGCAACTGTCTGGTATGATGTTTGTAATTTCTTTCCCCGGTGTGCGGTGGCAAAGCTGGAGATGAGGATGAGGTGAGCAGAGTGAGTGATGGAGATGGAGATGGAGATCGGAGGGGCCTCACCGAAAACCAAAACCAACCGCTGTATCAAATAGCTGCATATGGTTGGTCACATCTCAGCATTCTGCGTAACAATACGTATTTCATGCACGTATTAATACGTAATTACCGTCCCCCGGGAGCCGCTGTGGGGGAGGAGTCAGGAAAAATCCAATCACCACACAGAAATGACCCGAAGTGGGACCGCTAGTGCAACAATCGTCCCCAGCGATTACCGCGCGTTACCCGCTGGAAACTCTGAACTATGAATGCATGCACTCCGAATTCGTCCTCCGCAGTGATGATTGCCTGACATTCACATCGTCTTCTGACTCTGAGCACTTCGCAATTCAGCTGCTGATTCAGTCGTGGTCAGTCTTGGTCAGTGGCCGACACATGCACGTAGAATATGCGCCTTAATAGCCCCTAGATATCTCGCCCTATCGGAGGGTAACCAGCTAACGTCAGTCTCTGCATAAGCGACAAACGCGCGCAACGGCGCCTGTACCCGTGCGCCGTAAATGCCACCGCTCATCCAGCCCAGCCCCTTTTAAGATTGCACGTCTCGACTCCGGTGTCCTGGCAACTCACTCGGTCGTCCAACATCGTATTCCGCCTTTTTCCAACCCGCCGGGGCAAGACTCCGACTGATTGCTCGTCTTCAGGTCTTTGCAACCCTATTTTCACTTGTGCAGCGTGCTGCATTACGTTCCTTTCATCGTCCCACTCGTTTGCTCCAACTGTTCTCTCGCCCCAGCAACAGCCGTTTGCACTTTCGTTCTTAGCGTCTTATAAGAGTTTCTCTCCGAGCGGAAACCATCGAGGGTTCCAGTTCGTATGCGCTCATTTACGACTCAATTCCAGCGATTGGCGGGCAAGTGATTCCTTGACCCTGCTCCATGAGGCCAGACGACGCTTGGATTCATCGCCATACCTTCCTTTGTCAATTTTATATAGAAATTTCTCGACGGACCATTTTCAATCATGACAAGACCGCAGATGATTAGGGCCGGTCCGTTCTTGCCTTCTCCGTTACTTACGTACTTGCCATAGCGGGGAATTCACTAATTCGTGACTTTCAGACACCATTGATCTCCAAGATCAAAACTCTCCGTCGGCCCAGGATCATTCGTCAAACAATTCGCGCATTGCGGGTGGTCGGGCGGGTACCCATCAGAATCAATCGCTGCGCCATGCCGAACAAGAAGCCAAAGAAGAGATGTCTACAAGCCCTCGTGTTTCCTTGGATCAATTCGGCTCCGGTGACCAACATAGCCATATTGACATTGTTTACGACGACCAAGATGATCTCATGGAAGACTTGACGGCATCCGGTGACGCCGATAATGGACACTATGGGGAAGAAGGAGAAGGGGAAGGCGATGACATGCTGGACGATGATATGATGGATAAAATATCATCATCCCCGTCCATAGACGACGGTGAGTTAGCCTTCGCAGGAACGGTGGTGTACATTCTAATGTATTATTTAGAGGATATTGATTTCGAGTTTGTTTACGCTTTACACACTTTCGTTGCGACAGTGGAAGGGCAGGCCAACGCTGCTAAAGGAGATACCATGGTTCTGCTCGACGACAGTAACAGCTACTGGTGGCTTGTTCGTGTAGTCAAAGATGGTAGCATTGGTGAGTTGCTGTGCTATTGCTCTGTCGACTCCATTACTGACTTGAATGTTAGGATACTTGCCTGCCGAGCACATCGAAACTCCCACTGAAAGGCTCGCTAGGTTGAATAAACATAGGAATGTTGATGTAGGTTTTGTACGCAGTATTAGTGGATATCCAACATGAACTAATTGTTTAGCTCTCTGCGACAATGCTGGGGGACAATGCAGAAAAGTCCAAAAATCCTCTGAAAAAGGCTATGCGTCGCCGCAACGCGAAGACAGTCACGTTTGCATCTCCAACCTTCTTTGAGACGTCCGATATCGACTACTCTACAGAAGAGGAAGAGGAAGACGGTGAACAAACGGAAGAGGAAGAGAGCCAAATTGAACATCAAGATGCTCAGTACGACGTCCAAGATGAAGACATGGTGGTAGAACCATTGAGACCGAAGCCACACAAAGAGAAATCCTTCCGAGAACTAGAGGCCGAAACAGAAGAAACAGAAGTTGACCGCTCAAGCTCAGAAAGGCCTCGTCCAAGCGACGACTCATATGAACGGACAGGTATGGTTTACGACTTTCTGCTGTTTCAGTGCTTTTTATTGATCTCAATGTCGTATAGGGGAGAATGTTAGCCGATCGAGGAATGGCACGCTACGAAATACAGATTCTTTCTTCAATGATGATACAGCGGAGACAAAGAAGATATCCCTCACTCCGAATCTTCTCCGCGACGATTCGACTGCTAGTGCATTCAGCAAGAGTGAACCACAAGAGGTATTATCCATGCTTTATTGGCGGCGATGGCCTTTATTGACGTTGCTTCCATAGGGACGGGCGAGTTTGGAATCCATCGAGAAGAGCTTGTCGGCTGGGGACAAGAGCAAACGCAAAGATAAACGGCCCGGTATGCTCAGCGGGCTATTCAAGAGGAAAGACAAGAAGGGCAGAAGCTCAGAAGACGATGGTGAGGAGTTGGAAAAGACCTCCGAGGAGCTTTCTCGGTCCTCTCCACAGCCAAAGGTCTCTTCAGAATCACTGCGTGAGCACAACAACAATTCCAAGCCTGCCGGAGTTCAGAGACAATCCAGTAAACTCCAGAAACAGCCACCAGCGGAATTCGCAACGGCCAATCAACAAACGCCTCTCAACTTGCAAGAAGCCGCGGCAGTACCGGTGAATGAAGTGTCCTCACCTGTGAAGGAAGATTATGGTTCTTCAATCCGGCGGGTGGTATCACCATCAACTGGTATTACCGTCGAACCCCTTCAAGTGCGAACATCATTAGAGAGGAACGCAGCGGCTGTTGAACAGCGCGCGCCCAGTAGTGAACCTTCGTCTCCTGTGAGGATGCAAAACACGGCGCCGTTGATGGAGATGAATTCCAAGATGTATGATGATCCCATTGCGGACGAACCCATCAAGATTATTCCAGCCGATAATCAATCATCAACAACGATTGTTCCGCCACAGCGGTTAAGAGGAAATGCTGACAGCATTGAAAGGCTTTCAGAATCGCCGGTGAATGTTTCACCAATTCAATCTTCTACAAGCCCTCAACCGCCCGCCTTGATGGTGGATACATCTTCTCAGGAGGAGCACCCTGTCTCGCCGTTGTCATCACATTCATCTTCACCTGAGTTTATTGATCGCGTCGAAACCAAAGGAGATGAGACGACACCGATATCTACCGTGTCGTCTACAGCCACTGCGACGTGGAGTGACGCAAGCTTGCGCTCGTATCTTGACGATGAAAATGATATTCGCGATCTTCTTATTATCGTACATGACAAGTCGAACGTGCAACCGGCTGGTCCTGACCACCCAATCACGGGCAGCCTATTTAAGGAAGAAAGCAGACGTCTGAAGGAAATGTCTGGACGACTAGATGAGATGCTCGCAGGCTGGATGTCGCGAAAGGCAGATCATCGAGTAAGCAAAGTTTTCTGATGTCCCCGTGTCGCTTTATAAGCAGCGAACAGTATACGACCTTCGTTTCCATTTCTTTTTCTTACCGAGATTTATTGTTTTGCCTTTTTCCACTGACTGTTCTGCATGACTTGTTTTCATACTTTTTTTATACATAACGGCGGGCTCTGTTTTGTCTTTGCAAGCAGTCTTGAAAATACCCATGTTCATATGACATTTATTTGAGTACCAGGTAGATTATTTACCAGCTGTACTATGCTATGGAATGCGATCGACTTCTTTACTACGTATTAATATCATAGTATAAATATACACATGCCCATTTGCATACCCAATTAGGCATGACTGACTGCGGGGATGACCTTCAGCGGCTGACTTGGAAATGTCACAAGCGATCAGCCACGAGGTCGGACCTTCGCTAGCCCGAGAGTACTTATAGTAGGAACAGTCTTTGGCATTCGTTTAATCGAGTAAACACTTGTCGCAGCCCTTACCATCATGTCTGCTTCGTCCTATCTTAACGACCAGCACCATACCGACAGGCTACAAGCAGGATATCAACAGGGATATTCTGAGCAACAGCAACACCAGCAACATAATTATCAAATCTATGGAAATAAACAGCCGCATGGCCCGGGCTACGGACAGGGATACAGTCATGTAGGAGGATATGAGCAGGGTCTCCTATATACCCCAGGCGAGCATGGTTACCATCCGAACAATACTGGCTCAGCGCAGGAATACTATTAGTAAGACATGCACTCGTTGATTCCAGTACTCCGGCCTATTACTCTCCTTCTTACTTCTAACTAATTGACTCCCATATGTTACTGGCTAGCGGCAGTAATGAACCGTCCTCTTCTTACCAGGGCGTGACACACATACCTCACGGCGCAGAGCAGCAGCATTCTCCGTCCGCCGCAAGCCCACTACATATGGAGCAGGCATACACTCAAGTACAAGTCGGAGAGGATGCTACGCCAGCCGACGGCGAGCGTGGGTTGGGAGGTGGTCTTTTGGGTAGTGTTGCAGGAGTGGTTGCCGGACATCAAGTGCATCATGGTGTATTGGGGGCTGTGGGTGGTGGGATTGCCGGGAGCCTGCTTGAGAATCATTTCAAGAAGCAGAAGCATAAACATGATGAGCATGAAGATGAGTATGAGTATGCGTACGAGCATCGACGCAGAAATCATCATGGCCACCACCATCACCACCATCATCGGCACTCACGACACCGAAGTCATTCGCGGAATGGTAGCGGTGGTTCGTCTAATGGCGATGATGGATTTAGAGAGGAAGAGGGATATTACGGGCACTAATAAAGCTATTATAGTGTCTGTTCTAGTTGGCTGTGTAGTTAGTTTGGTGCTTGTTCCGTTTATCAAAATTGCCTAAGTATGGTGAGCCCTAATTTGCCTGATCCAGACTCTTGCTTATAGAGCACATAGCTCAAGACAATCATGTAACATAATGGTGTATAGGAGCTTCTCATAAATAAGTACGTACCTTTTTCAGTGAAGTACAAAAATTAACTATGCAACATGTATCATCTACCCCTAGATTCGCGATTCAGCCCCTTTCTAACCTGCGTCATTAGATGTCTCAGAAACTGCATGGTTTTCGACTCTTCAATGCTAGGGATGCCCTTTCAAGTCCATAATGGGCGTCATAAGTTTACTTAATAACAAAAAGTTTATGCAAGGAGATACAAAACTAGAGGGGTGCTTGTCCAGGACAATCCTTGGAATTTTTGACTCGCGGAACTGGAAACCCAGCGCAGGGCATTCTGAAACATGAACAACTGACATCCCACCTATGACGAGAAAGATATCTCTGCCGGTCTTTCTTCTCTTTTCTCGTCCCCCTTTTTTAATTCTGCATTTATAATTCTTTTCTTATTCATCTTTTCTCAATCACGACGTTGGAGACGTCAGTCATCTCTTCATCCAAACCAAATCGCTGGTCGATTTGATCGTCTCTTGTGGTATCGTGCATCTTGATATAACGCTAGCATTTTCTACTATTGGTCGATTGATGAACCTGATTTGTTCGCCGGCTGGACACTGGAAACACCCTAAACCGATGAGTTGAGCTCAGACACGTCGCTCACAGCCAGTCATTTATCTCAGTCCTAAGCAACCTTGCCAATTTCTACTATATTACTGTACCACGTACTATCTAGTTATCTAGGTGTCTTGCCTGTTGGAAAACACCCAGTTCAAATTCTGTGGGCTGTCCTTTTACTATAGTGACTGAAAAGAGGACATAGGGACGACAACTGATAATACCAACAAGATCAATCATGATTGTCCCAAGGAATATCTCATCATCGCTACTATTATCATTGCTACTAGTAGTCGACTATGCCGCATCGTCAATCACTTTGTCTCAATTCGAGGAAATTCAAGGCTTCTCGAGTTCCTGCGAATCTGTGTGGCAAGAGGCTATACCGGGATGTACCAAAAAGGATTTTGCCAATGACGATGATAATAATAACGACAACAACACATGCTCGCGTTCTTGTCTCGCCGGCGTGAATATAATCAACGCCGAAGTGCTCGTCGCCTGCTCCGATGCGCGCGTGGACAGCAGTACCCTATTAGGACAGTTCCTGTCCGGATATGGAGTCTTTGCGCTTTGTGGTGGAGGGGAGACTGGCGGTTCGGAGACGATGGGTAGTAGTACTGCTACTGCTTCGATGATAGTCGAATCCAGCTCGGGGCCAGAATCAATAGCCACTGGCTTTATTTCGAGTATTTATTCAAGTACTGGCGAAACGACAACAACGAGTGCTATGCAAAGCAGCACATCAACGCAATCCGCGCAGCCATCTTCGCTATCCATGACAGCTGCGAGCGTAACTTCGACGTCAGATCCGAATCTTACAAGTACATCTTCTGGATTGAGCACTTCGAGTGCCTCATCGACAACAATGACAGCTACGACAACGGCCACAACAAGTGGTACGAGCTCTGCAAGCTCGTCGTCAGACCCAGAGGCCAAGGGGTTTGGAGGGGTAGGCAACGCGTTTGATATCCTCGGAGGCGAGGGCGGTGCTGCTCAGTTAGAGGGGGTGTCGTTAGGCGTGGTAACTCTCATGGCGTTGATGGTGATATCGATTGCTGGGAGAATTTGGTAGTGATATTCTAGTTCAATGATACCCATTATGAAAGAGAAGATGCTCGTAGACGTAAGATTGTTTTGATGTGTCAGCTAAAGGCAATCGGAGCGGAAATATCATTGTCCGCTTCGGCTGTGTTGTTCGACTTCATACGACAACTTCACTTGGGTAACATATTATGCTGTTCGATATATGGTTCTATGACTCTATTTTAGAAACAAGACGTGCATTATTGCCTTACAATAATGTGAATGCCTCGATAGTCTAGCCTGTGACGCAATATATCTGGGCAATGGAGGCGAACGCAGATGATCTGGTGGAACGACGCCGGCTTCAAAATAGACTGGCACAGCGCAAGTTCCGCGGTAAGTCATGAACTACTGCTGACTGCCTACGGCGTGGCTGTATCTCATTAATGATTCCAACTACTATAGAGAAGAAACGGCGAGGGACGGAGAACCGCCTTGTAAACAACACGGAGCAATCATCAGCAGTGGCCCGGGGTGAAATCAATATATCCACGTCTCCTCCATTAGAAGACCCAATCAATCACTTTGCAGAGACAATATTTGGTTCTCACACCACTGACCAACTATTATGCCAAGAAACCCAGGATATTACATTCTCTTCACAAAATATACCCGCCTTGCAATCACACTTGGCGCCCCCCACACTTGAGGAAGTGACAACTTGGGATCTGGGACTGTGGAATGCCCTCTCGAGTACTGGAAATGTAAATATATCACAACCCGATGGAGGGCCAGTTCAAACTCAAATCCAGCATACACCTTCCCAGCCCAGAAGCTCGGACCCAGACATACCACCTTCTACTCAGCCAGATCCCAATGACAAGAGTATGTCACGGCTTATCAGCACAGCAAACAACGAAAAAGGCTGGATCAGTAGCCTCCACATCGCTGCCCAAACGGGCCACGAGCAAATAGTACGGGTGCTCCTCTTGAGCGGCAACATAGATGTCAATCAGCAAGACAGCGACGATCGCACACCACTAATCCACGCAGTCATGGAGAACCATGAGTCTGTAGTTTGCTTACTGCTAGAACATGGCGCCCAAATAGGGATTCTGGACTGCGACGGCCGCTCAGGAATACACTGGGCAATCTTACGTCGGAATCTGACAATATTGCAGCTGCTACTGAAGCACCGCTCCGAAAATGAACAAGCGCTTGATATTGATGCCTACGACATTACGGGTTGGACTCCGCTGCATATGGCTATTATTCGTTCTTTTGAGCCTGCCGTGCTTCTCCTTATTCAGCTAGGCGCTGATATTACTGCAAAAGCCCATAAATGCCCTTTTCAGGAGAAGAGAGCTGGTCGCGGACTGCAGTGAGAATCTATTAATCATTGGAAGCTAAGACATGAAAGCATGCTACGTAATTGTCGCTTTAATCGACATTGTCACCTCAACATTACCAAGCCAATTCACCCCCTTCGAAGTGGAACAGTTTTCCACTGTGCGTCTCCCGAGTCGAGGCATCGATGACCTTGACCACCCCGGCGGCACTGTCCTCTACTGTGACAGCGGCCTTGTCAACCCCGAAAGCATGGGCTCCTCGATTACCGAGTTCTGTCTGCACCCAACTGATGAAACAGGTTAGACATGCACATGCGTTACAGCTTGCTAGGAACTCACAACTCACCCAGGATCGACCGGAAACGCGTTCAGCCAAGGGTCTTCCGCAGAGATGGCTTTGGTGTACCAGTGCTGGACCACTTTGCTAGGGGCGTACGCGGCGTTTTGCTTAGGGAGATAATTGCTGTTAAAACAAAGAAGACGAAAGCTTAGCATTTTTCACTACGCCGACTATGGCAGGCTCACTTAGGTCAAAGTCAGCGAACAAGAACAACAATATATCATGAAACATCAGAGAACCTACCCTCAAGAACGCCGCGCTTGACCCTATAGTCACCCACTTAGGCTCCTTAGCCTCCTTGAGCAGAGGCCTAAAAGCCTTGTACAGACTAATAAACCCATAGACATTGACATCGAAATGCTTTTGGATATCCTCAATTGTAACTTCCAGTACTTTTGGCCAGTGGGTAGCGATACCCGCATTCGCAATCAGAATATCGATATGCTTAATCCCCTTGGCAGAAGCTAGCTCCTTCACAGCAGCCTCCGGGTCCGTGGGAGACGTTGCATCGATCTTTATGACGTGCAGCGTGGTTCCTTCTGCCTTAGGTAGGTCTTTCAGAGACGTGGATGTTGGGTGGCTGGGATCACGGTTTGCGCCTATCACGATGTGGTTGGGTTTCCTGAGGTATAGTTCAAGGATCCCTTTTCCCAGGCCACGGTTGGCACCAGTGATGAGAACGACGGTAGGAGACATGGTTAATGATGAGTTTCTGTTTTGATGAGGAATTTGATATTGTCTTGGACGAGCCCCCTGGGGGGGGCATTCCCTGGGTTTTTATATTCTATTATCGTATTACCTCCCAAAAATTCATGATTACAAATGGACTTGACAGTGGATAATTACTGTTTTTCTCTTTTCAAGTTCAATACGTTCAGCATGCAATCCACTCCTAACATGGGAACTGGTCTCACCCAATTGGCCTAAATGTCTCTGAATAAGTCTCCTGACTCCTTACTATTCAATACTCCAGGTCGATTGTTATATATATCTACGACTGAATCTTTCCACTCACTATGCAGAGCCAGTAATGTGCAGGCAAGTGGCTATCCTCCAATAATGCATCGTAAAAGAGCTCTATATCATCCCAACATTGACCAGGTTTATCGAGAAATGGCAATAGATGATTTGCTGTGCATAAGCTTACTTGAATCGAGATCTGCGCGGTCAGCTTACTGTGGGCCAAATTAGGGTTATTACCAATACTAACCCTAACTATTACCTAGGTACGTACATCATGAAATGCCCAGGCGCTGTGCCTTCGTTGATTATTAAAGATAACCTGGGAAATGGGTTGCCAAGAAAAATGTAACTTGTGCGTACATCCGTGTATGTACGTGGGATTATACGTACCTAGGTGGAGGATCAAATATATAACGTGCGGAGATGCAGCTTTATTTCAAGAATCTATCTGGAATACCTAGGTACGCGCTCGTATACCTAAGAACAATAAACACGTTTACATAAAATTTCCTTTCTTGAACAAGACATGCTTATCGTGGACAAGGAACATACGTATGGGGGCTAATTCTAACCCGAGCATCTTTGCAGTTGATGTGAGTTGACTGGCGCCAATACCCTAATGTGCGACTTTAGAGACAAATCTATCGAGCAATATGTGGATAATTTAAACGAAGTTATTGTAGTGTCTTCTTCATTTTTTTACCACAGTAGACATAAAGACTATGGTCTGTTGGATTTGTGCTACGCGTAGATGCCGTCGCGCACCTACTTGCAGATTCACGAATAAAAGGTGGTAGTAGCGTAGCACTTAAATAATAATAGAATGTCAGAAGAAGTCTAATTAATTCAAGGACAAGCCCCCAACAACTCGAGACGCACCCCTGCATTAGGCTATTAGCCAAGATAGAAGCGGGTGACACTAAAAAGCAGTCACGATGCCATACATTAGATTACCAGATAGGCTGCCAAATGACCTTTTATCTCATGCATTTCTACTTTGTAAACATGGGCTGAAGTCTCTGTTATATGTCGCTTTTTTTTTAATCAGGTGTTTTGTTAGATACAACCCTTCAATGTACCACATCACACGCCTAGGTCATGTTTGCAGTCATGCTCACAGTGTCACATTCGCGAGAGGACTAGCCCGGAGGTCATTAACTCAAATGTAAGATTTGTGAATAGCTAAAACTCTGCATTATAATCTACTACAATAGTTGGTTAGATAATATACATTTACAGAAAAGACCAGGCACTCCCAGTAGTAAGTTGTAAGGAGTGGGCCTAGCGGGAGTTAGGGCTTGATGGAGGTTACAAGAGCAATGCAACAGTGACGTTTCTCTAAGGCACTAGCCAATGCCTATACCCCAATAGCCAACAAATTAGACTATCGTTATCTATCTCAGGGGAGACTTTTAACTCAAGAGAGATTAATGGTTAATCAGTGCCTTGGGGATCTCCCGAAGAGCCATGCAGTCTCATTTTCAGCCCTTTTGTTACCGCTGGATATGAAGCTGTTAAATAGCCTGTGCATCTCCTCTATTTTATAAGAAACTCATATTTTGTTTATTGCGCTTACTCTCCGAACCGCCAGTTCACCATAAAATTCAGCACTGTTTGACAGCCCCCTTACAGCATATCCACTCGCATTGAGGAATGTCTATATGAAGCTGGGGTAGCAATTTGTGGCTTGTGGCGTTCGCACTAAAGTGCCTGTATGACCTCCTAGCCCTCGTACTAGGTAGTTTGCAGATTATTCACATCACAGAACCGCATCGGCTTTCTACCTAGGTGGTGCTGGAGTATATCGAGCAGTCTATCGTAGAGTGTTACATTCATGACACCCAAGACACTCTTCAATATCGATAGACTTGATTACTTGCTCTTGACATGCTATATCGCATCTAGTTGACCCTTGTAGCCCTAGATAGAGTCCCATATCTCTCATGCTATAGTAACTTCCAAGTTCCCTCAAAACATTCCGAGGGTCTTGTGAATGAAGGGCCATGTGCACAGTGTAACCCTCTTCTATACAACGTGTTATACAACGTGCTTCAAAAGTCTAGGAATTCGGTCTATATAAGATGCCTCTTACCCTACTCAAACATACCTTCCTTCCTTTTTTTCTTTTTTTTCTACAGTAGGGGTTTTCTGGTGATTGTCACTCCTTAGCTAGCTTCCAGAAAGTACTGGTTTACTTCTCTACACACACACACACTCCTTTTCTATCACTTCTAGCTTGTAGCTAGACAAAACACTTTCCTTCAAGATGATGAAATGCGTTCCTTATCTCGCTGCTTTTGCAGCAGCTTTTACAAGTGTTCAAGCCGGTCTCAACTTGGATGCTGTTAACAACGTTGCTGTCTACTGGGGTAAATACTCTCTCATATGAGTGGCCCAGATACATGTTTAGAAGCGAGCACTAACTGAATGTTTTAGGCCAAAACTCCGTCAATACTCTTGGTACTGGCCACCAAGAGCGCTTGAGCTACTATTGTGAAAGTACGTTTGTTTACTTTACCGTAATTACGAGAAGCATACGTAAAGCTAATCAACTTCGTTTCTGCAGGCGCCGATGAGGTCGATGTATGATCGCTTTCTGAGACGCATTGGAGGTAAACTAATCATAACGCAGGTTTACATACTCTCCTTCATTACTATGTACAACGGCCTGGGCGGCTATCCTGAAACCAACTTCGCCAACGCAGGCAACAACTGCACTACCTTTGACGGGACTGAGCTGCTTGATTGCCCGCAAATTGCGTGAGTTGTTTCATCGTAAGGATTGTCACTACAAATTTAGAGATGCTAATGCTATCTGGACGAATATAGCGAAGATATTGTTACTTGCCAGGGTCTTGGAAAGACTATTCTTCTGTCTACTGGAGGTGGCACATACACCGAAGGTGGATTCACCAGCGAGGCTGAAGCAACGGAATTTGCCAATCTTGTGTGGGAAGTCTTCGGACCTGTTTCTGACAACAGCTCTGTACTTCGCCCCTTTGGAACAGCAGTCGTTGATGGATTCGACTTTGACTTTGAGAACCTTGAAATGAGCAACATGCCCACTTACGCCAATCAGTTGCGCAGCCTTTACGAAACTGATACATCCAAGACGTACTATCTAACTGCCGCTCCACAATGTGTCTATCCAGATGAAGCCGATGGTCCAATGCTTGCTGGCACTGTCTACTTTGACGCCATTTGGATTCAATTCTACAACAACGGCTGTGGAATCTCAAGCTTCACAGCAGGTTCTGAAACCCAATGGAACTTCAACTTCGACACTTGGGACAACTGGGCCAAGACCGTCTCTTTGAACCCTAATGTCAGAGTCATGATGGGAGTCCCTGGCAACACGGGGGCTGGAGGCGGCTATGAACCACCTGCTACTATCGGCGAAGTCATCGACTATGTCATCGATAACAACTACACCTCGTTTGGCGGTATCATGGTCTGGGATGCAAGTCAAGCCTGGGAGAACACCGGTTTCATTTCTTCAGTATATGCCTATTTGCCTACCGGCACGTCCACTCCTTCACCTACGACTTCCACCGTCGTTACATCGAGCACTAGCACCACGAGCAGCAGCACATCTACTTCTACTACTTTGATCACCACTACTGCTCCCACTACCACTTCCACCACCACCACATCCTCATCCACAACAACCAGCACCGCCCCAACATCCACAAGCAGCACCTGCCCTGTCGCCGGAGCTTCCTGCTCTAATAGTGGCGAATACCGCTGCACTGGTAGCAGCTTCGGTATTTGCGACAACGGTGCATGGGTAATTCAGTCTTGCCCTTCCGGTGATGTCTGTGTCCAGGATGGTTCCTCGCTTTACTGCGCCGCTTCTGGCTCCAGTGAGCCTGTCTGCGCTTGAGTAACTATTCGCAGAAAAATACTTCTATGCACACTACTTTTGGACTACGAGTCATCTCATTCATGCAGTACTTGCGTACCTAGGCAATGCCGATTTGTTGGCTTGTACATACTCCCTAAGTATCTATATGTATATAACGCTGAATATAAATGTGAATACCCTTATTCTGACCTGAAATCTTACCTTGAGTCATATATAGTTCCAGCTGAGCCAATCAGAAGGCTCACAGAGAACAAGCTCTTGGTTATACCATATACAGTAATAAAACCCGAAAAGCCGAGGTCAGCCACTTCCGGTTAGACGCGAACGACCTCGGCGATCAAAGCGTCGTCCAATCTTGAGCGTCCATCAAGGAGAGTTGTCTTTCATTTCTTTCATTTGTAATGATGATGCTGGAATGAAATGTCAAGATGAGCCCCTCTGAAACGACTTATATACCCTCCGAGGATGATGTCCCTCTTGTAGTTCTCGACGATGAGTATCGTCTTGCTACTTCCGAGTCGCCACCGCCTTTGCATGGCTCGTATGAGCGTCGAAATGTGGCGCAACGATCATTATTGTTTCGATGGGCTTCTTATGCTTCTACTTTAACGAATTGCCGACATGCGCATTGCAATGCTCACCCTTTAACGCCGAGAGCGATATTATGCCGATATATCCGACGCCCATTCTGGGGGTTTGTGATACTACTGTGAGCTCCCAGACAAGTGGCTTTGTCGTGCTTTTTCCCCTGATAACTGCCTGACTTTTTCTCTGGGTCTAGGGGCCTGTTGAATATCGTTTCGATTTCTTTGGGTTGCCTCTTCACTCTTTTCCCTGACGATTTCGACGACCGGCTTGATGCGTGGCTGCTCCCCAATAGTCGTCTGTCCGCCATCTCGCAGAGAGACACACGCGGGATTCCCGTCAGCAGATGTCATTCTCACAATGATTATTGGCGAGACGTCCCTCTGCACTCAGCTCTTCAAGCTGGTTGCATGGGTGTTGAGGCGGACATCTGGCTGTCCGACCAGGATCTTCTGGTTGGCCACAATCCGTTTGTCCTGAACCGCCGGGCGACTCTGCGATCACTATACCTCAATCCCCTCTTAGATATTCTCCATCAGCGCAATTCTCATATTTTAGACTTGCCGGACGATTTTGAGCCTACCACCCCGTTAGCTGGAGTCTTTGCTGCAGACCCCACTCAGACATTGATTCTACTGATTGACTTCAAAACGGACGGTGACGAGCTATGGCCCTACGTGATGTACCAGTTACAGCCTTTACGCGAGGCAGGCTACTTGACTTTTTATAATGGAACAGCCATTAACGAAAGACCTATCACTATTGTTGCCTCCGGTAACGCACCCATACACCAAGTGATAACAAATGACAGCTACCGTGACATTTTCTACGATGCACCCTTGGATAAACTGGCATTGACGTCGCCAACGTCTGACCAGGATCAGCTATCAATCGAATACGACTTTTCGAATAGCTATTATGCCTCGGTGAACTTCGGGAAGACAATCGGCGGTCTTCATCGAAACCGTTTCTCGGAAGACCAACTGATCAAGATTCGCTCGCAGATTGAGAATGCCCATTCTCGCGGTCTCAAGGTTCGTTACTGGGGCACGCCTTCCTGGCCGCGAGGCTTGCGTAATCATGTGTGGCATGTGTTGGTGCGTGAGGGCGTAGATTTACTCAATGTGGATGACTTGAGAGAAGGGACGAGACAGGACTGGCGCAAGCACCGGAGTTGGCTACTCTGATTGCGGTCTCGAACTTGGGTATTAATCGGTAGTGGTTATGGAAGAGATAGTCTACTTCCGTTGTCCGCTTCATTCGATATGCCGCCACGACTATAAGGTAGACTGTTTGCCTCACAGAGTATAAATAAAGTGTCGATCCTCGTCGGCTATGATACATAAAAGGACCGTATCTCAATCAATCACGGAGCAATTTTGCATTTAGGAGCATGAAGTATACATTTACATACCAGCAGACCAATCAGAAGCCATCTCAGCGCCGTATCTGCCTAGGGCCTTAGCGCTGCACCAGTAGATTGACTAAGTCTGTTTACTTCAATTGGCTTACTTACGTTCACCGGGTTTCCTCGTCACAAACGACACGATATCACAATGCAGTCTAATCACGGCAATCCAATTGCTACAGAGCAGCGCATGATGTTTGACGATCTTGCGTGGGAAAGAAGTGACAATATAGCTTATAACTGGAGAGACAATCTTTTCAACGAGGAGATTTTCCGAGAAGTCGGGCGTGCCATCATCCAACATAGAGGTGGCTCACCAGAAGAACTATTTAATCCACAGAAAGGGTCATTCAATCTGATGTTCCGCATGAAGTTCGTCGATGGTGGTTCAGCCATTGTACGCTTTCCTATTCCTGGAGTTTCTATGTTTGCTGAGGAGAAGGTTCAGCGAGAGGTGTCAGTTATGAAATTTATCGAGCGACATACCAGCATACGCATCCCACATGTTCTGCATCATGGCATGGCTGATGACAGTCCAGCGAAGCTCGGCCCATTCATCGTCATGGAATACATTGAGAATGATTCTGATCTTGTTGATGCTCTGAACACCCCGGGCCTTCAAGATGACGAACGGTGTATCCTGGATCCTAATATACACGAGAATCGACTTCGGTTAGTGTATAGCAATATGGCGGATGTCCTACTCCAGTTGGCCAAGAAATCATTTGCCAAGATAGGTTCCATCACAAACCGAGAAGATGACGATTATGACGACGAATGGACAGTTACTCATCGTCCCCTAACTATAAACATGAATGAACTTGTTCAACTAGGTGATTTCCCACCTCATCTGCTACCACAGACTACCTTCAACACCGCTTCAGCGTACTTTTTGGCCCTTGCAGAAATGCACATGACTCATCTGTCAGTACAGCGCAATGATGCAATTGAGTCCGCGCAAGACTGCAGACGCAAATATATTGCCAGATGCTTATTCCGGAAACTGGCGCGGGAAAACCGGCTGTGCTCTCATGACTATGGGCCGTTTAAGCTCATCTGTGACGATTTTCGACCAGCAAATGTACTAGCGGATTCGGAACACGGCTTCAAGGCTGTTGGGGTGATTGATTGGGAGTTTACTTATGCTGCTCCGGCAGAGTTTGTATATAGTCCGCCCTTTTGGCTACTTCTGGAGCGCCCGGAGTACTGGAATGAAGGTCTAGATGAGTGGACAAAGGAGTATGAGAAACGATTTCCAGTATTCCTTGCAGAGCTACAGAAACGTGAGCAGGATTTAATCACACGAGGTATTCTGACGGATGATGATCGCCTCTCACAGCATATGCTGGAAAGCTGGCAGAGCGGTGATTTTTGGGTGTGTTATGCGGTGAGGAGAAGCTGGGCCTTTGATATGTTGTATTGGGCAAAGATTGACCGTCGGTTCTTCGGGCATGGGGACTTGGATGATAGATTTAATTTGCTCACTGTTGAAGAGAGGGACGAACTTGATGATTTCGTGCAGAGAAAGCTTGCGGAAAAGGACGAACGGACTCTTGTAAACTGAGCTGTCTCTTCTATGCACAGATGCATTACTTCGGTAGTACGAAGGGGCCTATACATCAATTGACCTAATACTTACGTATAAACGGTGCGCAGATTTTACGTACAATCCACCTGCCCCCTGATCAGAATAGGTGGTTTGCCTTCACATGGTAGGCCTTTTTGGGTCGAATAGATTACTGTACACTGAGGGATTGTGCATCGAATATATCATTGAAAAGTCCATTGAGTTATAGCGTTCTATAAAGCGGTCTATAAAATAAGTAGAGAGTAGAAGAAGATCATACTTCAACTCTCATCATTCTATGCATCGCCTGCCACCAATTCGAGAATCTCCATTACCTTGTCATAATCATTCTTCAACAATGGCACCGGATTCGTAGGCGCAAATGGGTCGTTCAAACTATTTTTTGCCAGGGTGTCGAATTTGTCCCTGCCAACGCCCACCTCTTTCAACGTAGCTGGCATGCCCAGCTTGTTGAAAATAGCGCGGAGAACGTCTCCAACATCACAGGTTTCAATGTCTATCTTTGCTTCCCGCAATACTGATGCAATGCTGTCTTCTGCGAGGAGGACCTCCTTCAGCTTCGCCTGTTGTGCGAGAACATCATTCTTCGCCAAAGAAGCGTTTGAAGCATTATACTTCATGACTGCCGGTAGCAGGATGCAACTGGTATGCCCATGTCCTACACCAAGAGGTCCCAACTGATGACCGATGCCGTGTGAGGCCCCCATCATCACCATAGGATTGACATTCAGCATAGTCATAGCCAAACGCGCGCCAAGTTGAGTGTTTAGGCGAGCTTCTAAGTTTTGTGGATCTTCAATAGTTTTCAACAATCCCGGGATAAGCAGCCTCAGTCCCTTTTCAGCTGAGATATCGACGGCGGGCTGCGCGTTTGAGCTGCACACGGATTCACAACAGTGATCAATGGCCCGGACACCAGACTGAATCCAGACGTTGAATGGAGTTGTCACTGTCAGCTGAGGGTCGAGAATGACAAGCGAGGCGTACATTCCAGGGTGCGTGAGCTGATCCTTTTGGCGTGTTACTGCGTTGGTACCGCCGGCGAATTTGGAGTATTCAGCCCCAGAGAGAGAGGTGGGAATGAAGATCAATGGCGCTGTAGGTGCGTTTCCAACGCCATCGCGTTCTAAAACCTTGATTGTGCGAGCAAGGTCTTCAGGAGTGGGCTTAACAATGGCGCGCATTTCCTCGACGGTTTGGACATTGTTGGCGAGTGCGTATGTAATGGCTTTGGCACCATCTGCAATGGAGGAACCGCCGAGACTGATGATGATGTCCGCCTTCTTCTCACGAATGTCGTTGATTATGGGCACGAGATCATCCCAGAAGGTGTGTGGACGGAGGCCAATCCAAGTGCCGGCATGGTTGCTACCCAGGGCCTGTTCAAGTTGGCTGAGATAGGGCGTTTGCCTGGAAAGACTCGCTGAAGCAATCACATAGGCGGCAGACTTGTGGAAGGTCTCCGTCACGTGTTTTGCGCAGGATTCGGCGAAAGAGATGCCGTAAGATATTCTGGTGGGAGTCGGGACGGGGAGATCAGGAAAGGCCAGCTGAAAGGTTTCGTTCGCCATGGCTGCTTATTAGGAGTGTTGTGGAATGGTCAAAATGATGTGAACTATTGCATGATGTAAGAAGTGCTGGCAAGGACAACCAGTCCTTGATATATATAGACCCATCGATCCATGTTTTTACGTCGTATAGTCTGTATACGGCATCGGGACTTCGCCATGTTTCGGTATGCCGCCTCGTCGGCCCCACCTCTAGCGAAAACGATGGTCGACAATGGCAAGTGGAAAGTTACATCAACCAAATGCCCTAACTCCGACCTCAAACTCAAACTTCTCGACTGAGAAATTCGGGTGAGGCTGAGGTGTCTTACGAGGCACGATCAAATTGCACTAAGTATAGTTACCTGCTCAGATACACACGTGTATATAAGCGCTAAGGCCAGCTTTTACTCTTAGGGCTGAGGTTTCGGCCGTAAGTCTCGAGTAACGTATTTCCCGGGTAAACGGCGCACCCGGGTAAACGGCGCACTTAGGACCCACATTATTTTTTGAACCCATACAAATTGTATATAAAACCAAATAAATATAGATTTTACTAGCTAGGAGGATTAGGGCATGTATTATGTTTATAACCTAGTTACTAGCATCTGCTGCACCTAAGGGGTGCGCGCTAATATGCCTGCGAAGTCTTATTCTGATTGCCTGGCTGAAGGGGGGCCATTAACTTGATTAAATGCCTGCGCAAGCTCTCTACTCTTAGAAACTATTAAAATACCATTATTTAATAAGGCTCTTAAATGTTGACTTTAGCGCTTTTATAGTTAATTAAGAGACTTATATAGATCATAATATTATGCATTATCGTTAAGGAGCCCTTGATTAGTTAATTCAGTGTTTAAGTTAATAGTAAAGAAGAGTCTAAATTAAATATATTAAGAAGCTTTTTAATGGAGGCAGCCTGCTAGTTTAATATATATGTATTATAAGGTGTTTTAGGGCTTCAAGTTGTCAGAGAATCAGAACGTCACAGCCAATGGATCATATTAGTCCCTACGGAACTAATGCACGATGGAATAAAGGATTATCCGAACCTCTAGGATTAGGGTAACAGAGCCAACAGAGCCGTGGCTATGTGCGCCGTTTTACCCGGGTGCGCCGTTTACCCGGGAAATACGTTAACACCTTGCATGATGGTTTCTTCTTTTTGTTCCGAGACAAGTAAGCTGAGGTCATACGCTGTCGGAAGTAAATAGTCTCATACTATTTTACTTGGACAACTGGCAATACATGCAACGTTATGTGGAATGCCCCTCCCCATCTAGTTCTGAGTGGCTCCGTGTCCATTTAGTGAAAGGATTTCTCAATAACAGTGATAGGTTGAATTTGTCCCCTTTGCCCTTCTTCCTGCCTGTCTGTTGGTATTCTTTCTTTATAGATATCCGTGGCTCTGCGATGTCATTTTTTTTTTTGACATGCTTTCCTGCGGAGCGCTCCCAGAAGGAACGCCCAATTCAAGCCGAACCTCTTGAGTAGCACGCTTGAAATTCTCTAGATTGTGTATCTCAAGAAATACTTCCCTTCCTCCCTCAGGCATATCAATGTGGAGGATATTATCTTTGAGGTAGCAACTCACTTGTTCGCGAAAACTCCTTCTCAGCCAAACGGTATATAGGCGCTTCCAACATTGGGTGTCTAATTTTGGAAGTATTGCATAGAATTGATTGCAATTCCTTAATAATTCCTCGATCACGTTCACGCAAACAATTTTATTTCGGAGGGGGTGAGACAAACGTTTCGAGGATTGTCTCTGGTAAAATTGATCGTTGTTGTAGCGCAGACGTTGCCCAACGTCTTACATGGGATTTCTCATCTCTCAAAAGTGGGACTAGTGCCTCGAGGGTTGCCTGTGGTAGGGTTGCTTGTCGATGTAGAACAAATGCTACGTGAAAACACATCGGCATTTTCATCCTTCAGAAACAAAACGAGAACTTCAAAGGTTTCTGATGATAAAAATCTGGATTGTTCCCCTAGAGTCTGTCTTGCCTGGCATCTTACATTCGGGTTCTTCTCATCTAGGAGTGAAATTAGTACTTCAAAGATTGCTTGTGGCAAAGGTGTAGATTGTTGCCCTAGAACCCGTACTGCCTGATATCTCATATCCGGATTCTCATCATCTAGAACTTGAATTAGTACCTCAAAGATTGTTTGCGGTAGCTTTTGATTGTATAAAAGGCTTGATGCTGCAAATAGCGCATTTTTATCCTCAAAAATTGGTACAAGAGCTTCAAGGGCTGCCTGTGGTAGACTCTGTCCCCCTACAACCTCTACTGCGGCAGCTCTCACGTTCGAATTTTTACTCTTTATAAGTGGCACTATCGCTTCGAGAAGAACTTGTGGTATTTTCTGCTTGCGTAGGATCAATGCTGCATGCCCTCCTACAGCCTCATTCGTCAGGATTGGAGTAGGACTTCAAGCATATAACTTGATAGAACGCAGCTTCGCTCATATAATGATAATAGAATATTTTCTTTTATTTGTTCGGATTCTCTCTGTAGCAGGGATTTTAAAAAAGATGTTCTGGATATTTTCTCGCGGCATAAGTGAATTTCGGCGTTCAAGTCGTATTCAAACAGCAGCCACCGTTGTAAACGTCTTTCTATTGTTATGCGGGTGGTCGATATCTTTGTCTGAATATGGGATTATCTCACTGATCCAATGCATGAGGATCCGTTGATGAGCAGGTCCTAATACATCGCGCGGCTCGGTCTCTAGTTCTCGAAAGAAGCACTTCAGAGGTTCCAAGGGCTCCAGCTCGTTCACTACCTGAAGAAGGCCCGCGACAAAACGCTACAGGAATACAATAACGAGAGTTTAGCTTTTTCTTTCACAGAGGAACTGTTTGGGTTTGGTGCTTATGACAGTCGGCCACCTCTGTCTGAGGTCCAGGCACAACATCTCCTGACGACTAACCCAGTGCCTCATAACGTACCTTGCTGCAAAAAACTCTTGAAAAGACAGTTGCGAGAAAGTGGTAGCTTCGATCTTGGTCTATAACCGCTGTATATGACGTGTGTAGAAAAGATAACAACCTTTTTAGTGTTACATCATGTACGTCGGTCAGCGCATTAACCAAAGTGTCACGTATTCGGTGCCAATCGCCTGCGCTGAACTCAACCATATCATTATAAAGTCCAATAAAAGCGCATGCTTTCAAGAAACCTTATCTCATTCGAGACCAAGTCTTGGATTTCCTTAGGGCTTAGAACCCGGATACTGTGTTCATTCAGGTCTGGTTTTCCCAGCCGCAGAATATCCTTCTGCCACAATTTCAGTGTGATTGCCTGGTAGAGCGTAGTCATTGTCTTCGGCTCATTGAACTTGAAATCGTTATCCCGGGTATAACATATTGCGTCCAGTTGAATTGGGATCCGAGCCAAGTCCTGTATGAGCGGGTATTGCTTGATGAATGACAGCATATTGTCAACCTTTTTGGGATGACATTTTACGATATACAATATAATAAGACTCCACCTGGCTAGTACCAAATCCGATAGTCTCTATTTCGAGATCTAAGGAAGTCAGCTGGCTCAGATTCATCCCGTATGGTCGGGAAGTGATGATGACTTGAGGATCATTTAACAATCTCAAAAGAACATTGTTCAAGGACGTCTCTGAATCGCATTCCTGGGATACTTCATCTAGTCCATCAATTATAAGGAGAGTTTTTTTACTCGCGCCGTTTACATTGTTCTACAAGTCCCTGGCCGGACTTTTACCTTTCTCAAACTCGGAAAAAAATAAGTTGTGAAACAGATCCACAATGCTGTTTTCCCCCGGGGACCTTCCCTTCAGTATTCGCAGGGGCACCCATAGTAGCAAGTCAAACATATGATGCCACATATGTTGGTGTAGATAATCAGATACGATCTTTTTGCACAATGTCGTCTTCCCTACTCCTGCACGCCCCCTAATCAAAACCCTTTTTGGCATCAAAATTGTTCCGTCTGGTCCTTTCCGCGGTTCAAAGATTCTATGCAGGGATACCTGCTTGTCTGCGTCGGCTGCCTCAATGATTAGGCGTGTAGAGAGCAAAAAGGACGAGAATTGTTGAACATTGTTTTCTTGCTTTGAACGCAAAGTCTCCACCACAGCCAGATTGATATAACATTGATCCATGGGCAATAATTCACCAGAAATCCTTTGAATATGGAGACGATTTGACATTGTGTAGTAGTCCCGTAAGTTTGCCATTATTTGAGGAATTTGCGATTTTGCTATAGATACCCGAATCGATTGAGTCGGAATCAGCAATGCTCCATGAAACAATTTGGTCCTATGAAACCGACTCACACTTTAGAATTGTAGGCGAGTATGACTCGAGGAAAGCTTTCGTACAGCAAGCTGCAGTTGACGCGGCATATTTTTGCCATACCTTAGACTTATGGCTGTCGGCATAGTCACAAACGCCCTTGATAATGACGCAGGGAATGTTGTCCCATATGCCAGCACCTTCCATTTCGAAGCCTATTATACTATCTACCACGGCCAACTTATCGCGGTGTTCGCCAGATTTCATCACGGTATCGGCCGATGCCATATTTCCAATATGAATGAAAGGGAGCGGGCGATCTACGCTTAAGCGATCACGTTGAATCAATTTCCACGCACATCCGAGTGTAGAGTAATCGTTTGTCAACGCCTCATCGCATACATCATCTGTGTTAGCCTTGCATCTGCATTGGAGAGACATGTCTGGCAGATGATGTTTATGGCGATAAGATGCTTCAAATAACACGTCACATGAACCCCCTGGATAATATGATACTTTCGAAGACGGATCTTGACAATACCGGAGAAGTCTTTGTGCTTGATTCTGCAATTCCTGGTGTAATTTATGGGTCTTCAATTTTGAGGGAAAAGACCGAATATCTTGACTTGGCCGTGGAAGGGAATCCCTAGCTCCAGACTTCTTCCTAAAGTCATCCGGGTATTGCTTCCCTGAATCGTATTCAACGATGCTATGGCTGATTATGGCATCGCCAAGAATGATTTCATATTTTTCAGCCGTGAAAGGCACACCGCCACAAGTTCCATCCTCCCAAAATTAGTCGACAGGCGTGAGGCGTCGCTTGCAGCGCCGACTTTGCCTATTTCAGGCATGTGGGCGAACACTACGTGGTGCGAACCAGTTCTACCGGTCGTGTAGGCATTTTCAGCCCCTGGCAATTGCCAATATATGATGTTGTAGAACTCGTCAATGAGGGCAAGAACGGCATCGGCTTCGAGCGGTAGGGCACAAATAATTGCTATTTCGAAACGGTCGCGAGCCTTGGAATTCATTCTCATCTTGATTGCAGCAATTGCGAAAGGCCGAAGAAAAGAATTGGTCGCGTCTTTAGTTAATGTCAAACGAAAAGTAGTCGTTATCAAGTTTGTCAAGATTCCTTATCGCCAGATCGATTGCTTCGTCATGCATATAGCTTTCTCACATTTGCTGCTGATGCCGTTCGGTCTGTATGAGAGAGATTCAAATGGATGATAGTATTTATGGTGTTGCATGAGGCTGAACTCATCAAGCTGTTGTTCAACGGAGTCACGGATAAGGCTGAAATGAGAAGCCTTCGTTGGAATAGCTCTACCTGGGGCCTGGCTGGGGGCATCTCTAATACTTCAACTTCTAAGGTTATTCCAATGTGATTTGATTGAAATACAGGTTCAGAAGTCTAAATAAAGTCAAATTGCCTCCCGCTCCACGCTTGAAATACCGGCCATGGTCTGTGCGTAAGCTGTTCTAGGACCGGCTAGGGATGGGTCATGACAGGGGTTTGCTTCGGCACGGTCATCCTGACCGTGACAATTCCAAATCAAGTATAGTGGATCACGTGATAACATCTTTGACCAATTATACTACCGCTAGTCCCACTTTCCATAATTTAGATTATAATTAGTTATCTTAGTGAATTAAATTTATAATAGTTGCTTATATAATAGCAATATTTTCAAAACTAACCAAATTAGGTAGTTCGTCAAATGACAGAAAACCTCGTCAAGCCTGACCAAAATCTCTGTCAGTCAGAGGTGTGGGTCTGACATGACCCATCACTAGGGCCGGCCCGCTCAGATCACGCTAGCCAATTTTGAATGTCTACAGATAGGCTTGTCCCACTTGACACCCCACTTCTCAAGAACGTTTTCTTGCTTTGTTTGACTTGAGCTTTTTTGACCTATAATTTAACACCATGCGCTTCTCTATAGACGACCAGCTCACATGGCGAGTGACACCCGAGAATCCCATCCGTGAGATGGACGGCATGGACTGGGAACGTTGCGCAGCCTTACATAATCTAATCGTTCGGTTGGGTTGGACAGGTATGGGCAACTCAGACCAAGATATGCCAACTACGACGTGGTGGCAGGCAAACATCACGCATAACTCGCTTGAAGCAGAGTGGTCAAGACGGTTGTCACCGTCACTGAAGTTGTTTCTGCAAACGGCCTACGAGACTCCTCATGAGAATTTCTTCTACTACGCCCGCGGTCTGAATGGACCACGTAGCTTTTTTGTTGGAGTACACGAGCAAGAAGACTCAATATTGGGATTGTATCAGATGACTAACCTAAACCTCAGCGGACATAGAGACGGTTTGAAGTACTTCAAATCAGTTCCAAACTGCCTGTAGACCAGCGCTGACCATCGTCCAGCTTTAACCAAAAAACGTCCAGGGCAATCTTTTGCAGCGATGTTCTGGACTCGTTTCCCACAACCAATGGCCGCATGGAATGGGATCCTCTCGAGGTTGTCTTAAGTGCCTGGCTCGACATGATTGACACGGGCAAGGTGATTGCTAGACCAAAAGGTACAAGCGCTAGAGGGCCCTTGGAATGCACACCCTGGGAGCTACTGCCATACAGTGAACACGACTTGGCGCACTCCGTCAACGCTTTTAACAATCTAGTCGCAAGGATCGAATGTCTGCTCGAAGATGAATCTCTTCGCCCACTGGACAACCTGGATGATCAACTAAGGCTTCTCGATGCCTGTACAGCCAAACTCAACCAACCCGTCTCGCAAGAGCTGTCTGGCCTCGTGTCTAAGGAAGTTTTGGACAGGCTTTCTATCCCAGACGGATTTATTCGAAGGTTCCTTCTCCGAGTGCGTCGACCGAGGAATATCCGTTACATAGCACCTGGCCTACGTTTCCCTACTCCAAGCGATTTCGCATCCTATCCATTCGAGAGCTTCCAAATACCCGACTCAATGGAGTATGACATTCCCGTTCTCCCCATACCCCTTTTCATATCGGATATTAATTGCTCAGCACCACTTCTTGGTTATCCTTTCCATGAACTCTCTAGTTTACCCTACGGGCTTTGGATGGAGTACTGTAACAGAGACGCTCACCATACTTTTGAAGACACCTGTCGTCTATATCTACCATTTGAGATTGGAGCAAATGGATTTGCCCGCCTTACTGATGATTCGTTGGTTGGTGAAAACCAAGGGGATCATTCCGCAGCAAGGCCGAATGGTCGGAAGAACGAACTATACCAGCCAGGATATTGCCATTTCATCCCTTGGCATGGGCCGCAGCTTGGAAACGTGCTGGAGCTATGGTCGAATTTGGTGGGATTGGGGGAATGGGCAGTCGGCGAAGAAGGGGTTTTGGGTGGTATAGAGAAGTTCAGGGAGGCGGACACAGAGGAACATTCGCACAAGTATCAGATCTTTACCAAATGGTGAGGATTACTCTTAGAATTACTCCGAATTTAGACTGTTTCTTTTCAAACGGGTAAGAATGATTTTCATCAGTAATATCATAATCTGGATGTTATGACACCGAAACACAATATGCCTCACTAAGCCAAAGATTTGTGCAGTCACTCCCGATTGCTGGATTCCAGGCATAGAATTCGGCAAACGTGATATTATATGCCGCCTCAATTGACGCGCAAGAGTCGCCTTCCCGAAGATCAGTAGAATTTTCTGGTTCAGTATCATACTTGACTTACCGGTAACGGTTAAATAATACTCAGTACAGGCACTAGTGATACCTGATTGTGTTGGTCCAGGGGGGTTAGTTGCTGTCTCAGCGATACTAGAGCTAGCTGTCAAGGAAGTCGGAGAGCTAGACCCTGTGTCACAAGCTCCATCATAGCAGTTACCAACGCCACAATAGTCGGAAGAATTCCCACAGTACCCAGAGGTGGAGCAACAAACCCCAAATTGAGTTCCAGTGCAGGTCTTGTTACCAGCAAACAGCGGTCCGCATTCTCCAGTTGTGCTCAGTCCGCCAATATCAGGGTCACAATTGCCGGAGTAGCAGTTTCCTGGTCCACAGTAATCGGACGTAGAGCCGCAATAGCCATAGATCGAACAGCAACTGATACGACAATTTTAGAGAAGAACAAGCGATTGAATTGCAGATAAAAAGACACACTTACTCGCCAAAATTCGATCCCGTGCAGATGGTGTAGTTGTAACTGGGGCCACACTCTCCCGTTGTGCTGATGCCAGTGGCAGTGTCGTTGCATGCGCCGCTATAGCAGTTTCCAGCTCCACAGTACGCATCAGTTGAGCCACAGGCTCCATATATAGAGCAGCAGGTGCCAAAGTCTGACCCTACGCATGTTGAGTAGTTGTAGCTTGGTCCACAATATCCATTTGTGGTTATTGGAGGTTCAGTCATCTCAGCCACACACAATGCATACCCTAACCACAGATTTGTGCAATCATCGTTGAGGTAAGTATTCCACAATTGCAGCTGCGCAAATGTGACCCCGTATACCAGAGCAATCTGGTTGCACGTATCACCTGCAACAACGTTGTAGTATAAGCCACAGTTAGCAATCGAACCAGACTGGGTTGGCTCTGCCGGAGTTGCTGTGCTGTAGTACTCCCCGACGGATGTTGGAGCAAACACAGTGCCATTGGGAACGAATTGAATTCCTGGAGTGGAGATACATATCCGCTGACCAACAGCCAGATTGTCACAACTGCCCTGAATCTTCGGGTTCCAGTTCAAGAAAGCTGTAGTTGTTGTGGAAAGTCCCGCAGCAATTTCAGAACTATGAGAAGGAGTCACATTTATGGTCTTGTTGTATTGATAGTTGTATTGCTTTTCTCACTTACCACATCCCACCCCATATCACTTCAATCTCGCAAGGCAAAGGGACACATATTGGCGCAGTAATCTCACAATTATAGTCATTAGTAGCAGCCCGAAGATCGCCCGTGGTCACATTATACAAGTCAGAAAGCGGATTGCATCCAAGCGGAGGGTTGGAAACAGGTATAATTTGTCCCGCACATGTTGCTGTTACCGAGCCCGATGTCGTCGACACTGCAGACGTGGTGGTTGCTGTTGCGCCGACAGTAAGAAATAAAGTCGCTGCGGATGTTGTGAGAGACATTGACGTTGAACAGTTTCCCTGGAGATCTGTAAATTGGGCAATGAGGTAGTCCGTAAACTCGCTGGCAGCTAGGCGAGGAGAGAGAAGTCTCTGTCTCCACATGAGGAGAAAACATTCAGAACAATACTAGAAAACATCAGTGCGATGAATCGGGTTTTAGTTTTTTGTTTTGGGCCAAGGAGATACCACTCACTAGACTAGAGTTATACAAGTTGATGACTGAAGACATGCTTGCACTGATATTAGCTGGTGTCCAAGTCGGATCCTGACACTCCACAGGCGGATCATCACTGTAGCAAGTATCTATGAACTTGGTTAAACCGTTCTTTAATTTTATAATCATAGTACACACCTGCATTCCACGTGATGTAGTTACTTCCCTGCCATGTTTCGGATTCCAAGTAGCACCAATTGTCAGAGGAGTCTTGCAGACATGCCACATCGTAGTTCTCGATGAAGGTATACGGCACAAAACGGGGATCAACGACGTTGTCTCCAAATATCATGCCTTCCGAACCGCACTGGGCCTCAACGGCGCTTAGCCAGTTCGCCATGGATGTTGTACAATCTGCTGTGCATAGTGTCGTAATGTTATCTTGATACCAATCTTTGGGGAAGATTTGTAAGTAAAACCGTACAAACGTATTTCCAAAGACATGACATACACGTGTTGTCTACACCCTGTGCTGCTAGATTTGTTAGGCTTGAATCACAATTGATTCTTGTATTCCTGGATCAAACACGTTAAGCATGGTTGGTGACAGGCATCATCGGTGTTCGTGTCTCACACTGCAGCCATACATCCAGTTGAGAGCCCATATATGGATTCCAATGTACCGGGATCGTAGTATTGATAAACACTGAAAGATGCTATGGCTCTGGAAACTGTCCAGGCCAAGAGAACGAAACTCGAAAACAACAGCATTTTGACCAGAGCTGAAGGTCGATGAAACTGCAAAACGATTCAGAACAGGAGGGATCCATATAGCAGAATAGCGCACATCTAACCTACTAACCCTTGCGGTGTATGAGCTGAGGAATACTACATCAGCTGCATCGACAAAAAAAAAAGCAAATGTCTCACGGAGCAGAGTAGCCAAATCGGGTATTTACTGCGAGCATGCATTCGGCGAGTAAACTGTCCATTAGCAAGGAAGGGTGGCGCATCAACGAAAAGAAACTGTGCCGAAGCAGATGATGCACGTACCCCATATTCGAGTTGTAATGAGCAGTAGAGGACGAACTAGGGCTTGGGGGCTGGATAAAAGTACCACTTCGGGTTAGGGGTCAGCCGTAGATTTATATAGCCACCACCCTAATGTTCCAATAATTATTCTCATTCAGCTATCAGCTACGAGACCCTCGCTTGCAGGGGATGATTTTACTTCGTGTAGTACCCTAGTTGCTCCTAAAAATGCAACAGGAGGGAGGGGCTGCTATGTATAGCCAATTGTTCATCTAGCAGGTCCTCAGCCACATTGTAGCGCATGAGAACCCATAATACTACAACAATTTCTCCTTGCCTTGTTATCCAAACTGCCTCATCTGTATGACATCGACGGCCAACTAGACAAGATGATTGTTTGCCACGCAAATTTCTTCTTGCTTGCATTGGTAGCATTAGTATCAGCCAAAAATGTCTCGCTATATCCTCCTCTTTATGCGAAGCACTCGAGTTCAACACCTATTTTTGTCAATACCACAGGTCAAACAGCAAATCCTTTGATAAGAGCGCTTGGTGTTGACCAAAGGTTGGTCAAACGCCAAAGCACATCACTGCCGACGGGAACTTGGTACGTTTCGCTGAGAGTATGCAGCTGAAAGACTGACTGAGAACGCACAGTGCTCCAGGAACACCATGTGTCAATGGTGCATGCTGTGGAACAAATGGTCTTTGCGGTTATTCACCCCTAGAATGTTCGTCCTCAACCTGTCTCTCAAACTGCAATGCCACTGCAGAATGCGGACAGTATGCGCCTGCAGATACATCGAGCTGTCCTCTTAATGTCTGTTGCTCTTACTATGGGTTCTGCGGTACGACTGATGTAAGCTATGTGCATCGATGATGAGCCCAGAGGGTTTCATTTTCTAACAGTGCTTGAGTCACACTAACAGAAGCAAGGACTTTTGCGAAACTACCGGTAGTACACCTTGCCAAAAGGGGTACGGCTCCTGTGGCGATGTCGCGGAGCCGTCATGTTCAGGAACTACCGTCAACGCCCGAACGATTGGATACTATGAGTCATGGTAAAAGCAACAAGGTCACAATTATTCGAAGAATCCAAAGTCTGAAGAGTCACAGGTCAAGTACACGCAGCTGCGATAGCAGAGCGCCATCAGATCTTGATCTTACTGGGTTTTCACATATAAACTTCGGTATGTCCTTCGTGTATGATATGACTATGCTATGCTTCAAGGATATTGACTACCCAATAGCCTTTGCATTTTTCAATCCCACAACATTTGAAATAACTCAAATGAACGCTGGTGATGAGAAATTGTACTCTGAATTCACAGATATGAAGTCGAAATATCCGTAAGTAGCCCCGAAAAAAAACAAGTGTAGTATCCCCTCCGATGGTGATAACGTAACCTGACTCTTTGCAGCGGTTTACAAGCTTATATATCTATTGGAGGATGGTCCTTCAATGTATGGATACTCAGACAACTATTCAAGTTCGCACAAAAACTAATTCACGTAGGACGATACCAATTCTCCCAACACACGCACTGCTTTCAGCGACATGGTCAGCAGCGCATCTAACAGGGCAGCTTTTATCTCCTCTCTCAGCAGTTTTATGCAGACCTATGGCTTTGATGGCGTTGACATAGATTGGGAGGTATGATGAAGTCCTCATTCCGAGCGCTCTCTTGCTGAGCTATTTTATAGTATCCTGCAGCATCTGATCGCGGAGGCGTTCCTGCCGATACTGCGAACTTCGTCAGTTTGGTAAAGGAGCTACGGGGCAAATTTGGCACCACCAAGGGCGTCACGGCCACGTTGCCCTCTTCGTTTTGGTATCTTCAAGGATTCGATGTTGTCGGGATGGCAGACTACGTGGATTGGTTCAACTTCATGAGCTACGACATCCATGGTGTATGGGACTCGACATCAAAATTCACGGGGCCCTATATCAGGCCACACACTAACTGGACTGAAATTGCCGAGGGGCTTGATTTACTTTGGCGTGCTGGAGTTGCACCACAAAAGGTTACACTTGGCCTAGGGTGGTATGGAAGATCCTTCACTCTCGCTGATGAAACTTGCGTTACACCTAATGGGATCTGCTTGTTCTCAGCAGGAGGCAGCCCTGGAGAATGTACTCAGTCTTCTGGAACCCTATCTAACGCCGGTAAGTCCATAAACTGGTGCATCCGAGGTCGAGGCTCTGACCTTCATGTGTATACAGAAATATTTCGAATCATAGACGAGTATTCACTCGAACCAACCTATGATGATGATGCAGCGGTAAACTGGGTCTATTGGGATGAGACACAGTGGGTGAGTTACGATGACGGTGTCAGTATGCAAGCGAAATTAAATAGAGCCAACGCTTTGGTAGGACTTTCACGCTCGTATGAATGTATATCTGCTTGCTGACAAAACAAAGTGTCTTGGTGGCATCATGATATGGTCCATTGATCAGGACAATACCAACGACGATAGCATGTCGGATTTCTTGGGCATTGGTCCGACCAACGGAAATACAGCTGAAGAAACCGCAGAACTTAAAGCGCAACTTTCTGTAGCGACTACAGCGACGGCCGTGCAGACTTCTTGTTATTGGTCGTTCTGTGGGTAAGATAAATCCCACTGTCTAGACAACCTGATATACATGACTAGAAGCTGACTGTGAATAGGCAAGGGTGCGACGATGTGAGCCTCTTAGATATATTCATGACTGTCGTGATCGTCTTTAACAAGTGCTAGGCCTACTTCCCTGTCACTCAAGCCAAAGGAGAAGTTGGAAATAACGGTGTGGTTGCCTCTGTCAACACCGTATGCAACGGCACGGATGTGCAATCTTTGTGTTGTGCGCCTGGCACCACGCTGGGGACGTGCCAATGGGAAGGGTACAATGGCGTGGGTATGGCCTGCTCAGCAGCTTGCTCCAATGATTCAGCAGTTGTTATTGCAGAGAATAGTAAGTTTGCTGGTCACACATTGAGGATTGAACTGGACCCTAACGTATCTCAGCAAACCACTATTACAAGTACCCGTCTACTGTCCCCGGATATGTAGTACTACGGAGCAGAAACTAACTATTCATACAGTGATCCTGAAACAAGCACTCTTGAAGACCAGACCTGCAATGGAGGATTCCAGGCTTACTGCTGCCTCGGCTTTATTGCTTCCGCCACTGCTAATACTGGTAGCCTTGATCTCATCGATCAAACCACTTCATCTAAGCGCAGTCTGCAAAAGCGCGGAGTCAGCGGAGTTGCTGGGCGTGTCTGCCTTAGTGCAGCTGAGATCGCAGTCGATGCAATTGCTGCTGCTGCCGCCGCTTGGTTCACGTTCGGTGCCTCTGAAATTGCCTTCGCTGCTGAAGTTGCTGCAAATGTCGCTTGTCTAGCACTAGCTGCAGCCGCAACAGTTGAAGCCGCTGTAAGCCAACTTCCCCCCCCC